ACCAGACCCCCTGGAGACCAACCTACCACCTCTCTTCTTTGGAGTTAGAAGAACTGAGGAAGCAGCTTTCAGAGCTTCTGGAGGCAGGCCACATCAGACCCTCCAAGAGCCCATTTGGAGCACCTATCCTCTTTGTTAAGAAGAAAGAAGGTTCTTTGAGGATGTGTGTGGACTACAGGGCTCTGAATAAAATCACCATCAAGAACAGATATCCCCTCCCTAGGATTGATGAGCTGATGGATAGGCTGAATGGAGCCCAGGTGTTTACCAAGCTAGATCTGAAGTCAGGCTATTACCAGATCAGAGTCCACCCAGAAGACATCCCCAAGACAGCCTTCAGAACCAGATATGGTCACTTTGAGTTCCTGGTCATGTCCTTTGGAATGACCAATGCCCCAGCCACTTTCATGACTTTGATGAATGATGTCCTTAGACCCTTCTTGGACATCTTTGTTATTGTCTACCTAGATGACATCCTCATCTACTCCAAGACCCCAGAAGATCACCTGGACCACCTCAAGCAGGTTCTGCAAGCCTTCAGGCAGAACAAGCTGTATGCCAACCCCAGCAAGTGCCAGTTCCTCAAGCAAGAAGTAGAGTTTCTTGGCCATGTAGTCTCACATGAAGGAGTCAAGCTTGACCCCAAGAAAGTGCAGACTGTTCAAGAATGGCCCACCCCTCAGAGTGTCACTGAAGTCAGACAGTTCATGGGCCTGGTGAACTACTTCCATAGCTTTCTGAAGGACCTGGCAGAGCAAGCTGCACCATTGACAGACCTGTTGAGAAATGACAAGCCCTGGACCTGGTCTGAACCTCAGGAGAAAGCTTTTCAGCAGCTGAAGGATATGGTTACCAAAGCCCCTGTACTCAGACCCTTTGACCCAGCCTTGCCTACCACTGTCTTCCCTGATGCCTCAGGCTATGCAGTTGGAGCATGGCTTGGACAGGATGATGGGAAAGGCATGAGACCAGTTGCCTACCACTCCAGGAAGATGGCCCCAGCAGAGACCAGATATGACACCAGAGAACAAGAGCTGTTAGCCATCCATGATGCCCTCAGAGTTTGGAGGCCCTACCTGGAAGGAACCCCCTTCAAAGTCATCTCAGACCACCAGTCCCTCAAGTGGCTACAGAACCAGCCCTTCTTGACCAGAAGACAAGCCAGATGGGTCATGAATTTCCAATCTTTTGACTTTGAGATTGGCTATGGCCCAGGAAGACTCCACACAGTGGCAGACATCCTGTCTAGAAGACCAGACCTGGCCCCAAGATGCATCAAGTGCAAGGCCTTGGTGACAGCAGAGTTGAATGCTGTGACCCACACCACCAGCACCCTTCAAGAGAGATTGAAGACCAGTACCACAGAAGACCCAGAACTTCAAGAGCTCCTCCAAGCTTTGGATGACCCCAGGAGACCAGAAGACAAGCAACAAAGGCTCAAGTACCTCAGCCATCAAGATGGGTTACTCTATTTCCAGGACAGGATCTTTGTTCCTAGTGACCCAGACCTAAGGTTGAGCCTACTCCAAGAAACCCATGACACTCAATATGCTGGACACTTTGGCATCACTAAGACCCATGATGCCCTAGCAAGGCATTACTACTGGCCAAGGATGTACAAGGACATTAAGAAGTATGTCAAGTCTTGTGATTCCTGCCAGAGAAGCAAACCTAGTCAGCAACCACCAGCAGGCTTGCTGCAGCCCCTCCCAGTACCTAAGACCAGATGGAGCCAGATCTCCATTGACCTGATCCCTGACCTACCTATGACTTCCTCTGATCACAATGCCATCTTTGTCATTGTTGACAGATTGTCAAAGAGAGGCCACTTCATCCCCACCACCACCAGAGCCTCAGCCAAGGACCTGGCCCTGCTCTTCTTGAAGCACATCTTCAAGCACCATGGCCTCCCAGAAGTGATTGTATCAGACAGAGACACCAAGTTCACCAGTTCATTCTGGTCCAACTTGATGCAACTCTTAGGCTGCAACACCCTCCTAGCCACTGCCAGACACCAGCAGACCAATGGACAGGCAGAGAGAACCATCAAGACTTTGAAGATCTACCTCAGAGCTTTCCTGGAGTACAACATGAAGAATTGGGAAGATCTTCTCCCCTTTGCTAAGTTTGCCTACAACAACAGTGTCTCAGAAACCACAGGCTTTACCCCATTCTACTTGGAGAATGGCCAGCATCCCAGGACCCCAGCAACACCACCAGGAGAAAGCAATGATCCTGAAGCAACAGACTTCCACCAGTATATTCAGCAACTGCTTCAAGTAGCCAAGGATAACATGGTCCTGGCCCAAGAAAGACAAGTTCAGCAAGCCAACAAGTCTCTCAGCAAGGCCCCAAGCTACCCCCTAGGCTCCAAAGTTTGGCTATCTAGAGAAGGTATCACCCCAGAAGAAGAAGCCCAGAGGCCAGCCCAGAAACTTCTTCACCCCTGGCTTGGACCTTACAGAATCAAGGCCAAGGATGAATTTCAGAATTACACCCTGGAGCTCCCCAGCACCATGAAGATTCATCCAGTGTTCCATGTGAGACTCCTCAAGCCTTACCTGGACCCCACAGAGGACTTCCCTACCAGACCAGTACCACCTGAGCCTGAGCCCATTATCCAGCAAGGAGAAGAGTTTTGGGAAGTTGAGAAGATTCTGGACCACAAGATCAGAAGGAAGAAGAATCTCTACCTCATCAAGTGGAAAGGCTATCCCTCCTCTCAGAACACCTGGGAACCAGAAGAAAGCCTCCTACCCCATAGCAGAGAAATCTTGAAGGAGTTCCTAGCCCAGAAGGGAGCTTAATCTTAAAGTGGGGGAGTGTGACAGAATTCTTCTGTCAGTGCTAGGGTTATACTGTTAGATGTGGTTCCAAACTAGTGGTCACATGACTTTGCTGATGGTGTCAGCATTCATTTGACCAGAATTAGATAAATAAGCAGATTTAGCCATTTCTGGCTAAATTAGATGAGTATCCTGACACACTGGCATCTGCCCCTTTCAATCAAGTGGCACAGTGTATTTAGGATGACTTGTCTCACTTGTGATTGGCTATAAATGGTGCAATAGGCTGACAAATAGTTTAGGATGACATGTATAAGATCTGATTGGTTGCAAATGGTGCAATAGGCTGACAAATAGTTTAGGATGACATGTATGAGTTCTGATTGGTTGCAAATGGTGCAATAGGCTGACAAATAGTTTAGGATGATGTGGGTGAGATCTGATTGGGTAGTTAGGATATAGCATTTGTCAGCCCCTTTGTCTATAAAAAGAGGACCTCTCTGAGGCCCCTCAAAGGAGAATAACAAGTAGTAACCAAGTCTTCCCTAGTTTTCTGTTGTCTTCTTGTCCCTGCTAGCCTGTTACAACCTCTCTGAGGCCCCTCAAAGGGAAAATAAGAAGTAGTAACCAAGTCTTCCCTAGTTTTCTGTTGTCTTCTTGTCCCTGCTAGCCTGTTACACATGCTCAGCCATGCTCAGCAGTGCTCAGCAGCTTCAGCCATGCCTTGGCAAACATTACCTGAAGATCTAGATCACCACAAACCTTCCAGACCTTCTAAGAGTGCTTACATGATGATTTACCCCTTTAAATCATTCCCACACGCATCTGTGATCATTCTGATTATTCGAAGTCCAATTCCCCACGTTGTAACTTAGCCAAATCAGATGTGAACTGTCTAATGACATCCCAGCATGATCTCACATGATTTATAGATCATACAGCGTGGTTTAGGCCTGAATCTCAACACCAATTAACACCATCTCAAGAGTTTACAGGCAGTAAACCAGATCTCCAGCACCTCAGAGTGTTTGGCTGTGTGGCCTACACTCATATTCTAAAAGAAAAGCAGTCAAAACTTGATGAGAAGGCCAAGAAGGCAGTCATGGTCAGCTACAGCACTCAGAGTAAGGCCTACAGACTGTGGGTACCTGAAATGAACCAAGTTGTCATGTCAAGGGACATCATCTTTGATGAAAACTTGATGTGGAGCACTCAGCAGCAACTGCAGAGTGTACCACAGCAAGACCAAGAGCTACAGATTATTGAACTTAGTGCTTGGAACACTGATTTCCCATGTAGAAATCACTTCTGAAAGGCCTAGTAATGCCTGTGGCTGCTAGTAAGACTTCTGGGTGCAGTAACTTGTGGATAACATGCTTGTATTAATCCAGAGACGTTCAAAAGTCCCCTTTATATAACCCAGTACATTCTCCAGCCTCCCTCCACCTTTGTTTACTGTTTACATGCTTCAGCCCACTTGTTTACATGCTCAGCCATGCTCAGCAATGCTCAGCAGCTTCAGCCATGCCTTGGCAAATGTTACCTGAAGATCTAGATCATGACAAACCTTCCAGACCTTCTAAGAGCACTTACATGATGATTTACCCCTTTAAATCATTCCCACATGCATCTGTGATCATTCTGATTACTCTAAGTCCAATTCCCCATGTTGTAACTTTAGCCAAATCAGATGTGAACTGTCTAATGACATCCCAGCATGATCTCACATGATTTATAGATCATACAGCATGGTTTAAGCCTGAATCTCAACATTGTTCACATGAACTACTCACCTAGATACCTGGCTTCTTACTATTGAACTTGGTACATAGAAACTAGTTCTTGGCCACAGGTATCAGATTTGAAAGGCAAGAGATATCTATAGATCTTCTATAGAACTGAGCACTTTTCTTGATTCTCAATCTACACTTGTATGCTAGTATGAAGATAACAAAGCATTGCTACCTATTTAAAGCATGCACAACATAGTTGTTATCTGTCTAACTTTCTCCAAAGTAGGGGTAAATTACTTAGTAATATATATATATTCTTATTTAGTAACTATACTTGGTTATTGTGCCATTAAGTTGACCTTATTAATATACCTAATATATACTTTATTTATTATCTATATTATAAGTAAGGACCTTCCTCAGATAGAATGTGCTGGTAATCACTTATATTTGGTAAATATTACTGACCTTTTAACCAGGCTTCCTTTGCAAACAGTACTGATTGAAAACATACAAGTTGGGCATCACTCCATAAGTGAGCAGTAATGTATTGACATGCTCTACCTCCTTCAACTCCACCAGCTTTGTGCAATTGCTCTAAGCAGTTTCAATGGTGGGTTTGGCTGATAGTGGCACACAATTTGAGTACTACATAAATAAAAAATGACCCACAAAATATAAATACATGAATTTTCTGACTTTCATTCAACCCTCTCCTATGCTATGACTGCTTCAAGCCGGTACAATGAACAGTTCCAAGGAATGTTTGAACGCATACAGCTCACTGCCTCTCATCTGCTGGGGACCGAACCTGCTGGCCACCCAAAATGTAACTTGCCTCAGGATGATCAACGGCTTGGGAACCCACGGACAGAACTGCAGGGGCACTCCCTGCAATGGCAGGTTTGGGAAATGCTGGTAGGCGGTCTTTCCCTCTCGGCTTTTGAGTAGTCGTTGGCGGCTCATCATCCTGTCCGAGTACATTCTCAAAGTCAATGAGGGCTTGCATCGCACCCCATTCGAGAATTTTACGTTCCAACCAAACTGAAAACAAGCACACGCAGATGAGCGGATAGATTTGACATGGCGGTGGACAGAATGACATCCAAACGCTTACCCAAACTCACTGGCTTAATCAAATAATCATTACAACCAGCTGCTAGGGCAGCATCTCGATCGGCTGGTAACGAGGATGCTGTGAGGGCAACTATAACAGCATCCGGTGTTGATGGCAACAAGCGACCAGGCTCGGATTGCGCTCTTGATTTTTCCAATTTGCGAATCTCTCGTGTGGCTTGGATACCATCCATCACTGGCATGACAATATCTATAAACATGGTGGGACAAAGACGGTCAGCTTCTTCGCTGCTTGCATTACAAGCAAACCAAGCATTACCCATCTGCCATACATGACAAAGTCCGTCATTAGTCCATGTGAGTCAGAAGCACCCACTTAATAAAAAAATCTTACCAAAACAATATGATATTTTCCTGCCCGGTACTTGATCAAGGCTTCATGGCCATTGGCAGCGACTGTGGCACTAATACCTCTCTTCCTAAGGAAAGTACTCAAAATCGTTTGGTTGATAGGGTTATCTGATACATAAGGCATAGTTGCTCATCAGCGCTCGAACAGTTTCCTAAACGCATAACAGCGCGACCACACAAACCTTCCGCAATAAGAACCTTGATTCTTGGTGTAAAAATCAACGGTGCCTGAGGCGCCACTGTGGTTGAGGTGGCTGCTTGCGCTGGATGAGCTGGAAGATTCGTGGAAGCTTGATTTGACGCAACCGATTTATTTGACGAACTCGTACTCCCGGAGAGACTTGAGGCCCCATCGTGACTATGGCCCGGAGGAGACGATGCAGATGCGCGACTGCTGCGCTTGGGTGATGTGCTATTTCTTGTGTCCCAGACATCCACGCTTTTCAGCACATTACTGGTGCTGCCCTTTTGTCGACTAGTCTTTCCAGAACCTTCGGCTACGTCAACTCGTTTGGTGCGGATTCTGTGACCGTCATGATCCTCCAAGGCAGTGTCGTCAGGTCGCTCGGTCATAATCCATTTGAATCCCTGCAGAAGCTTTCGTGGACCCGCCGGTTTTGTAATGACATATACATCTGGCATAAGCTCGCCATAGTTCTCGGCAGTGGTCTCCACATACTCATTCATGCGAGCGTGGTTCGTAGGAGACGTGAAGTAGATGATGACAGTCCCAAGGATAAGGTTGTCTATGCGATGCTGAATGACTAGATCCAAGATTCCGAAATCGTCGTCAATTATCACAGCGTTCTTCAGTACTTGAAGCTGTTTCGAGTTTCGGTACCCATCACTTCGACGGTCCAGGTCGGTCATGATCTCGGGTATTACATCCATGTCTTCTGTCGCAACATCTGCAAACTGGTCAATCTAGGCTGCGTAATGACGAGGTAAACCTCTCAACGACTTACAAGTCAGGTCCATTCCCCAATTTTCAATGTATTGCGTAATGTTATGAGTGAATTGTGAATGATTAGTAGCGAGTACAGTCACCCGGTAATTTTGCAAACTCTTGACGAAGCGAAAGAGCTCGTCCGTAGCGCGTAAGGTAACAGGTTTGGAAAGCGGCAACTCCATGACTTTCGAGATTTCTTTCCGGTATCTCACTGTCTCCATTTCGAAGGCCAGCTCCAACACGCACTGGCCGGACACAACTTTTGGCCCTCTCAAATGACCTGCGAGTTGTTTGATGATCTTGCTCATATAATGATTCAAGACCACGGGTGGCGGATGGCGCATATCACCAGCCTGATACAGTATCTAAGTGAAACCATCATTTGGTTATAAGTTCGTAGTTTTACTAACTGAGAATTTCGCGCCTACCCGCCATTTGACGTCCATGTGAAATTTTCTAGGCATACCAGCCCGCGGCTGATCGAGATCTTCTTTTGGGGACCATGGCGGTGATGTTACAAGATTCAGTTCGACGCGGGTATACTCTGGAGCATCGGCAATAATTGGTGCGAGCATCTTGGTCGGGCAATAATATATGAAGGATATAATCATCGGATGTATTCAGAACGTCACCTGAACTACATACCTGCATCAAGATTTGTCTGATGTAGTCTTCATCACCTACAACGAGAAATATTTCCTGCTCTTTTCCTTTCAAGATAGGGCTGTGGACAATCAACTCTAGTCCTTTGCTGTCCGCTAAGCTAGCCAGTGCATCTCCAACTCGTTCATTTAGATCAACTGGATCAAAGAGCATTCGGTGAACTAGCCGCTTCACCACCGCGGCATCTGCCTTGGGTAAACCATCCGTAGCTTCGTAATGTTCAAGTTGCCAGGAGATGTGCTCCATATTCTCTATAGTCGTATCCAAGGCTCCAATAGGCAAAAATAGTTAGCTTCGCCTCCGTATGCCAGTATCTTGGAAACAAGCATCACCTACCGGAAATGAACGTGACGAAATGCATATACTGCTCATGCATAACAGGATGCACGTGAGCATGATCGATAGCGCGCTTTGCCGCAGCGATAGAATTTTGGAGCTCCTTCCCGAAGTAGTGCGCTGCGCTTCTCCATACAGTGGACTCATGGGCCGACGCAACCGCTGCCAGTAGTGGTATTTGTCGAGAATGTTTGATGTCGTCGTTGAGTTTTGGGTTCTCCGGGACAGTGTGCTTGTAATCGGATATTTCGACTTCCGCGTACCTGAAGACGGCATACAGCACCAGGAGAGCTGGAATACTGAGGCCCGAATAAATTAAGCCGTCCAGTTTGATATGTTCGAACGCATGACAGATTCCCTTGAATATTTCAGATTGCCCTGGTGGATGTTCGTAAAGAGTCGCCATCTTCTTTCCCAACAGAACGAGCCCGTCTTTGAAACAGTTCAGCAAAAGTCTACCAGACGTAGCGCCCACAGTTTCACCTATATCCTCTTCCGCCTTAAAAGAAGTTCTAAGTAGATAAACTATCGGATCTCGGGTTGCGGTAAACAAGATCAAGGATGAACATAGTCGTTGAGGTGTAAGCCCGCTGCAGCTTAGGATGCTGATGCAAAGCCCCATCATCATAACCGTAGCCACTTCCCTACCAATCACAACACACAGTGGATAATGCTCCGCAGCTACCGTAGACGTAGTTCCGGTACGATCCTCATTCAGAATTGGCCAGCCCATTGTACGGAGAACGTACAGATTTCTACACGCTACCGCAGTTGCATACAAACACAGGCCCGTAAGACATCGCAGTAAAATGCGAGTCATGTCCGACGAACAGGCGGGCTGATATCCTTCCGATCCCGTAAACCAGTCAATTATACCCAGTAAAGATCTCTTCGGAGCACGGTCACGCAATTTTAAAGACTTTCTACCACGACGACGACGGCGGCGGAAAGGAGATCGCACTAGCAGCAACCAGTCTACCGCGGCAGGGAACCTCATCGTGGTTAACAGCGTCCCAAACGCAAGGCAAGGAGCGCTTTGTTATTAAACTCTGCTGCTTGAGATCGCCCCGATGTGCTTGTACTTGGTAATTGTGGTCTTTTACGTTCCCTTAGGGCGTACCAAACAGTTTATTTCTTGTCGGTACGTTTCAACAAGTGCTGGATCAAGATATTACACCCGCGGTACCGTTCTAGCCACCCTCCCCGGCCCAGTATGTCCCGTCTTCTTGCTATAGGTGTCTCCTGCTAAAACGGCAATGCCTTACCCAGTTTCTCACCATGCCATGACTCACCAGATAGTCACCTGATTAAATGCCTAATTCCTGGAATCCCGGCCAGACCTGCTATTACCAAATCAGCATGATAGTGTAGGAGTACAATAATTGGAAAAATAGTCAGTATAATTCTACCATTGTAGTGTGCAGGCGACGGTGAATATCCTTCCACTCTAATGTTGCTAGACTAGCTATCCCAATTTCACTAATCATATGCAAATGGGTTCGCCCTGAAGCTACCCACTATGCTCAGATCTATCGAAATTTGGGCCTTGAAAAGATACGCTTTCTTGCTGCAAGGGTTCTGAGTTGTAGGATTTCCACCAAATTCGTGTTTCGAACCTGGTAAATACCCTAACTGAATGCCTTGAGAGATATTGCTGTTGCGTAATGGCGGTTGCAACAAAGAGGTATCAGCAAGCAGATAACATAACGATTTCATGTCATAATATGGATATAATCCATGTCATGATTGCCCACCACAATTCCAAGTACATTGTCAAGCCCAGATGATCGATGCGGGAGAGCGGGAGGGGAGGAGCGTAAAGGAAATTACTCGTCATTACAATGGCAGCGGCAGAATCGGATGGATACTTTAATTGCCCCTGATAAATGGCTACACGGTGAATAATAATCAAGCTAGGTAGGCTATATGGAGGAATCAGAGAAGTAGTGATTTTTTCCGCTGCCAAAACTACAACTAAATCGCCAACGGTTTACAAAGAAGAGTACAGTGAGTCTACCGCCCCGCATCCATATTCTGAACACTGGCGTTCAAGGCACGCCCACGTCAATCCCAAATTAACATCCATAAATTCTTACAATATCGTGCACATAGATTTCTTTTTCTTCGCATCCTTTTTTGTTGGTCTTCCTCGACCGCTAACAGTAGGAGGAAAATATCTTCGACATTCCCGTACCAGGCTGTGAAAAGATTCGGTTACGTTGATGTTATCCTAAATGTTTATAAGAAACCGTAACGTAAAGCTCTTTTCCATTTAATCCGAGGATGGGCCCATAGGATAGTCCTTACCTTTGCTGATGTCTTCAAATATGGGATTTTCCACTGTTGGCAGAAAGAATCTACTGAGCTGTCATCTACTTCAATTTGATCTTCGGGCAAATCCTTTGAGTCCACACATGAAGGTTCGTCAGTTTTTCAACTTTCCTCCGCGTGTTCATATTACAAACCCACACCCGAGTCAAAAGAACTTACACATTTGTTTCCGCAGACAACTAGTGGAACCCGTCGGGTATCTTTTAATTTGACAATCTGCTCCCTCAGCTGCCTCACCTCCTCGAATGTACTCTTATCATTTACAGCAAAAACCAGTAGAAAGCCCTTCCCTTCCTTGAGATGTTGGTCTCGAAGGGCTGTATATTCGTGCTGTCCAGCGGTGTCAATGATATTCACAGTACATGGGGATGTATCCACTGTGATATTTTTTCGGTAGTTCTCCTCTGACAAGAGAAAAATTACGTCGTCGGCGGAAACATTAGCGCCAGGAATAATTATCTTTATCAGGGCTGCAACGGTCCGAACTGAGGTACCAACCTATTGTGGGATCGTAGTCATTTGTAAATTCGTCTTTCAAAAATCGGACGGTCAGACATGACTTGCCGACACCACCAGACCCCACCACAACCTAGACATTCTCACAGTTAATGCTATGTAGCAATATAGCTCTCCAGCCATCGGTAGAGGCGGACCTACCAGCTCTTGTATTTCGCTTGTATCCGCCGACACTTTTGCCATGGTAGAGCGACTGGGAAAGTCGTTAAAGTAGCAGTGCAACGAAATGAACCTTGATTACAGTCGGTGGCAATTGCTGCTCCGGGAAGCACAATATACTGTGGACGTGTATATTGGAACTTGAACAGGTTTCAACCAACAAAGAAGACAGTGAAGAAGCAGGTTCAACGACTTGGTCTGTCAACAGAGTCAGATTCGTTAGTGATATTTGAGACACACTACCCACACTGGTAAGCATCTTATATCACTATTTTTAGCCCATGCGCATTTGTTCATAATAATACAATCGGAATTTTAACTCCGCGTACATGCGGATCAGGATGCGCCATTTGATTGCGCATGACGCTGTCTGTTCACATTCGTGTGCTTTAACCACAAAGCCGCTTCAATAGGACCTTCGCTTCGTCTTGGAAGCCAATTTTGGATTCAGGTCGGCGACCAGAAACGCAAGAATAGTATGGACAGTAAGATCACTTGAACAGCGGAGGAGTGGATTATGTAAGCGTGGCGTCAAAGGATCAACCCCCCTCCCCGCACAAAGTCAACTCACTTCGCAAGCTCCTCCTCAAAATGACTCCTTTGCTTCAGGCGGGAACTGGAGAAGCAGCAAATCAAGTCACAGATAGGTTACCGGTGAAAATTGCCGTGATTGGCGCTGGAGAGCGGGGAAAGGTGACTTTTTCTTACCTGATGTGTACCAGAGGAATTTTGTGATAACCAGCATCCAACCAGGTATACGCGAGCTTTGCACTGCACAACCCATTGTTATGCCAAGTCGTAGCGCTTGCGGAACCTGTGAGCCGCCGTCGCGAAGCGTTTCTGCGGAGACACGTGGACATACCTGCCCAGAATGTTTTCCTGGATTGGAAGGAGATGGTGAAGGTGCCAAAGCTGGCTGACGCAGTCGTCATATGTACGCTGGACCAGTTGCACGCCGAATGCGTAGTTGAATTTGCCAAGTTGGGATATCATATCTTGTGCGAGAAGCCAATGGCCATCAGTCCCCAAGAGTGTGCTGCAATGACTCGTGCTGTGGTTCAGGCCAACATAATATTTGCGGTACGGATGTGCGTGTCTGACATGAGCTCGCTCAACAAACATATAATCTCAATGTATGGTTCTCTCATAGGTTTGTCATGTATTACGCTACAGCCCGTACAACCGTTCCCTGAAGCAACTGCTTGAAGCGAAGGCGTGCGGGGATGTGATCAACATTGTCCACGTCGAACCCGTGGGCTGGTGGCATTTCGCCCACTCTTACGTTCGTGGAAACTGGCGCTGCGAAGAACAAGCAACGTTTTCTCTGATGGTGAGCTTATTCTGGTGCTGGACTGTAGCGATGTCGAATACTACTCAAAGGCATCCCATATACTTTTCTTTCCTATCTTACAGGCGAAGTCCTGTCAGTAAGTGATGTCTTCAAATAGGCAGAGGTTGAATGTCGTCTTCAGAGCAAATACTAAGTCTTCTGGTCTTCAGCGATCTTGACATCCTGTGTCATTATATGGGCACCAATCATCCCCCACGTCAAGTCCATAGTTTTGGAAGTCTTTCACATTTCCGCCGCGATAAAAAGCCCGCAGCGGCCGGCTTGGCGACTCGATGCGTCGATTGTGCATTTGAAAAGGATTGTCCTTACTCCGCCCTCAAACTGTACCTCGATAAGAGCAAGCACGACGATAGGGGATGGCCTGCATCCGTTGTTTGTGGGGGTGGGGAAGTGGAGGTGGACATGGAGAATGTTCATGAAGCATTGAAAATTGGTCCTTACGGACGATGTGTTTATGAATCAGATAACGACGTGTGTGATCATCAAGTTGTAAACATCGAGTTCGAAGGTGGTGCTACTGCGAGCTTCACCATGGTCGCATTCAGCGAACTAGTCTGTGAAAGACAAACTAGAATTCATGGATCACGTGGCGCGATTATTGGGGATTCACAAACCATTCGCTACACAGATTTTGCAACCGGTAAAACGACGGTAATAGATCCAGGGACAGAAACGCAAGGAATTAATGGTGGCGGTTCTGGGCATGGTGGAGGGGATTATGGTCTTATGGCAACGTTCATTGAGGCTGTGGCGCAAGGAAACGCTTCATTACTCGGATGCAGCCCTCAACAAGCCCTGATGTCCCATGTGCTTGTATTTGCTGCTGAAGAAGCGCGAAAGAAACGTGTAGTGATAGACGTCGAGGATTATTTGAGAAGTGAAGCTTGCATAGACTAGTTGTGCTTTGATCTATAATCGAACCTAAGTAGATACGGCTTCTATTGTGCGAGAGACAATCAAGGACTAGCTTATTCACTTGCATGTGAACGTACCGTGTGGGATTGTACGAATGTCCTGAAAGCAATTTTTATAGACTTCAGCACAGAGGGTCGAGCGTGATGTCCGAAACATCACCCATATATTCTTCACGTTTCACATTCAGATCCATCAATACGTCGCGATCTTCCTTCTCGATCCACTTAGTCTTGTGCATGCAATCTCAACGGATACATGTCAAACAATGGATGTGAGTCGAATATACGGAACTGCTGTTGAAAACTCCATCGTTCTCTGAACCGACAAGGGCGTCTGCGCACCACCTCGCCGGCGCATTGATATCCTTCCCGCCTTATCCTTTGCAGAACAAGCACACACAGATGTCCACACTCACCAAGGATATGTTCTTACGTACCTCATTCAATATACGTTTAATAGCGGACACATTCTTTACGTACACTCTCCTCATAAGTCTGTTCTCGAGCGACGGGACGAATAATATCAAACAGAGATTATCCATCGTCCACTGACAGCATCCTCGATTGTACTACAGTATGAGTGCATGGAAACAAGACCATCCTTCATCGGGCCAATTATCGGTGACCCTTGAGTGCTGATAATGTCGATCACTGATACAAACGTGGAATGAAGAAGTTGTCTGCCTTCGCACGGCGATCCGCGATGAAAACTGTTGTCAAAATATCCAATTAGTAGCCTAGATTAGACTGATAATTGGGAATTAATTGAGCGTTTGTCGATCGACAATTCTGCTTTACACTGCTAACATTGCATTGGGGACTCAGAGAATTGCCGCAATTGGTTTTCTGTGATGATTTCCATATTGTAACCCGCTTTCTGCTCTGATTGCGCGATTAGTGCTATTCTAGGGTCCCTGAGGTGATGTCGGAGGATCAGATGTGTATGATTATTTGCTGTTCAAGCATCGCAAATCATTTTTCGTGATGCTTTCGTTCTGAGCTCGATATCTTCTCGAAGCATGATTGTGTTTGATAATTGCGGTGGCGATAGTGGTCGTGCGGCGAGGAGAATGTCGTGGATGTGCAATTGTGCAGGCGATGAGTCCAGGTGCCTTTAACTCCAGACCTTAATTGAGTTTTCAGATTCTACGAAGAGTATATATTCATCTAGTGTAGAGGTGACAGAAACTGGCACTAGCTGCTACACCAGGGAATAAACCAGCGATAACTGGTTCGGAAAAGCCAAGTTACTCCCCCTTACTAGTAACCAACTACTACTAGGCCCAATTACACATGCAATACATTACGGTTGTTCTAACCGGGTAACTAAGCCCACCACACGAGAGAAATCCTACTAAGCCCTTGATTCCGAAATTCTTAGTCGGAGGATGTTTCAGATACTAAGGTAATGGGAATTAGACTCGGGAAAATACGGGGTAAAGAGGAAAGAGGGAAGAGACAGCAAAGGCCCCCTTTTTATAGACCTTTGGCATGCGCCTCACCGCAGTTTTAAAAAAAACATTACATGCATGCCACACCGTTTTGAGCGATAGAAGGGGTGCTGATTATGCGATATGATTAACCGGATTAATCCGGATAATAATGGGTCATAGTGCCATTTTCAATCGCCTCCATACTATGTTTTAACTGCCTTTGCAAGAAGTAGTAGCATGCAGTCGGAGACCTTGTGGGTAGCCATTTTATATTGGTATCATTATTACTCATCACTTTTGGGATTCTTCAGTCAGCTTTCACAAATTGAACCAGATATGCAGAGGAACTCGCCCATGAGACTAATTGGGAAAAGTCCCACAAGGTGTCCTCCATTCTGTCGAAGAGGTGGTTCCCTGAGACCATCTTCAAGAAAGAGCCATGCCTTTTTACCCACGGGGTCTACGGGACGAGCCCACCGCGAAGAAGGCGTGAGCCATCCCACCCTGCGAGACTTAAACTGGTTCGCGTCGTAGCTCTCCTCCTACTCCAATCTATTATGCTTTCAGGATGTTCGAAAAGCGTGCTCGTTTTTGGCAGGGAACAGTTATCAGCAAAACAACTGGATTATGTACCTCTGAAGAGCTTCCTTGGCCAAGGCGGGCATTCAAATAAACTCGATCAGATTGCACGTGATATGCATGTTGTGAATCCAGTCTCTGACGAACGTCTCCAACAACATGAAGGGCTTCTTGACGATTCAACATGCCGGTGTGCAAATTTTTCCTGCAAGGAAATTGCCGCTTCGGTCGAAGCTGCAGAAATGAGCATCCAACAGGGTCGGGTAGGTACCAATATGATCTTCCCTGTTAGAAACGATGTGTTCTCAGTCGTACCCACTGTTCTTCCGATCTTGCAGGAGGGAGCGGATACGGAGGCGGCGGAGGCTTTTCTTCTGGCGGTGGTCCTCGAAACAGATTTGAGGGAGGGAACCAAGGCGGCTTTGGGCGCCAAGATTTCAGCAACGGGCAACGATCCAAGTCAGAAGCGAATACAAGGTGGAGAGGTGACTTGTAAATAATACTATTCAGTATTCAAATTGCTCAAACCTGCCGGAATGGTAGGGCAGCACCACCATCAGGGGAAACGGTGAAGTTCGATCTCTTGGAGTCTGCTAGCGGTATCTGGCCATTAACCTCCTACGGGCTCGGTGAGATACACCTGATACGTGAAGCCGATTTCTCATTTGAGGAGATGCGATGGGAATTCTATGACGAATTTAAGAGGACAGGGTCCGTTAACAATGCTGTAAGCTTGAAATATGAACTATGTTGTATTAGGTCCTCTGTCTGTGGGTTTCATTAAGTTTTGTTTTCCAGATGGCCAATTGGCAGGGAAGATTGGCAGCGGTTGAGAAAAGGAAGCAGGAAATTCTTCGAGATCCGGAGGCGGCTCTGCGCGTAGCTCGCGGAGGCCAGCAGGTAACCAATCTAAGCACGGCATTGGGTGGTAATTCATTCGGGACGGCACCTAGTACCTTTAACGCCGGAGGACCTTTTGGCGCATCCCAAACAATCACGAGTGCTTTTGGGGGCTCAGGACAAGCTACCGGTGGTAATACTGGGCCATCGCACAGCGCATTCACAAATAGCGCAAGTAGCACTGGATTTGGCAGTACCACAGGGGCTTTTGGCGCTTTTGGGAACGGGCAAACGATGGGGCAGCCGACATCAACTGGAGGAAACTCCCTCGCCGGATTTAGCACCCTTTCCAATAGTAACGGAATACCGCAAGGATCGGCGTTCGGAGTCACGAGTACATTTGGCAGGACGCCTACGAATAATAATAATAATAATAATACGGTGCTTGGACAGAATACTTTAACAGGCACGGGCGGGCTTGGATTTGGAAGTGTCGTTCAAGGCGGGCATGCCTTTGGCACACATGCATCGATGGCCAGTCAACCGGGAACAGGCAGCCAGTTTGGAAGCCGAGCGACAGCTGGTCTGGAACACACGGGCTTTGGAAAGAATTCACAGGGTAGCAATGAACAGGGTAGTGAGATCCTAGCTACAAGTGCATTTGCTGTACAAGGGTCAGCGTTCGCCCAACGTAGTGGGTTCGGTGGCGTTGAAAGCAAAGGGTCTCCTTTCGGACCATTGGGAGGAAACACCGCCGCTCAGAATGGCAATACAATCACCGGAACGCAACAAGCTGGGACTGGGGGTTTTGGTTTGGACAAGTCGGCTGCACCGTCGCTCATTGGGTCTGTCCCAAAAACTGCTTCTACCTCAGCAACGGCTGGCGGCAATTCGGGGAGATCCGATTCAGGACCAAAATCTTTGAACTTCTGGTTTGATGCCGTCCGTGCTTTGAAAGAAGGCGGTCAAGTCGAAGGATTGGTTGATTATGGACTTGATCCAAATGTTGAAGCCACATTTCGTTCGGCACGCTCGGAATATGAAAATGCATTCCGCTCCGCACGATTCAAGTCGTGGCCAGGTCCAACAACCTCTGCATCGACATGATGCGGTAAAGCCTTTTTTAGATGTATGACTACGTTTTATGATGATGAAGTCCGTTGTATATATTGTACATATTCTCATAATTTAAGGCGACATCCTTCAGAGTACGCCACTTGTTCACTTGTTGCGAAACCATGAGCGGCCTTACATCCGTTAACCTGGCAATGGTGTGACTCTCACCTGTAGGAGTAAGTCCAGCATGCTTCATCATGAAGTGTCGATGTGAACAGAAGAGAGTTTGTCGATGAACGGTGCAGCTGCTCCTGCCGAAAATTATACCAGGCCAATTTCGAGCCGCGCGGATCTAAGTAGAAGAAGATTTCGAATTCTTCGTGGGAGACAAGGGAGAGGCACCCTTGGTATCGCATAATCTCGTATCGATACTACGAAAGTTGCTTGTCAAATGAATACCTTCTGAAGGTTATTTGCTGGTTCACTCCCTTCAAGAGATGCAACTCTAAGGAGGCCAGTGTCGGCCCAGTTACTGCAAGAATAGATGACTTGCTTGCATGGGTATGTTACAAAGAGGGACAAGAGAAGGAACTAAAAGAGGCAGTAAACATTGGGGTAAAAGGCCGGCTGAGGACGGGGAGACTATTTGGAGGAATAAATGATTCTCGCCAATCGGTGGTGCTACGCTTTTCAACAACTATTTGAATACCCCACACCGCAGCGGAGGCGCCATCCGCAGAAGGGAGGGGGCGATTACTCTTCTCCATTGATTGAATCCTTCCATGAGAGCGGGTCCCACCACCAGTAAGGTCATATCTGGGGGCTGCCGCTGAAGGTTGGCGTATCCATCTGGCAGCGACGAAATTGCAATCGCCGGTTCATGAGAGTTTGGTTACATATATACTCCCCGTCATATGACCTAAAATCCGGTGGAAGGGTGAGATGGGAGAGCATCTCCCTTGGATCCACCAAATGTGCCCCTTATCTCGTGCTTGTAACCCATATAGAGGACAGGGAGTTTGAGGATCCGCGACATGCGGTTAGTCTCTCAGAATGATTCATCGTTCTGTTCTTTTGATCATGGTCTGAAATATATTGGAGTGAGACCAGAATCAGCGGTGTTCACTTCATATTCGCATTCGTCGTAGAGGTAAGTCCGTCTATTTCACGATATCATTGTAATCACCAGAGGACAGGTTACTGCTGGTTGCTGGCACTCCACTCCAACCAACTCCCCTTGTAGTTCCTGGCACTTCGTGACGTGAAGGACAAAGTTAGTCATGCATGTAGTTACAGCGCTTTTACAACAAGCCTAACGTACTTTTTGAATCCCAGTCCATGGGCCGCCCCCAATGCGGCTTCACTTCTCTTTCCTGACCGACAGTAGAAAATGACATTATCATCGATGGACGGTTTTTGGAACCCATAAGCTGCTTCAAATTCTTCGTCTGGTAGCTGCAGCGCTGTTTGGACATTCCCGAGAGGTATATGCTGGGCTGTTGGGATGCGGCCAAGAGAAACCTCGGAGGGTTCGCGAACATCGATCAAGACATACTCCTTGGGAGAAAGCAGGTGTAAGCCTCTCTATCCTCACATATGACCGCAAGCATAGATGGAATGGGTACCTCCTTGCGCTCTCCGTTTACCAACTGTTTCACCTCAGAGATGTCAACGATATCGGAGCGGGTATTGCCAACACTGTAGTCTCGTCTTATCGGAGCCATACTAATCCCTTTCGTAGGCAATGCAACTCTGTGCGTGCGTGCAAGTGGCAATCTTCGAAGGACAGTCTTTGAAAGCAACCGATTGAAAGTGTAACGGGGCAGCATATTTTGTGATATTGGTAAAGCAGAGTGTGTAAATGCTGTTTGCTTGCGAAATGCCAGCTCGCATCATGATCGGCCAATGACCTTTAGAACCAGTTTAATGGCTTCATTTATCTGCTTATGGATAAATGAAAGACATGATGAGTCATCAACCCATCGTGCTCTCAGATGGCCATCCTCGTTCGCCATTATGGTTCCTCAACATGACAGCGGACTCACTAAAACCGCTTCTTCACAGTACGTTTGAATTTTGGCATGCTACATAAGGAGATGGCCAAACTAACTCGTAAAGATAGTTGAAGTATGTCTTGCTCCACATAGCACAGCGCGCTACGACTTCACTCGCCGCCATGTGCAGGACTTTCTTCTCACGACATATCCGTCTGTGGTAGTCCATACAACTTTAAGCAAAGACGACTTTCAAGATGTGGATTTTCTGAGAATAAATGTTGAATGGATTAGGGTGTGCGAGGTTCACGGTGGGTCTGCGTACTTATACCTAGCTGGATATGTAGCTCTTATAAATTTGTGCGCAAATCATTAGGGGCACAAGATCAAACAGAAGTACAAGCTTTAAGCAGCATCATCCTTTCCATTCATGTGTTTCAATTGAATGAAGAGGAAGGCGTAGATGAGATCAGTGAGGAAGAAAATGTGGTAACCTCCAACCATTGGATCCTACCCGCCAAGGGATTGCATGGGCTATGGGAGAGGTAAATGCAAACAACCGCGGGTGAGGCCGCAATATTGCTGCCAAGTAGTGATCGTCATCTGCTACACCATAGTCTGATCTATGATAACAATATTCAACTCAACCTCCTCGACTATGTCTATACCTCCATGCTATTCGGTGATAATGGGGTAGATCCTCATATTATCAGCGTGAATCGCGTTGCACTGCTACATGGGCCGCCGGGAACGGGTAAAACTTCTTTATGTCGGGCTCTTGCACAGGTATGCTAGAGTACCAGCAGGAATGGAAGGCAGGTTAGGCGGATTGGCCTAAAAATCTACTGACTTCTACGGTGCAGAAATTGGCGATCAGGCTGGCGGATAGATATTCTCATGGGAAACTTATTGAGATCAATTCGCACAGGTATCTTTTTCTAAAACTCAGTCTAATTGATGTAACCATCTTGTAGTCGTAACTGTACCATTCGTGATTAGTTTATTTTCGAAATTCTTTTCCGAGAGTGGTAAACTTGTCATGAAAATGTTTCAGCAGATACATGAGATGCTGGAGGACGACGATGCGTTTGTTTGTGTTCTTATAGGTAAGTCAGACCGGTTGACAAGGATTACAGATTCTCGTGGTCTCACTTGCATCGATAGACGAGGTTGAGAGCCTGTCGGCTGCACGCAAGGCTGCTTTATCAGGGATGGAACCATCGGATGCAATACGTGTGGTAAGTTACATTTGAGAGGCGGGATGAATGCACCTGTGGGTGGATAGTGCTCTAGTTGACTCTGTTGCAAATCTCTTGAAAGGTTAATGCTCTGCTCACCCAACTCGACCAGTTACGGAAACGCAAAAATGTTGGTGAATGTACACCTCGAAATGATTCCACGATCGCCTTTACTGACCTGGAAACCGAAAGGTTCTCATTTTGACTACTTCCAATATTACCGAAGCAATAGGTACTGATTTCCTACCGATTTTGATCCAAGTGATGAAGCTAATGGTGCCTCTTTGCAGATGTGGCGTTCATAGATCGAGTAGATATTAAAGTATGTGTTTAAATCTGTGGATCAATAAGCTGTCTGTCCCAACTCACACGACCCAGCAATTCATCCCTCCACCATCTCACCGAGCACGTTACGCCATTCTTTCAAGCTGCTTGACAGAGTTAATTCAAAAACGAATTATAGAACAACCCGTCAGTATTGCGGTCGGTTCACCTCATCCGACTCCTAGAGACTTAACAATCTTTGATTTGATATAGGAAACTCCCTTGGTCGACTACCGCGAAATCGATTTATATACCTGCCCGACGGGGGGAATGCAAGGACGGGAAGAGAGCCTGCAGCTTTGGAAAGTTGCTGGGGACTGTGAGGTTGGTTACTGATATTTCCAGAACCACGATTGCAAAAGAAAGGTAATTAACATTTCTTCAAGGGGTTCAGTGGTAGAACGCTCCGCAAACTTCCGTTCCTGGCACACGCTTTTTTTGTCTCGGTAGGTTCTCTTGTGTGCAATTTTAGACCATGACGTCTCACGATCTTGCTTCTTCTGCGAACAAGTCGAACACAAGCACACTGCGAGCGTATACACAAGCTCTCTCAATGGCAGTGCAAGCTGAGAAAAGTAATAGGGCCATGGTGGGTCTCGGCGGTGATATGTAATAAAGGACTCTAGCTTTAGTTTCACGACGTATATCGTCTAGAAAATAGAAAAAGTGGCTACCGCCCGTGTTGAGATGAACAACAATGCTGCATGACTGTCTCGTAACCAGACATTCATCCACACCCTCAAGGGAACTTGGTCAAACTATATATTTTTTCAGGGCACTGTTGCTCGCATATCTGCACCACCCAATGCCACATAATACCTTGCGCGTTTGTACACATTAGACAATAATCAGACTATACCACACAAAAAGATCGTAAAGATAAAAACAAAGAAAATGACCTGCATTTCCACATTAAGTTGCACTATCCGCGAGGAGGCTATCCCATCTCGATACGTACGTATCGCCACATATCGTTCCGCGTTCCCCGTCCTCGCCTTCACGTACGCGAACGCACTTGATGGGAAAGACACCTTCCCGCCCAGCACATGTGCCTCCCTTTTCTAGAATGCCTCCATGGCACCAGCCGTCCTCCCATACTCGCCATATACTGACCCGGTCTCCGACAGAGACTTCGAGCTCGTCATTCCGTTCAGGTTTGTGTGAAGACAAAATGAGGTAATTATAAGAGGATGTCGACGATGTAGTTGATACGGATAAGCGATCTGCTGGGTAAAAGATGGGAGTAGGCGGTGATGATGACAAGTCACTGTTTGTTGACGTTGTTGACATTGACACTATCGAGGCCGATCGGAGAGGCGAAGGGCGTAGCGGGGCAGTGTTTGAAGTGCGGTTTGATCCAATGTTCCGCGCAAGAGGAGAATCGCGTGTCGCAGCCGGCGCGGGGGACTTTGGGCCCAACAATCCCTCCCATTCAATACGTTCGCGATCCAGCTCCTTTGAACGTCGTTCTAGTGTCTTTCTCCAGTGTCTTTTCATTTCTTGCCGCTCGCGTTGCTGTTGGAGGTATCCAGGGTGATCCATGGATGTATCCGCCTCGGGTGATGCTGTTCCTATTGAACCAACCGCACCGGTTAAAGAAGGTGCGGTCCACTGGGGAACATTGCTCGGTTTCGCGCGTGAAAGTGTGTCGGATCGAGCGAGGAGCACTAGCGGAGGCATAGGTGATGGTGTAGCATTTGCCACAGTCGTCATAGACGGCGCGCTGCGTTTTGGATGATCCTCTTCTTCATCAGCGCTTTCGTCCCTTTTCAGGGTCAATTCCTCTTGACTCTCCTGTCGCGGGAAATCAAACCTCCTCCTTTTTCTCGTCACAAAGAAGGTTGTTACTGTAGCCAAGACGATGATCCCGCCCACGGTTCCTCCCACGCCGCCGCCAATGGCACGAGATCGTTCCGCTTCTTTCCCTTCAGCGGGTTCCTGTTTGGCTTCTTCAGCCGGGCGTGTTCCCGAAGGATGTTGATCTGATGGACCTGGAGATCCATTATTTCCATGGCCGCGATGGGGGATGGACGGAGTTGGGTGAGATGGATGTGGGGTGGGTGTAGTACGCGGTCGAGAGTCTGCAACTGTAAAAAATGTCAATGGACGCGTTCAATGAAAAATCCAAAAAGTAATTTATGCCGCGCGTGTCCAAGCCAGTGCCCTGGTCTGGCCCGTCGTACCAAATTGGGACGCTTGGTCAATAGACTGTCGTACATATTGCGTCACATGTCGTACCGCGAAAGCCGCAATCCGTTCAAAGTGTCGTATTGGCGACAGCCAATGTGAACAGAATTTTGTAGGAGAAAGTCGGCAAGGCACTTGTCCCAAATGAACAAACCCTTTGTCCCTCTGATTTGTTCATTGCACGTTTTGCGACGCGTATCGCCCTGCTCGCCCCGCCCGCCTTGCCCGCTTTGCCACTCACCTGTCCTATTATTCATGAGGGACCTGACAGTCGAACAGGCCAATGGTGAAAAGACTTGCACATTGCCACACGAGCAGGAAATGCAGTTGCCGTTGGCACTATTCTTGCAGACAAACAAGACGCTGTGCCGTTGACACTCTTCACAGGCCAGACTCTTTTCCCAGCAGGCGTCGTTGTAGCTTTGACAGAATTCAGATGTGACGGGGTGAGCGAACGCGCCGTAATGTGTCGTCGTAGTCGAAACAAACAAGAGGATCAAGACAATGAAAGCGACAGAGAGACGCGGATTCCCCTTTGTTGTCGTCGTCAGATCCAGCATCGTACGCAATCGTACGCGATCAATAGTCACTGCAAAACAGACTTTTTATGCCGATACCATGTCTTGACATGCACAATAAAAGACAAATGGGATAGCCAGCAATAAAAGCTGAAGAAGGGCGATGGGGTTGATCAAAAGGTTTAAATGTGGGCTGTGTTGCGTTTTTCACCTGCCCGCCTGCCCATCCCAATGAACCCCCACATGCCTTTTTCTGGTGTGAATTTTGCGCAATGAGGGGAGCGTGTCGGACGCTTAGTCACCGTTGCGTCTTTCCACGCTGTGCTGCCTGCTGTGACCCTTTTTTGTCTGTGTGATTGGAATGTGGTTGGAATGACTTTCTCTCCTGACACGTGATCTTAACCTTATCCCTCATCGCTTTTTAGGGCAACATCCCTTTCATGAATCAGCATGAGAGTTGCGTCCCTCGTGGGGTACGGGACTATGGGTTCCCTGTGGGAAAAAAAGAAACGCGCGTTGGGAAATGAATCCCCTCAGCATTGGACAAAGGAAGCCAACTTGCCAACTCTTTCGTGGAGAGAAGAGAGAAAAGAAAGGGGAAATTTGAATGAAAAAAAAAGAAATGCGCCGTCAAGTGAGGCGCAGTCGCTCTCGTTTCTTTTCATCCCTTTTGTCTTAAGTAATCCTGCTTGGAATGGAGAGCTGCGCAAAAGTCACAGCGGATCCCTTCCTTCTTTTTGCCTGCAGGGCATTTTACTGCGCATTTTTAGATACGCATTTCATTATCCCATCCCTTGCTCCTTGACCCTTTTTTTTTTTATAAAGGCCTCTTGCCATTTCGTTCTTTCTTGCATGGGCTGAAGCACATATAAATATAGAGTGAACGAGTTGGGCACACTCCAAAGCAATAATCAAGCATTCAAGAATGCCTCCTCGACCGCTTCCAGCCGCTGTAAAGCTGGCACCCGTCTTGGAAACTGCTCGTGTTTCGGCATACCAAAAGTTTGACGACGGAAAGATTTGGTACAAGGTCAATGTCATTCCGTCAACAGTTACTGGAAACGCGAAAAAGAAGCGCCTCTCGTTTGTAGCTGCCCCACGTCCCTATGCTGTCTGGAGACGCTATGACCACTTTGTAGACTTTCACACGGCTCTTGCCGCACAGCTGAAAAAGGATCCCTCTGCGGCCGCCGGCCGGAGATTGCCCCAGCTCCCGAAAAGCAGATTTTTTGTCACTCGTGCAGTCTGCGAGGAGCGCGTAACAAGGTTAGATGCTTACACTAGAGAGCTGTTGACCATGCCAGAGCGTGTGACGAGAAATCTCCTCTTTGGCGAATTCTTTGGGCTGTGGATCAAAGACATTGAACCGGGGCGAGACTTGAACGATTTGAAGACAGGTGCAAAGCCAGAGGATGATGAAGACATTCCTTTGGACGAGCCTTGGTTGAAGTCCGTAGAAGAAAAACGAATGTCCAGAAAGCTTGAAATGCGATCTCTCGGTCGCGGACTCAACACTCTCCTTAGATCAACAAGTGCAGAATTCGCTGCGGTTCTGGGGCCCCCGACTCCTCCAAAGTCTCCAGAGCACAGTCGGTCGCCCTCAGCAGGATCGGCCAAGCCGGCCCGCAAATCTCGAGACAGTGCAGGTAGTAACAACACCGCCGAAATGGAAGACTATGCACAAGCCTTTGTCGCTGCTGTGCTGGCTGGCGAAGTAAAATCGGCCCAGGAGGATGAATTGAGGACGAACACCATGGCCAAAACTCGTCAGCTTCAACAGGAGGTCAAAAGTGCTGGGCCAGTGCTTACGACATTAGAGCGCGGACAAAATGAGAGGAACCAACCTCTGGACTACTCTGGTCCACCTCCTGAGATCCCTAAAAGGGCACAGTCTCACGGATGGGCGAGCTCGTCATCAAGTCCCGTTCCTCCTTCGCCTACGCTTTCCAATTCATCAGCTACTTCGACTGAAGCGGAAGCAGGTGCGGCGTCAGGAGGCGACGAGTCATCAGCACTCCCTTCACCCTCCACCGCCCAATTCCGCATGTTACGCACTCCGTCACCCACATCGTTACAGTCTCCCGGTCTTACTAGCCCGCGTCCCATTGGTATGAAATCGAGCGAGAGACAGAGAACCCTCGCTCGCGCCGCCACTGTCCAATCTGGTCCCCTTCGTCATCCCATGGCCAAGCGCACCGGAACTGTCACGGAAGGACGACGAGACCCTTCACCACCCCAGGGAAGGAAGAACCTTCTTGTCAACTCATCGCTTCAACGTAGCTTGACGTTAACTCGACATTACAGTACACCCAGTTTGGACAGGATCGCAAGTCCATCCAACGAGAAAAATCCAACGATTCCTGTCTCTCCCGTCAGTCCCCCTCCATCCAGTGCCGGTCCAAACCTCATGCCCTCCTTTCAAGACCCCTCTGTCTCCTCGGCCCCTCCACCACCAGAGCTCCACCGCAACCTGTCTGAACCCTCTCTTCAAACTCTACAGCGAACAGCAACGGTTGGGGTCGAAGTCAAACGCGAACGCTCTCTCCTCAAACGGGCCAAAACCATAGGCACGCGGCTGAAACCCGCTCCGAAACCAGTAATTCCCAAAGAACTTGAAGACATGTCCACTGTTCCCCCTTGGAACCGCGATCTGAAAGTTCTCCAACGCCAAGGATCCGTCAGATTGGGTGTCGTCACGCACGACGATCCTCCATCGGTGGCTCCACTGTACAGAAGTAATACTACTATAGCCCCTACACGTAAACCCGAAATAATCACCAGAATCCAAAAACCAAATCAAGACATCTTGTCTCCAATCCCAGGCATTCCGCCCAACAAGGCAAAACGGTCCTCCCTCCTCTTCCGGTCTCACTCCTTGTCCACCCAAGCAGAACTTCCGTCCCATTTCATTCAACTGAAGGCACTGTATGATCCTCACATTATTTTGTTGAAAATCTCGCGAACTGTGCCGTTGCCCGACGTGCTCGACAGATTGAGTCGAAAGTTTTCCATGGTTGTAGGAAAGGAAGTCAAGGTTGTCGGAGTGACTTACAAGGATGCCGAGGACCACATGATTACTGTTACAGATGAAGAAGATTGGATCATCTGCAAGGATATGTGTGTTGGAAGGTTGTGTGTGTGGGCAAAGGTTGATGATTGAGTTGTTAAAGGTGTCCTATCATAAGTCGTTTTTTATTATGTCATAGATTGTATTTAGGAGAGTAAGCGAGCTCCGTGCATAGATTATCCAGGAAAGGGCTTGTAACTCCTTCCATTGTAAAGCGAATATAACCATATTTTATGTTACTTTTGGACCAACACCAGACAGAAGCCATGGGTCTCATAAAGGAAAATAAGACTATATTTCACAGACATTTTTAAGCCGAATTACCAACAAGAACCATCAAACAACCCATCTCGCCGAAACGATTACTCGTCCTCCAACACCACATCCTCATCATCCTCATCATCCTCTTCACCTTCCATCTTCTCTTCCTCTGGCAGATTAGCAAAATCAATCTTGACCCCTCGTGTACGGGTTTCAATAATGTTGGCAGCGTCAATTTCGACCAAATCCTCTTCCTCTGTTTCAGCAACCAAGATCAATACATGGCACTTCCCACAATCATCACAATTCTCACTCACCAAAATCAACATTGTCCTCGTCATCTACTTCCATCTTGTCCTCATCCTCCTCGCTCTCTTCTTCTTGCTCTGATTCGCCAGCCTTGGGCTGCTCTTCGTCTAAAGATTCCAATACAAATCAGTTTCCGGTTATTGCATATAACGATAGAATGCAAGGCATACCTTTAGGTACCTCTTGTTGGATGGCGGGAGCTGCAGCGGCTTTGAGGGATTCGATGGTAGGTTTTGTGGATCTGCCGTGGGTGTGGGAAAGAATGCGATCAGCAAAAATGTCCTAGTTAAAAGTGTTTGCGCCAAGTGCATCCGATATCCCTCTTGCCCCCCTTCCCTTTCTTTTGCACCCCAAGGTAAGATTGTTTCAAAGAACGCCCGGAATGGATCGTTCAGATATCTAGATCTACTTACTCATCAACCTCCAGTGAAGCATCTTTCACCTCGGGTTCGGTGGTAGCAAGCATAGTGACGGTGTAATGGAGAAAATGTTATAAAGAAAGAGTAAAGAAGTTGGACGGGGCTGATGAACGTCTTTTGAAGATGAGTTAGTGAGGAACCAACGAAAGGGCACCTTTTTATATGTCGGGGGTTGTCCGAACTAAGTACTCTGTTGTCCGAATGGCTCCTGCACCTAGATATGGTTAAATGCAATGTAGCACGTGCTACAGGAAGTTCGATGGTGTACAGATGATCCAAGGGCTAAGTATAGACAGTTTTCTATACTTGACAGTGAATCTATTGACGTAGGCTAAATAGGTCAAGTGTACTACATTCGCTGGTTATTGCATGCAAAGAGAAGCAACGTAACATGTCCCAAACAAACCGCGAAATAATAGGCTATGGCCACAGAAATGTCAAACAACCTTCAACTCTATGCTTTCTAACGATGTTATCTGAATAGGCCAGTCCAAGATATAGGTAACGGTTGGAACAACTAGTCTTTAGCATCCGCAATACCACCTTCGGTGATTTGATACACTGAAATGTTCTAACATTAGATTAAACGCAGGCAGGAAAGACTAGTAAACATTACCCGCTTCCGATTCCGGTACGTCTGGTGAATCATAAATCTTGCAAATCCTTGTTTCTCCTCTCCCTTTGCGAAGATAAAGGCGAGTGGTCGAAGCGTGAGCCAAAACGTGTCCACCAATAGGCTTCTTGGGATCAGCAACGAACGTCAATCCTGCTCCGGGGTCCGCGCACATCTGTCAAAAGCTTATGTCGTTAGCTTGGAGTGCATGTTCTTACGGTCAGCACAATGCATACCTGATTCGTGATAAATATGGCAACATTGAACTCTTCCGCAATACGCATCAGCTTCGCCATCATCTGATTAAGACGCTGTTGACGCTCGGCAAGCTCTCCACGGCCACTATAGTCTGTCCTGAATAAGGCAATGATCGAGTCAATGACTACTAAGCGATACTGCCGTTCTTCACAAAGTCGCGCAGCCAGGTGGTTCAAGAGCTCCATTTGGTGCTCGCTATTGTGCGCCCGAGCCACTGCAATATTATCAAGTGCCGCTTCTCCATCAACTCCAAAGCGGGTTGCGATGGCCTTGATACGCTCTGGACGGAAGGTGCCTTCGGTGTCGATGAACGCGGCCTAATGTGCACATGTGAGTGCTCTGCAGGGAACTTTACTATAAGAGAGGAAGCAACTTGCCTTCCCATTACCGCCACCCATAGACGTTGGCAGTTGCGCCATGACACAGAGAGTGTGAGACAACTGCGTCTTTCCTGTACGGAACTCGCCGAATGCCTCCGTGATTGACATGGTCTGTACGCCTCCCCCAAGGAGAGTGTCAAACTCCTTGCAGCCTGTGGATATGCGAACTACACTTTTCCGCTTCGATTCAAGCTCAGTTCCCGTCATAAAGCTGCAAGGGAGCAGCTTGTTCGCGGCTTCTTTCATCTTTTCAATCTTGGCTTCAGATAAGCCCTTAATTTTCGCGAGATTGCGACACGTTGTCATCTGGACGGCCTAGCGGTCGCGAAGGTAAATAGCCAATTTCCTAGTTACAGAGAAGGCAATTCTCAAATTACCCTAACGGTGGTGATACCATTCCCTTTCAATTTTTGAATGTCTGCACTATTGATTCCAGCGTCTTGGAGCTTCTCCACCTTACCCAATGTCCGTCAGAAATAGTATCCAGTATCCAGCGCAGAATTCTGTACACTCGCTTACCTCCATAAAATCCTGAGAGCATCCAATCAATATCGGGTGATGAGAGAAGAATAACCATTAGAGTGCAACAGGACATAGTATTACCGGGGAGACCTGTGAGGTTGGAGGAAACTTTAAGATGATGGCATGCATTTCGATTCATCCATATTATTCATATGTACTAGTCAGCCCCTTGTCCTTGACCACCTGAACTGTCTAAGCGAACATGCCTCATTCGCCATCCTTTCCCACCACCATTTTTATAACAGCATATGAGATTTCCGACTCGTGCTTTTACGATGCACCAGCGTTTAATGTGATTCCACACGTATTGTCACCCAAAAACTCACCTCAAATTCCTCTTCGAACTCCTCATCGGCAACCAGTTGATCTTGCATATCCGTCATCTTGACAGAAGGAACAGAGTACAGCCGCGTTCGGTTGAGATGTAGAGAGTGTGTTTTGAAAAGCAGCAAACAGGAGCACCGGACGACACTATGCTACTGTAAGTGAAGCTGAAATATTGCAGAAGGAAAAAGAACGATGTGTCGCCCTGGGAGCTAGACCGTGGGAGCAACAGATTTAGTCTTAACTTAAATGCTTGGGAACAAGTTTCAATCATCTGGCACGTGATGGTGATCTGTCATCCCCCGGAGCTTTACGTCAGCGTCGGGACTTACTGTTGTCCTTCTGAATGACCAACTTCCCAAACTTACACTTGCCATCAAATACCCCAACAGAACTATAATGCTCTCGTCCAGTATTTCAAGAAAGACGACAGGTCTTCGTCGCAATACCATTGGGCTTGCTGACGCGAACCAGCGGGATGCCAAGTTGCTGGATGCGACGGTACGTTTTATTCCACTTTTTTACATGTCCTTGGACCCTATCTGACAATGAAAGGCACAAACCCTAATGCTTTGTACGCTGCGATATTAAAGTTTGGCTTGCTCTTTGCAATGACCCAAGGGAATCATATCAATCCAACCCTCGCGCTTTGTCTTCAAGTTTTGGAGGATATTCAACTTTTTTCATTCAGTTTTCGCCAAGAAAATGGATTTCGCTCTATGCCAACGTGGATACCTTATGTTTTCAATCCTTTGAGCTGGAAACCCAAGGGACTAGCATCCTTCCACGTGCTTTTCTACTGTGCGTATACCGCCGCCGTGATAACAGTGCTACTCACGTGCGTGGTAGCGTTTTCCATGAAAGGATCTAAATTGAAAGGTTGGGCTATTCCTTCGTAATTCTTTTTAAAATGAATCACTAATTGGAGTAAAGTTGTCTGGCCGCTGCAGGTATTACGAATCCTAACAACCCTTATCTCTACCGTTCTGTTTATTCCCATGATGGAAATCTTCATGCACGCGTTCGCATGTTATGAGAGTACGACAAACGATGCACTACTCGTGTCCAATTCCACACAGTGCTTTCACAAGGACTTTTTGCCTACATTCATTTTATCAATACCTGGCATTCTATATCTGGTGTTGCAAGTCCCGATTACCAGTCTGGTATTCTTTCCCATTAATCCGAGGGGGGATGACTTGCATGCGAAGACTACCGGCCGTATCGACGCAATTTATCAACTATTTCGGATTGTGCTTGTCGTTTGCATTGAGATTGCCGAAGACAGCCCCGCAGTTGTTTTGGCTGTTCTTGCTATCTGTTGCTTCACGATATTTTACATGACAGCGCGACAACAGCCCTTTTTCTCTAAGCACATGAACGACCTGCGGTGCGGAATACTTTTTGCTAGTTTTTGCTCGAGTATTCATACCGGTGTCGTCTATGGGATGGGTGGAACAGACAACGTTTCAGCTTTTGTAATCATCTGCGTGCTGTTAGTCCCAGAGTTTGCTTGCGGATTTGCAATGTCCTTCTATGCAAGATCCTGGATTGCAAATGGAGTCATTCAGAAACTACAAGGTTGCATTTAGTGATTTAGTCATATGAAAATATTTGACCGACCGTCTGCAATAGCACGACAGAAGCAGGTGGAGGAAGGCCTTAATCCGGAAGATCAACCGTTGCCTGCTACGTCAATTTTGTCAAAAAAATCTTTAAGCGCTTTGGAAGCCAAGAATTGTGTGATGGGGAGCACGGTTATGCCTGAGGATGCGGAAAAGGGCGCTGTAACTGGGAAAGTCCTTGAAAACGCTGGCAAGATCATCCGAAAGCGCTACGTACAGCCGTTGGTAGTGTTTTCTCAGTTTCAAGTGCGTGACCATTATAATTGTATCCGAATCCCAGAAATGTCGCTAACGGAGACGACTAGGATGTGGAGATCGCATGTCGCTTTCTGCAATACAATCGTGATCCAGAGGCTCTCCACCTTGCAAAAGCAATCTTTGCGGCCGGAGTTCGACAGTTTCCAAAGTCGCCAAGGTTAAGACTAATGCAAGGTAGGCTACATTGCTACTGGTGCCGCATACAATGGCTAATCGACCCTTGATCTCAGCATATTACATTGCTTTGTACGATATATCGCACATTGATGAGGTTTTTGATTGCCTTATTGCGGCCAAAGTAAGGAAAAAAATTTGCAGTTTTGGTTTTCGGGAACATTGTGCTAAAGTTTCTGTCAGAAATTGAAGCCAGCATTTGACACCCGCTTCTTTATATTCTTCGAAGAAAGAACCATGGAACAGGAAGACCGGAAAGAAGAGCTAATGATTTCGACACTCAATGTAACGGAGTATGCAGAAATTACCGCGATGGAGCACGGTGAGTAGCGTCACAACGGTTTGGTGACCGTACAATTAATATTTGTTACCTGACGACAGGTGCACAGCGATACCATTTAAATTCGCTCCTCTCGCTAAAACTACTATGGCAGTACCTAAAAAATGAAAAAATTGTTATTTCATGCATCCCGTATTTGCTTGAGGCAGTAGAGAAAAATCGTAAAATTGCTGATTTACACTATCAAAGCATTATCAGCAAATATCCAGTACGTTTTGGCTTATGATCTGACAACACCATTGGATGGATAGCTAAATTTCTTGCAGAAATCGAAGCAAGTATTGAGACGGTACAGCAATTTTCTTATCAATGTTTGCGGGGACCACGAAAAAGCAAGGAAGCTTCTTGAGGTGTGCCATGGGATCTTTTCTGAATATCTCGTGGTCTTTGCTTACCATTGCACAGCGTGCAGAAGATATTGAAAACCAGGAAGTTCGCGAGAGTTCCATGCGCAGTGCCAATGAACGTCTGCGGAAAGAGAATCAGTTTGGCAACGAAGAATTTGATATTGAAAATAGCTCAGCGTATGTACAGGCTGAAGAGCTCAGCTTGCCAAGGCAAGATTGTGCGGATATAGTCCAGGTGACGGATTTGGATCTCAATGCCCTGGGAGCACCTGACCTTCCCCGTCGAAGCGGAGTGGATACGTCATCTGGCCGTCGTCGAAGTGTGAGGATTGAAGAGGAGGGGTCACTGGGGGGTGAAAGGCGTGAGAAAAAAATGAACCTGGAGAGAATGCCGTCGCCTGTTACTCCTGTGCCGATGATGGCAATCAAGCAGCCGAGTGTGGTTGACTCAACTGCGAGTTCGCAACGAGAAATACGCCAACAGAAATATTATCGAGAGCTAATTGAATTTAAGCTCTTTGCCCCTGTTCAGCAATATCGATATCTTATCAACATCGCTTTGCTTTGCCTCCTTGGAATTCTGATTGCGGGGTGTACCGTCTCGGTCCTCGGATATTCTGCAATAACTGAAGCGCTACAGGATGCTTACGCACGTCTAAGACCACGAGGAACATTTATGCGAAGTATGCAACGCTCTAGTCACAAGGAGATGCAAATATAGCTGACACGTTCCTCTCGCTAAAGTATGTCGGGTCATTCGTGAAATTGTGGCCATCACACAGGGAATTCTACCAGTACGGAGTACGCAGACGGCACTTGAAACCCGTGTGGCAACACTTTCTCAATATGTGAACGGAGTCTGGATACCCACCATCTTACCTATTCTGCAACGGAATCATCTGGACGATGAGCCGCGTATCATCATCAAAATGTCTCGCGGTTCTGGAAGCAAGTGTGCTGATATGCAAATGTCTTGCACCACCTGTACTTACACGTTCCCCGCATGCCCGCAGGTCGCCTGGAAGTGTTCAGTCCTTACTTTCTGGGCCAACTCATTGCAGAGTATGCACAATCCCTCGTAAACAGTTCTCTGAGTACGTTCACTGCTCCAGAAATCAGCGCCCGCACGGACATCCGCATATTCCTGGACAATATTTTGTCAATTGCTCAATCCTATGACTCCCTGACCGATGGAGCCATGACTTCTTATCTCAGTTATCAACGGAACAACACAATGGCAATGGGTTTGTTTCAATATATAGCGGTGTCAAACAGGAGGCGCCTATATTCACATGAATTGTCCTCTCTAGTGGCCATCCTGGTCGCCTTGCCGCTTTTATGCTTTCTAATTGGCGTCGTTCTGTTCCGTCCAATAATCGAGAGGGCATACGAAAAGCAGCTTCAAATCCTCAGTCTTTTTGGAAGCTTTCCCAAAAAATACGCGAATCAAAAGCTTGATGACTTAGAAATTGAAATTGAAGCGATTATGGAAGAGCTGGAGGCGGACACCGACGGGGCGGTGGCTGAAAGTGCGCCAAAATCCTTCAACATCACCTTGCCAAGAGAAGTCGTAATGGCTCGACATAGCCCTAAACGCATGATAAAGGTGGGTAGGTTGGGGCGTCTCTGTGAACACAATTGTACCAAGCTTTCTATTCTTCACAGCTCTTGACCATGTGCTTGTCCTTGGTCGGATTAACCGGGACGCTCATGTTCATTCCTCCTATTCAACAAGGCCAAGTAGGTTCAGGGCAACCATCCATCTGGGTATGCTTCAAAATGCGCCGCGACTGATCTTTCTGCCTTTAGTATGCGCGGAATGCCGTCAACACGATTCGTTATCTTAGTGATCGGACATTCTATGTGGGCCTAAGTTCGACTATCGCTGTGGAAGTAGCCGCACAAGATAACACTTGCTGGATGCCCGGGATGCAAACTTTATGGCTAGAGTACTATCTGGATAGATACGACGCGGCAAATCGAGCGCTTCTGATCACCACATCTGATGCTCCGAGCTTGTACGACTTTCCTGAGACTCAGGTAGTCCTGAAGACCGGCGGATTCTGTCTGCTGCAAGACCCAAATGGATGTGACGATGATAAGCGGTGAGTGTGGATGGCTCTTAGGTACGGTGTTCATTAGATATTGATATTTCCCTAGAGAATATAATGCAACGATAGGCTTCACCAAAGGCCTTGTCACAAGTTCCTCCGAGTTCATTAGTGAGTTATTCGCATAGTAGGAAGGGGGGCATAGAAAATGAATCGGTCGGATGCTCACCGTACGCGCTTCTGCAGTTCACAAATGGTACGAATCGATGCGACAATTCCTGAGCAGCCCTCCTTTGCAGCAAACCTTCGCTAATGAGCAGCTGCAACTTGCGATCTCTCTGGGCGACGATATATCTGGTGCTGCAGCGATGATGAATAATTTGATCGTCGATCACGTAGAAAAAACGAGCTCAACACAAAAAGCCATTAACGTTTTCATTTTTGCTTTGTCGCTCGCGATATTTGGTCTCTCATACATCTTGGTCTTCAGACGCATAATGGAGAAGATCAAAGGGGAGCTGGGTAGCATTGTCTGGTTACTATTTACGTTGCCAACTGACATAGTTCAATCAATTCCCGAACTGAAGGTGAGATTGCAAAACAGTGCCCCCTAATTGAAGTTACTTGGTAAAGCCTGCTGATTTGGTCTTTATCTCAGCGATTTATCGAAAGTGGAGGGGCACTTTTACCGCAACGGAAACAGCTCTGACCTGTAATTTATGAAAGAAAGAATGCGAGATGTGTTTAACAAAGACATTGATAGCACCCATAATTTACGCCCTGGCTGCTCTTGTATTAGAAAAGTCATCGTTTTTGGACACGTTTTCATGTGTCATTTTGCACAAGAGTATTCAATTTGCTCATCGCAGCAAAATCTAGTTATCACCTAGAGTGTTGTTGGTTCCGGTTTTGCTACAAGCTAGGGTACGATAGCTAACGCTGGGCGAACGACTCCCTTGCAGTTACTTGCATCGGATTTAGCAAGGCCATGAAAAAGTACGCTTGCGGTCTGCTGATTCAAATGTTTCTCCAAAAGGAATTAGTGGTAATCATCCTTTTTTGGCCGCCCTCCTGATATCGGCATCCTTTTTGTTCATGAGAGTCGGCGAGGAGATTACCCAGACCGTCGATTTCCGCAACTTCACGTGGGTATGCTTCACGTGGATATAACTCATCAGTCGCTGCCTACTCGCCTTTCCATACCTCATTAATCTACTATCGACATGGCTCAGAAAAGTAGCCTTGCAGCTGCATTTGAGGCGGCATTCCTTTATACAGGGTTTTTCGTAACTCGAATCCTGACGCTCCTGCATCTGGATGTTCCAATTCGCGCCTTGTTGCTCAAGATTCAACCGGCTCCAAGCAAAACTGACGATATTCCGGACATCAATAAAGTCATTCTAAAGACGTTGGACGAAAATGATGGGGGTATTCAGGCTGAGAAATTGTGGGAGAATGGGCCTTGCTTGATTGTCGTCATTCGACGGCCTGGATGTCTGTTGTGCAGGGAGGAGGCTTCCAATGTTGCAAAATACAAGGAGCAGATCCAGGTGAGCGTCTCTGATGATCTTGTGCTCTGAAGTTTGACTATATCCCGTCTAATTGCTCGTAAAATTAGAGCCAAGGTGTAAGCTTGGCCGCTGTCGTTCATGAACGGTTCGGGGCAAAGGATTTTGGAGAGAAGCATTGGTCTGGCCTGCCACTTTATTTTGATGAGAAAAAGGACATGTACAAGATTCTCGGGTGTGTTTTCAACGACGTGCTCTGCTATCTTGCAACTATTAGCTTGACTTAAAGACGCACATTAGACGCGGAAAATTCAACTGGATGGGACTCGATGGTCTAGTCTCCTTGAACGCCTACAAGGCCCTGTTCCGGGCCCGCAGCGCTGGGTTTGAGGGAAATATAAAGGGTGAAGGACGGTAAGCGTTTGCTCTGTGAATAAGCAATGGAGAAGAATACTGAGGCTAGCTTGTCAGGATTCTGGGAGGTCTGTTCATTATGTCGAAAGATGGGACCCATTATGAGTTTGCCGAGAAAGAGTGGGGTGACCATGCTCCCATCCAAGGTAGCTACGGCATCCATGTTTCTACAAAATGATGTTGCTCTTAACTAAGAACCCCCTTTCCTAGATGTTCTCGAAGTTTGCAAGTCATTGGGTGCGAAAAGAAAACCGTAAATCTACTGCACCACCAACATAGATCTATTCTATTAGTATATGCATTGAAATCCTGTGCTACATGGTCCCGCGTCACTTTCCCACGGAAAATAATATCTACATGGCAAGTACTCTATATAGTGCTAATTTACACCTCTCCAAGTAGCCTATGTTCTCTTTGGAGCTTGGTCTGTCTCCGCCGTTTTCCGTCGTTTTGAATATGGAGCCCTGACCTGACCCTTCTCCCGATTTATATTCCGTTTCTGTCCAAAATTTGTGTCCACCAAATGCTAATGGATGGGACGTGGCAAAAAGATCAACATCGAAACGAGTACATCCCACATGAAGGGCTAATACATACCATATTGGCGACTCGTTGTGCCAATGATACTTCATTCAGCATTTCCAAGACATCATTCTCCTCAACCTCCAGTTCTTGCATCTTTTTATTCATTTTTGTCTCGATATTGAGCAGAACATTGATATCGTGCTGCGTTACAAGCGACAAAGACAAACCGCCTCGTCCTGAAAGATATCTTGTGTATAAGAAAAAGCAGACATTGTATGAGTGCCATTCGACGCATACCTGCTCGTGCGGTACGACCGACACGGTGGATATAGTCAGTTGCATCCGCGGGTAACTCGTAATTCAATACAACTTGAACTGTCGGAATGTCAAGACCACTAGAGAAGCGCCCATAAGCATATAACTACAGTGTCCGCCAATTCATAAACTCATCCTACATACCGACTACCGACGTCGGTCGCCAGAAGAATGGGAACAATCCCACCTTTGAACTTCGCCAGAGATCCTATCCGATCATTTTGAGACATCTGGGCATGCAGTGCCGTAGATTTGAACCCCAATTCGCGCAACATAATCCGCAACCGCTCGCACGTTCTGACGTTGGTTGGTCAGAAAATCACTCGGTTATCCTTTGAAAACCAGTTTCCTTACCGGCATTTTCCGGTGAATATGATCATTGTTTTTCCCTCGAACCTGCTCCTTAGGAGATACGCGAGATAGGCATCCCTGACTGTCGACGATATGAAGAGATATCGTTGGTCCAACTTGTCCACGGTGTCAAACCTGAAGATGATAACCTCTTGTGAGGGATTTCTTCGAAATGAACCCTTTCATTGATGCTGACCTTGTATTACACTGATAGGTGAAAGGCTTTGCTGTTGTCGAGAAGTTCAGTGACTCGATCTCAGGTGTCATCGTGGCACTAAAGAGCAAGGTTTGCCGTTGCTTCGGTAGTTGGTCAAGAATGCAAGCCAGATCATCCGCAAAAGTATCGTCGAGTAATCTATCTGCCTCGTCAAGAACCTGATTGCGTGTCATGTTGGAATGCAATTTGACAGGCACTTTCCACATGTCATGCTTTTTACTTACAAGAAAGCGCAGTCTCTTCAGATTCACCGCATTTGTGCTGCTGTTGATATGATCAACAAGTCGCCCTGGCGTCGCCACAATAACATGGGGTCGTCGAGAAAGCTCCAAGGCTTGTGTCATCATATCTGGCCAGGAGAAACATGATATATTTACTCACCCACCCCGAGATATTTCTTGCATTGCAAACTCTTAAACAACACTTACCCAACCCGCCGACAACAACTGACTGCTTTAAATTTATCCCAGTTCCCAAAACTCGAAACTGTTCGGCGATCTGAAAGGCAAGCTCCCTTTAGGGAAGAAAAATATGAGCCCGAAATATGAGCGGCCTCGTATTCCAACCAATGAAGCATACCTTGTTGGTGTCAGCACCAGTGCAAATATACCATAGGGATCTTCTGCCAGCTTTTGGAGTATTGGAAGCGCAAAAGCAGCAGTTTTACCGCTACCAGTCGTTGCACTTCCGATAACGTCCCTTCCCGACAGAATTGGTTGTATGCACGCACGCTGAATTTCGGTTGGCTCTCGAATAGACAACGACTTGAGGGCCTCAACCAGCCAGGGGTCTAAGCCCAAGTCTTTGAAGCTTTGTTTGGACAACGTCTTGTCAACCATATTCTGTTTGAGGAGCGGTCGGTGACACCTCTGCCACAATTATCCGAAGTGCACTAGCCGTAGGGCTCTAGACAAGTATATCAAAAGTGGTGAGAGAAACTGCAAGGATAGAAAATCCTCGTAAATGCTACAAAAATTGGGTTGGGCGACTCTTCTGCAGACATCATGAAAATTGCTTAGTCAGCAAAATGATGGTTTGAACCATGGCAAACCGACATCAGAGCGACGATCGCACATCATCCACAAACCCAAGCACATGATTAATCGTCAAAATGCACCATTTTCGTCACCTTCGCAAAAGCCTGTCACTTGGAGCGTCTCTGCCAGTTCGACGGTTGATTCCAATCTCACAGTCTTTCTTTACAAGCTCAGTATTTGGTTCACCCGTGAACTCCAAAGCTCGCACGTTTGACCCAAACCGTCCGGTTGCAGAAGTACAGGTTAGCAACCCACCTGCTCTCGTGGTTGTACCGGTTAAAAGTCTCTCATTCCTCTGTTATGCGAGCAGGTTGCTTGGACAGGAACGGATTCATTACAGTTTCTCGGCCAGGATGCCAGTGGGTAAGAAAATAGTGGTCATATTGTCCAGACGGCCCTGGATTATTAAAGAAATATATTCTGGTCTAAACAGCAACGAAGTATTGATGTCGGTGAGTGCTCGCATGTCAGAGAGGTTCGCGGCCGTGAGTGAATGCGGTGGGATAACGTTGATCCTAAGGCATCAAAAGCTCCAGGGGTTGGTCCAATGGCCATGCTGCTGATGGGTTTAGGGGGCTGCTCAGCTGTTGACATTGTAGGAATACTACAAAAGCAAAGGCAGAGTTTAGAAGGAGTAAAGGTATGCACATATGCACAAGCCTTGTGGTTGAGAACATGTGAATTTTCATCATTAACAGGCACTGTAGATTCGAATTGAGGGTCAGCGTGCTGAAGAGATGCCACGACCATACGAAAACATCCACATGACGTTTATTATTTCAGGAAAAGGACTGGACAAGAAGAAGGTAACGATTGTCTTAAATCTCAATGATTATCGACCAATGTCCAACTCTATACGCTACATCTAGGTTGACCGCGCAATCGAACTCGCTGCGGAAAAATATTGTGGTGTGCACGCTACACTAAAGAAAGCAGCAAATATCACCCTCTCTTCAGAGATTATAGAAACAGGATCTCAATAGAAAACTGAAAGACATTAGCAGATCCCCTGTCTTACACCCGAAAGTTGGGCTATAGGTCCTTTACTCGGCGAATCGCAGCCGCGTATTCGTCCTTCCATCGGGCCACCAAAGTTTCTACCGTTGGAATATCGTGAATGTTGATGACCGAATGGCCTGCCGACCATATATCTCTCCACGCCTTGCTTTCTTTTGCGGATGGATCTACAAATATGATCAGAAACCAATCGGGTATGAAGATGTTGTCCGTCCTTACCAAGCTTGCTGAAGTCTTCCGTGCCCAGTGAAGGGTGGGCCGGATTCTCTGGATCAAGACCCGCCCGTTCAAGACTACTCCGCAAGAAGTTGGCATTTACCCCACTTCAATGTAGTATTTTAGCGAGGTGTCAGAAACATAATTTTGAGTCATTTACCATACCTTATTTTGTCAGTGTAAACTGTCGGAAGGAAGGACGGGGAGGGACCTTCGTTACTAGTAAGCAGCATCTGCTTGTATGCATCTGGGGCCATACTTTCCTGAGTTGCAATGAAGCGTGTGCCTATGTAAGCCACATCAGCACCCAGGGTTTGAGCGGCTCGGATAGACGCTCCATCCGATATGGCCCCCGCAAGGCATATCACTCCCGGAAAGAACTCGCGAAGCTATGCAGGCGGGAAGAAATTAACATTTCATTCGTCCGAATTAAGTTGGCTCGCTGGTCAAACTGGGAGCTCCAGTGGTATCTACGTTCTCTTACTTTCGGTATCAGAGCGAAAGGGCTTGCTACCCCTGCATGACCACCAGCGCCTGCGCAAACTGCAATCAATCCATCAACGCCGGCCTGTACAGAGGTGTCAGAGCATTAGTACACCAGCTTGTTGACTACCAAGCAACAAAGGCACAGCAACCTCCGCAGCCTTCTGTGCATGTCGAACGTTCGTAACCTGGAAGAAAACCGGTCAGATCTCTGAGATCCAATGGAACTTGCAGCACACTGAGATAAGAGTCTCACATCGTGGAAAACTGCACCACCGTACGAATGGACCGCATCGACTACATCTCGCGCGGCACCAAGTGAAGTAATAACTAGCTGGTTGACAACAGTTTCTATAAATTACTGGGACTGTGTTCGGCCTATGAAGACATCCAAACTTACTGGAACCTATAGATGGATTTCTAAGTAACAGCATAAGCGGAATAGAAAGAGCAATCCTTCTCCAAACCTGGTGTTTCACTATCCTATCCAAATTTTGACTCAACCGCTTATTCGTTTTGTGAACAATCAAGTTGACGCCATAGGGCGCCGGTGGCGGCAGATTTCGAGCTTGTGCTCGCTCTTCCTTAGCTTGTCTCAGCGACTCTCTTATTTCCGTCAACCAATCGTCGAGAATCTCGTCGTTCCGGGTGTTTAACGCTGGAAACGTCCCCACGATGCCTGTGTGGAGATCAGCACATGATACTACTACATACAGTCGGGAAACTCCATCACGGACCTTGCTTGCAAGCGTTGATGACAAGCCTAGTTCCAGAGACAAGGAACATAGGTGCACAGATAACCGGCAGTGTCAGCGACTTGAGGAAGGCGGGTTTTGGAGGCGGCATTATTATGCGTGGGACCTTGTAAAGCCAAGTGCCTCTCCACAGGCCTCCATATTATCCTATTTCTGGCTTACTAATGGTGTAACCTGAGATCGGCTTACTAAGCATTTCTCTAGGACATTACGGCCCAATAAAAAAAAAACATCTGAGCTTCTTAGACTGTAACATACAGCAGAAACGCAGAGGTGGGTTCCAAAAGAAGGGACATTTGACCCTTCATAAATAAGCCACTGATGGTCTATTTATCTGCTACGCCTTGAATAGTCACCACACATTGTCTTGCTCCTCCGTGATTCCTCGCTTCACAAAACCAGATCCCTTGCCAAGTTCTGATAAACGACGCGGTCAATTTCTTCCCGTCAGTAAAGACATGGGTATGTTGCTTACCCAAGAGCAAGCGATCCTTTGCTGACTGGAATGTTCAAAGATACTCCCAGCAAGGAGGACTTCACATGGCCCGGCTTTTGAGTTGGGCATTAGCAAATGTCTGTGCCAGCAGATACTGCTTCCATGATTGCCAGTTTGAATAATCTTACCATGTCATCAGAACCTGTCAACACGTTTCCGGAGTGGTCGTGTGAATATAGCGGAAAGACCAATCAATATATAACAGCCTATGTCACCTTCCATCTAATAGATATCACATTAGATCACGCGTATCAAAAAGGGGTACAGAACGTACTACATACCGTATGGCAGTAGGGTGCCTCCTCCGGTGCCAATCGGTTCAGCATCATTTCCATATCAACCCTAATACAACATCTTCATCAAAGACCGACCGCACAGCGTGGTCACAACGTCCTTTACCTTACATCTGAATCTTTTTGCACAAAAAGTATCCCTGTCAGCAACCATAACCCCACGCTTCCTGATAGAACGTACCATAATTCTCGTTGATAGTTAAAGCTGCGGAAGTGTGTTGCACTAGTAATACCGATGAATCGATAAGAAGTTCGACAACTAGATCGTCACTAGGGTTCAACTCACGGAAGAAGTTCGCCATACCGACTTTGAAGGATTTGAGTTCTGGAATCTAAGGAAAGTACCATACATTAAATATGCTACTACGGCACGCTTAGTATTCCCCAACTGACACACCTGTCTGATATCCGTTTCCGCCATGTCGCACGCGTCGTTAGTCATAACACCCAGAACTTAAGTTGCACTTCTGTGTACCTCAACACATCTTGCCTGAGCGCTAGTATTAGCCTGATTCCGCAAGAATATAAGAGTAACACGAACTCACGTAACTAAATGACAGCCTCGAGGTTTTGCTGGGAGGGTGATCACCTATAGTGCCAACACCTGTCCGTCAAATCGGCCTTGGTGAAGACAAGCCGGAACAGAGAGCGTCGACACCTCGTCCGTACTCCGGCATTCTTACTTACCTTTTGAAACCACTGAGTTTGCCCGCTAATGAAAGACATCTTGGTTGCACTTTCCGCTGCAAAATGGTGAAGGTTAGGGTGACCTCATCCCGAGTGAGTCAAATATGTGGGGCCGCTGAGGTAAGTCAATTCAACATATCACATGACATATTTAAATTTGGGCATATCAACTTTTTGGGAACCATGACAACAAATAATTCCAATCGCATGGCGTAGCAAATTACGCGCTATAAAAAGGGGCCCTCTCGCGCTTGCCCCCCTTCTCACCAACCGATCCTTCAAGACGCGACTCATACTACACTAAGGTGAGGGCGGGAGGACATTGCAAGGCTTCCTTCACAGGAGGGGCATTCGCTGCGACCCGGACGACGGCTAGGCCCAATATCAGTATTGTCAGTATTGACTGGGCACTTGGGTGCTACGGCGGGAGTCTAGCAGCCTACGGGATCTTACGGTTTGTCCTACCTGCCAAGAGTAACCCACCGAGCGATTTGAGACTAGGTCAATAGGTGTTCCTGGTATCTTCGGGGTTCCTGTGTGTGGTAGTTCTTGTGGTAGTGGAACCTGCTGGGGCCTTGCAACATCGGAGTCTAGTGCTCGATCGTCGATGAATGGGTAGATGGGTACTGCTCTGAGTGTACTGTGTTTGGGTTGTCCCAATAGTGACGCCCAGGTATCTACGGGGTTCCTGTGGTAGGGGGGACCTGCTGGGACCTGGCTGGGACGGGAGGCAACTTAGAACGTGGTCGCAGACGGTTCCATTTGGGATGCGTTTTCGTATTTCAAATGTTTGCGTGTTTTACTGACCCTCACTATTTTTTAGCTTTCTTTTCGATAGATTCGACCGCGACCTTCGCAGCCTGTAGAGAAGAAGGCGGTGGTGTGCACAGTCTCTAGTTTAGAAATTATGTTGTATGTGGGAAAGAATAAATTCATGTCTCAAACTGGTGTGAAAATTGAATCTGTTCTTCGCCATGTTTGGTGTCGACCACAATTGTCCTAGACAGATCCAAGAGCCTGAACCTGTCTGCATAGAAATATGGAGGATAATATGGACTGGCTATTTCAAATGAAGTTGGAAGGAGTTGTATAATTCAAGGGCATATCTATTAGAGCGCCTACCATCTGCGCCTACGAAGTATAATGTAAAGAGCGCCGATAATATTAAAACCTACAACATCGCCTTAACCACTACCAAATATGATGACCCTGCACTAAGATATAAACGTCCGAAACATTTGTACAAGAAAAACTCTCCCACGCCCTCTGGCAGTTGATCTAATGAGGTCTAGGTTGTCTATCGCCAGTTGCTCGTATATGAGGCCTGTCTACGCGCAGAAGCTCTAACACTCCACAATCTCTCCCATATATGGGGCATCACCAGAATCCACTCACCCTTGCCACATGGTGCGTGCGGGCTTATTGCGCTTTGATCGCCTTAACTGGGACACTTCCAGCAATTGCTGGTACTTGGGGCTTGATGAGTCTCATTTTACGCACCCACATTCGACGACGAGTTAGGGACGACATTGCAGCTTTACTCTTGGCATTCGCCCAGACATGGTCCGTATACTGCCATCCTTGTTCATCCACATCCGCCCAGCCAACATCCAGACGCCAGTCTTCGTCCATCCATTGCCAAACACCACCGTCTTCTGGCAGCTCGAATACTTCCTTGGGAGCTCGTGTGATCTGACCAGTTTCGTCACTCCAGGGGCCACGTTCAGAACGAAGAAGATGAGGAATCCATCCAAGACCTGCATTACACAAAAGATTCAATATCGAAATACTGCCATCTACAGGACGCGGACAGATTTACTCACCAGCCCACCACCTCTGATTTTCAAACAGAGTAACTGTGACAACACTGCCATCTCCAGTTCGACGAGCTTCCCGGATGGCCTCGCGGATGTTGTCGACCTGGTTCTGAAGTTTCTTTATCAACACCGGGGGGAGGGTGGTGGAGGCTGCGCGAAAGAGAGCAGTGTTCTGTAGGAACACGCTTACACCACCGAGGAGCATGAGGTAGTTGAAGGGGATGACACGGATGACAAAGATGACACCGAACATGGAACCAACGGCAAGCTTTAGAAGGCGGATCGTTTCTTCTTCGTTGGACCAGTCAAGAGCCTTCGAGTTCTTTTTAACATCTTCGTAAACATCGCAGAACATCCCCATTGAGTTCTGGATGAATTGCATATTTTTGAGGTACTGGACGTTCCCGCTCGTCTTGCGGCCAACAACTTCCTTCTTTGTCTTCTTGTAGTAGTTGCGCATGATGATGTAGATGAGAAGCATTTGAGGTGCAACGATGAGGAGGGTTGGGTATATACCTGAATAGTAAGAGTGAGTCAAAATATGAATGACTTTTGCGGATGCCGATGATGAACTCACAAAGAAAAATGTACGTGACCATCACGATAATAGTCTTGGGCGGATTCTGCCAGGTCAGCACTTCTGCAATGTCATCTTGGAAGTTGACAGCAGGACCAAGGCGTGCGACAAACCGAGTAAAGTTCTTGGGTGTAGTAGTCAGGAGGTTCAGTGGTGGAGCAGCATCCTTTGCCGCTTTCTCCATTGCCGCAGAGTTCATTGCAGTATTTGTGATCAATTCCTGAACAATGCTCATTTCTTTCTCCGTAGGGCCGGCGGTGACCGACCGCTTCATTGGGGGTTTGCGAGGAGCCGTGATCGCTTTCCCAGCCACGTCACTTTGTCTCCGCTTGACGAGAGTACGCTCCGAATCACCGGCATCTATGTACGTGCCGTTCGGAACCAGATCTGAGCTTGACCGCTCCCGGTATCTACCAGGGGCGAAGTCGCCACTACAAGCAGTTGACACCAAGTGCTGGCACTTTTTGTGGACGTTGAATCCACAGTCTGCAATGAGAATTGGGAATAAGTCACCGCTTCAGCGCTTAACGGTAGCGTCATGCCTAAATACTTTAGGATACCTACTTTTACACTGAGCACCTTGCTTTACAAGCCCCCACAAGAACTTGTCACAAGCATCACAGTATGTTGGCCTATTATAGGTCGTGACCTCGAAATTATGCACGCCGCCCTCAGTCATGGTCATTGGGTAACTGAGATGGGAATTTGTCCAACAAAAAACAGGAAGATAGAGATGAGGGACACTCTCCTTTCTAGACAGAAACCACAGAGATAAAACCAGAGTAGTAACCTACCAAAAAAAAAAAGGAACGGCTTTGGAAACCGACTCGTCGCAACCTTGTATGAAATTCAACAGTCACCCGTTTCTAAAAAAGTTACTGTGTTGGGGGGAATACCACACCACTACAAAACACTAATGTCCTCTCTTCGCAGATGAGATGCTGATGCCAAGACGGCGAGCTGTCGAAAACAGAGATTGTTAAATAGCTCTTTTGCCGTTCGGCTGGAGGAAAGTGCCCTGTCCGTTGAGAGATTTTTGATTTTCCAATTCGGACAAATACAGGCAAAATTGTACCACTGACGCAAGTTTGGTGCAGATATATCCCGTAAACTCACGTTCGCTTGCAGGCAATTCTTTCCTTTCGCTGTTATTTTTGATTTCACAGCGGTCCTTCTTTTGAACATCGTTCCCGCTGCAATCAGTCGAAATAGTAACTAACATGGTTTTCTTTCTGCTTAAACCATAAAATGTAGGTATGGAGCCTTGGCCAAATCCACGTGACAATGGGGTTGCTTGCCATTAGGGAATAGGAAACTTTAAATATGATAGCCAAAAAAAGGATCTCCAGCAGAATATGGTGGTATTAAAAGGCCATATACAAAATCATGCATAATACTAGAAACCACAGTTAGTGAACTTTCGTGACGAGGTCCAAAGACATCATTTTGCCCATATACCTGAAGAGATGTTTTCTTCTTGGCCTGTACCTCCTGAATGCCCTCCATATAGTCCTCATGGGTAATTTCGCTTGCTGCCCTTCGCAGTGCAATCATACCCGCTTCAACACAAACAGCTTTACATTGAGCACCATTGAACTCGTCGCACGTTCGTGCCAACTCGTCAAAGTTTACGTCAGGTGAGACAGTCATCTTTCGGGAGTGGATTTGCATAATGCGTGCTCGGCCCTCTTCGTTAGGAAGGGGGAATTCAATCTTACGGTCAAGACGACCTGAACGTAAAAGGGCGGGATCGAGAATATCGATACGGTTGGTAGCTGCAATAACCTGAAAGATCCAATTTAGCATCGTATGTGTTGTGTTGCCAATTGGATTTACCAAATGGACATACATACCTTGATGCGGTCATCGCTGCTAAAACCATCCAACTGATTAAGTAGCTCAAGCATTGTACGCTGAACTTCACGGTCTCCGGATTTTTCACTGTCAAATCGCTTTGTTCCTACAGCGTCGATCTCGTCAATGAAAATGATTGCTGGTGACTTTTCCTTGGCTAAGTTGAATGCATCGCGAACAAGTTTTGCACCATCACCAATGAACATCTATAAGATACGGGATGAGTTCAACTATATTACCATCTACACGCTTCCTTTGGGCTCGGACACTGTACCTGCACCAACTGCGGCCCAGCTAGTTTGAGGAAAGTAGAGTTTGTTTGAGCGGCACATGCCCTCGCGAGAAGAGTTTTACCAGTCCCCGGCTAGTGAAAAAATAGCGAGCGTCAGCGTCTACAGCCAAATTCTAATGCTATGATTTTGATGAGTTCAACGAACTTACCGGACCGTACATAAGACATCCTAAAAAAACGGACATAAGAACTTTGATCAAGTAAAAGAGTATGTTCAGCAATTTGCGTACCCTTCGGTGGCTTAATTCCCAAATTTTGGAAGCGCTCGGACTGGGTCATAGGTAAGACAATAGCCTCCACCATTTCCTCGATCTGCTTATCGAGGCCACCAACGTCATTGTAGTCCTCAGTTGGCTTCTCGTCAACTTCCATGGCCTTTACTCGAGAATCATACCTTAAGCAACAGTATGTTAGCACAGTCTTCATACTGACATCCAAAAGCGAAAAGCAACCACTTACTCCGCCGGTAGCGTGTCGAGAATCAAATAACTGTCCTTGTTTACACCAACAAGATCACCAGGCTTCAACTTTTCCGCATCGACCAGTCCCACCATTGGCAAAAATATGGTTTGACGGGTAGAAGTTTTGACAACCGCACATTTTCCTTTACGGTGAGCATCCAAGTCGATATTCGCCCCATCTTCCTCTGGTTCTTCATCTGGGTTCATGTCCAAGATCTATAAATCAGAACACTGAGTTCCACTGTCATACGACGCAAGCCCGTAGTTGCTCATAATTTCATACCTCAACTACATTTGCCACCAAGTATGGCAATTGCTTATTCAGCTTGATTTTCTCCTTGTTATCTTTTATCCTCTCCTTCATAGCATTTTGCTCATGGGTCAAACGCATTTGTTCGCTTTTCATGACCTGAAGCGCGTCCATGACATAGTGAGCTTTCAATCGCTTCCGAGTTGTACCGACTAACGTTCACAGTTCGTTCAATATGGACTCCCCCTCAAATGCATGTGGTCCAGGCTTGGCCATCATCCGCGCTCATTTTTGCCTCCACTAGGGTAAGGCACTTTCGGAGGTTTTCCTTTTCGTATCCACTTTCAATCTCCAGCACGTAACGCACCTTGATATCATTTTCCAGCAACCTTGTCCTATTTGCAATTTCGTCCGTATTGGCGCGCAAGATTTCTTGCCCAAGATCTTCCAAGTCATCCTGCTCTGCCTTTTCCCATATTTCTTTGTCTTCTAGCGTGGACATTTTGTGTAGGTATGTGATTCACTTGAAGTCGAGGACTTGGCAGGTAACAGACACACGATTAAAAGTGCTGGAACGTTGTTGAAGATGATTGAGCAGTCTACCGTTGTCGCGCGGTCCCGTCCTGGTGGTTCTCTCCTCCTTCAGTGTCAAGCCACGTGACTGTACTCGTCATCTACGTTGAGAGTTGCTGACTCAGCGAACTCAATTATAGATTAACCAGCCACCACGCATAGATCTCTACCTCTCCCATGCCTCCAAGTCTCGTTTTGTAAGGTTTTACCCCATGTCTCTGATAGCTGCAAACAAAAGGAATGAACTTTCCGGTAGGCTAGGTCCGTACACGTAGCTTATTTATCCGACTTCTCAAGCCTGCTGTACATACCATTTCAGTGCGATCTCCCGTTAAAGGCCATCTGGCAGAGCGAGGGGAGTTGGAATTTCTGGAAGATCGATTAAGGCAAAGTACTTGACTAATACTCCTTTTTGGACGTAATAATATAGTGATAGTTCCCCCTTCTTGCTTCTCACTCTAAATTTCATAAGCCTGCAACAGTATCACAGAAACTGAAAACGAGATTGGCTCTGTGGAATCCGCTGTTATAAGCTTGAGAGCGCAAAACGAGGGCCAACGCTCCGAAATTGAAAGGCATTTAAGTTGTGGCCTTCATCGTACATAACTTCCTCTCACATCCTATAGCAAAAAAAGACTCCGTACATTCACGCAATCGAAAGAGCGTGACAAGCGTCACATCGATTATTGGCTTGCGAAATATAAGCTGGAAGAAGAGTCGCTCCTGTATGTATATTCCTTATGGCTTCTACACGTGTGCACATGATAATCGTAGGCGCGGTAAAGCTGCCAGTTTTCTGTGGACGTCAACATCTTGCGTCTGCGTCTAAAGATCCTGGACTCAATTTACGGCGCAGTTGAAGATTGTGACAATGGAGACCTGGATGAAATGTATGGAAATGTCATTAAAATCTTCGAAGATCTAGAAGGAGACGGTATGGATTGGTGTATTTTCTTGGTTGCGGAAACATAAAAGATGATGGACCTTTCTTTGACAGCCATGCAAAATCCGGATTCAGGATCACTTTCCATTCAACTGGAAGCACTCCTAGATTCAAAAACTCTGATCCAAGGTACCAGCGCTATAGCCACTAACGAGCAGTCATATCTGAAGTACCATACCTGTCAAGGACGCCCGCGGAATACCGAGCCTCAGTCTACTGAACACCGTCGTCGACCGCCTTCTGATGTTACCAATGAGTACCTCACGTCTGTCTCGGCAGCAAGATTTGCAAGTTTAGAACAGGAACTCTATCGATCTGAAACTCATGCTGCGGAGCTGCAACGGGAACTAGACGAACTGGAAAGGTAGGCAACCAAGCGAATATTGTGGCTCTCATACTGACAGCGTTGCAGTTATAACGAGGAATTAGAGTTATATCAGTTACTGGATTAGTCTTGGTTCCCTGTTTTCATCGCCAGGTGTGACATTGTGCATGCGTCAACTATTAGCTCATTCAACGCATCCAAATACAGAATAGAGCAGTCTCTTATGAAGTAAATTACTGTAATGCCTATCATGTTAACATCGGATCATAATTGTCAAGCGTTGTTGACCCTTTGAATGCGCGCCGTACGTAGCCCAACCATGCCCAAGCACCAAGACACCCGCCAATGATCCTATTCTTGTTTCTCCCTTTGCACACCACCTTTCTTTCTCCGCTCTTTATTGTACCTAGTCGAATCCCTGACTTCTTTTCTCTGCTTTTTCCACTTGTGCTTCTTCATCTTCTTTCTTCTCCGCTTCAAAATGCTAATAGCTTCCATCATCTGACCTTTCTTTTCATCCGATCCAGGTACCCGTATCATGCGCCTCCGTCTGCCCATCCCCTTGAGCGCAATACCACCCGAATGCGAAGCTTTCTCCAACGCCAGATCCCCAAAGATCCCACTGCCGTGCATATCTGCCAGATATTTTCGCGACGCCGCGGTCAGCCCCAATGAAGGTGATTTCGCGGAAGCAAAGAAGGCACCCAGAAGAAGTTCGTCGGTTGATTCCATAACACTTTCCTCTGCTTTGACTGTGTTGCGGACAGGCGGTGTGACAGTGGAGGGCACACCCTTGGAAATAGCCTTATAATTTAGGTAGTCTGCAATGGTATAGGAGTGAGCCGCTTTTGGCGGGGAGGCCCTGATAGCAGACTCGTGGGCGTGGGTGTAAGCGTGCTCGGACGGAGGAAGGAAAGGTGTAAAGGCATTGAAGATTTTTGCGTACTCGTCGTTGTAGCGCGCTGTTCCCACCACACATCGGTAAGTTTATAATTTTGAAAAGGTCTGATTTGGATTCAAAGAGAACGTACCAATGTCGTCGATACTATCGGATTTCTTCAAGCTAGCCTCCGCCTTCATTGACGCTGTTTCCCTCGCAAGCATGACCTCTGCCTCGGGTACCAACGGACGGTGTTCCGCAAAGAAGGCGGTATGAGCCAGTGATCTGCCATTCCTGTCTGGAGCACCGGGAATGGCTTTTGTGACGGGTGACGCAACGGACCCTCGCTGGTGGACACCACGTCCACTTGTAAGGCATCTACGAGAAACCAACGAGGCTCCCTGGGAAGTCGTAGCGCCCACCCGCAGGCGGGTAAATAAGGTCGCAAGTGAAGGCTGCGACTGCATTATGGTCGGTACGTCGCCCTTGGGACAAGCAGTCAACCACCCACTATCTCCCCGACACCAGGATTAGGTTGCTACGTGCCAAATGTCATGTGGCGCAGACTATCACGTGATATTGAAGCGATTCAGCCAGGATTCAAACATTTGCATCTGAAGGGCTTCCTTGTCATGAACAAAAATCCTCGTCTGACGCCGTACCACAGATATGCAATGTATTATTATAATGATGGCTATTTGTAAATTCTATGCATGGCGTTATGCAAGCGTCCATTCATACTCCGCCCATCCACCACGCACTCCCCCCGCCCAAAAAGAGACATTGGCATGGCTGGGGGGTACAAGTGGATGAGACAAACATCTCCGTAAAGGGTGATTTCCCCGTCAGGTAATTTCAAGGACTAAAGTACATCAAAAATGCATGCATTCGTGTTGCCGTCACATCGCTGCGTCTCGTCACGTGCGTAATGATACCTTTTTGGTTAAAAACTGGCCGCTGTGGAGGGTACTACTCCCTGGAACTTTGGCGGCCTCCCCGTTGGAACACTATCGCCCAAAAACTTGATCACGCTTTTTCTCCTCCTGCTTTCACAGCCAGCTAAACCAGACTCCGCCTCTGGATTCTCCCATTGTGCAGGCGCTACGAAATCTCATTGGTAAGTGACCTACATTTCTTTTTGCATACTAGGACAGCGTCCCAAGATTCGACAATTTGCACCATCACAGGGTGATCCTCTGGTAGCCGACGCATCATCAGTCACATCCGAGCCGCGGTAGTATCAGACCTCTTTCGGCTTCTTCGCCTTTTCTCCGCCCTCTATTTGGTTGGTGCGGTCGCTATCTTTTTCATACCTCTACCCACCCGTTAGGCGCCCGAGGGTGGTATCCTTCCGTCCCGCACAGTTGATTCAGGTAGGCTTTCTTGCTTGGAGATGATGTGGGCGTTGTGCACGATGCATTGTCTTGTGAGGGATGTGGCTAGTTGGCCGGAAGGTCTGACAAAGCTGCATCCTACAAGCATCTGCAAGACAATCCCATGCACCGTCAACGAGCAGGTTTCATTAGCTCTAAATGACTCACATATGCTTTCTCTTTGTAGTGATTGGAGGGTCGGACAAACATGGGTTGCTGTCAGAGTGCCGAGGACTCAGAGTCCAAGCGCCGTAATGACGAAATTGACATGGCTTTGAAAAAAGAAAAGATGAATCTGAGGAATGAAGTGAAGATGCTGCTACTGGGTACGCATAATTGCATTTGAGCATACGTTGTTTTGGCGATTAATAAGCATCTTGTGTGCTAGGTGCGGGTGAATCAGGGAAAAGTACAATTCTCAAGCAAATGAAGCTCATCCATGACAATGGTTATAGCTTTGAAGAGCGTGAAGCCTTCAAAGAAATAATCTTCTCAAACACTGTTCAGTCGATGCGGGTCATCCTTGAAGCTATGGCTACGATGGGGATTCGGTTGGCAAAAACGGAAAACGAGAAGCATCGCGCGGTTATTCTGGACTTACCTAACCAGCTTGAAGCCGAAATCTTTCCACCTGAGGTCGCGCTGGCCGTGAAATCTCTGTGGACAGACGATGGCGTGCAAGCGGTTTTTGCCAGGTCCCGGGAGTTTCAGCTGAACGACTCAGCCAAATAGTGAGTTCTCATACAATGCTCCTGTTCCCGCACACCTTCTCACCTTTGGTCACCTTGTAGCTATTTCGACTCTATCGAGCGTATTGCTGCTCCTGATTATCTTCCTACTGATCAGGACGTGCTCCGTTCACGAGTGAAAACTACTGGTATCACCGAAACCACTTTCCACATCGGCGATCTCACTTACCGCATGTTCGACGTTGGCGGTCAGCGGTCTGAGCGAAAAAAATGGATTCATTGCTTTGAAAATGTTACTGCTATTGTGTTCTTGGTTGCAATTAGCGAGTACGATCAAGTGCTAGTAGAGGATGAGACTGTGGTACGTCCTCTAGTTGCACTGAGAGTTTCTCGCGAGCGTCGTCATTAAAGATCTTATTTCAGAACCGCATGCAAGAGGCTCTCACACTTTTTGACTCGATCTGCAACAGCAGGTGGTTTATCAAAACTTCCATTATCCTTTTCCTAAACAAAATTGATCTCTTCCGAGACAAACTGCCCACTTCCCCAATGTCGAAATATTTCCCGGACTATGCTGGTGTGTATTTTTAGAAACAACATCTTCGATGCCACGATTCCTTACTTTCTACACAGGTCAAGACTACGACTCTGCTTGCGAATACATCCTCAATCGATTTGTCTCCTTGAATCAATCCGATCAGAAGCAGATTTATACTCACTTCACCTGTGCTACGGATACGACACAAATTAAGTTTGTGATGGCCGCGGTAAATGATATCATCATTCAAACTAACCTTCGAGATGCGGGATTGATGTGATGAGGTGGCGTATTGACTAGCATGTGCGGGCGTATGCAGCGGCGTGGGAAAACGTTTCCTTCCTTTCCAATGTAGGATGTCTGTAGCCCGCAGGGGTTGTTAGTCTAGTTTATATAGCTGGTTAGGGACGGCTATTTGCTTGTTGTTTCCTTGTCGGCGTCCCTGGACACTTCTGTGTGATTTATTTTGTTCTTCCTCGTCCTATACATTTTAGTTTCTCTTTTATATGTACGGTTTTGCGTCCATTTGAGTTAGAGAGAAATTCCTTCCTTAACATCGTCATTGACCGCAAATTGCACGTGTATGTTGAAGGCGATTTTAAATATGATAAGGCTACACTAAGCCACTTCTGGTGTTGTCCACACTAGCTAGCGATCTACCACTATCTGCTACCATTAACGGTTATATGAAGGTGCAATGCTCTTCGTCTTAGCCCATGCATCATCCAAGGCAGCTATCACTTGATCGGGCAAGGGTCCCTTCTCGCAATCTTCCAAATTCTGCTTTGCATGATCATAGGAGGATGCGCCAATGATTATTCCTAACAGCACTGTAGTAAGGACCTATGCGCGTGATAAATGGATGTTACGCAAACCCCACGTACCATCCCCTTTGCTTTTGTCCAATTTCGAATGATGCACCAGCCATCTATGCGCTGCTTCTACCGGGGTTAGGTTATTGGCCGCACAGGCGGCTTTGATGGACTCCACGGCTTGAAAATACGTCTATGAAATGGAATTCCATTAATGAGCCGTCATATACAGATTCCGATCTGTCAGCATGTACCTCGTTCCAATAGCGTTGGCGATATCTTTCGCCTTGCGTGTGTGTAGGATCGAATCGTCCTTCTTTGGGGGCATCTTGGAATTTGTAGTGACCGGAGAGCAGCCCTCCACACAATGGGTTGTATGCGTAAAATCGAATTCCCAATTCACGTAGACAAGGGAAAAGTTCCGGCTGATTACACACATATTATGAGCCGTGTATCAATTTGCCCAAAATCAATGAAACCTACCTCGACTGCCCGAGTTATGGCATTGTACATGCCCTACGCATACAATTTGGTTGATATGTAGCTGGCCTGAAATCCGAGCTGCTTTGCATACCTGGTACAAAGTTGGTAGCACGTATCCCTGAGATTTGCAAATCCACCAAATCTGCATAACCTCCCAGGCAGCATAATTACTTAAGGCAAGCTCTCCGAAGGTTCCTTCTTCATATAGTTCCTGAACCGCTTTCAATGTTTGGCTGAACGGAGTGGCATGATCGGGTGCATGCAGGTAAAAAATGTCTACGCGCTTTGTATTCAGCGCTTTCAAGGAAGCGCGAAATTGTGCCTTCAGGCGCTCAGGTTCATGCATGCCCGGTTCGAAGGGAAATGCCTTGGTCGCCACGCTAAAATGTGGAGGAGTGGTTTGCACTTGCAGTTCACCAAGGACTTGCTCGGTATTTCCATCACTATACATAACGCAAGCGAGTTAGAGATCGCACCATGAGTAAGAACCTTTGCGATCTTACCAATACATGCGAGCAGTGTCAAGTTCAGTGTGTCCATGCGAATGAAAGAGGTCCAGAATTCGGCGAATCTCTTTCAAATCATTGATACGACCACCAACGCCTAAGTTCTTATTCAGTGCACTGCTTGCTAACATTCAACCAATGGCTGCCTGACCTGTCCCAAAGGTCATAGTCCCAAGAATTACACGCGGACTTCCGCCGGTAGGTGCCTGTTGGTTAGTCATGGCAGATATAGTACGGATAGGGGCGGAAAACCGAAGTGACCCTAGGAGCGAAGCGTTCCAGCGAGGAGCAAGTAGATGGAACCTAGCACCTTTCATCAAAGAACTGGCGCAATCCTGCCGTGACTCATCGCATCTCGATACCAGTACACGCAACTAAGCTTCGCGTAAGCATCGGGGCTGGCGCCTTGCCAGCTTCGGCACCTACCACTCCGTATGGCTTTTTTTAGCCACACTCCACGTGTAGACTAAGAATGTCTACCTGTCGCGATAAACATTGCTTTGGTGGGCGTAAGGAGCATTCATTAATACCTTCCGGTGGCCCAACTTTTTCATCAAAAGCTCTCTCTCCTTCTGTTAGCGTCGTGACCCTTACCTCTTGCCATTGCAAGGATGCGTATACGTGGTGACTCCCGCGTAACTGAGGACGCCAAAGCCGTCCTCCCCAGTCCTGTGGCCGAAAGCAAAAGTGCCTTCAGTCGCCTGGGCAAAAAGACGTCAATGGCCCAGATGCTAGGAAGTGTCCCCAGCTCCCCAGCATTGCAAACGCCTGTTCTCCCACCTTCCTCAAATCTGGGAACCCTGGAGATGCTTCCCAGCTCGATTCTTCTTAAAATAGTTCATGTCTGCTCTCCAGAATTGGCCAATGTTCGCAATATATCTCACGGGTATCGTGAGCTTGTGGAAAGGTACATTGCCAAGCGAACAAAGCGTTTCCAAGAATCAATCGAGGAGGCAGAGTGTTGGGGCCACCGTCCTCCATCTCTTCCCGACGTCGTTCATCTGGATCCTCTAACTCTCGACAACATATTGAATGTTCACTATGCGGCCAGACTAGCGGGACCGTCTGGAGACAGCATGGCAGGTGACGCCTCCGAGAGAGGCCCAGTCAGTGAAATAGATGCAGATGAAGAAGTCCAAACAGAGGATGGGGACTTTCCGCGTAAAGGCCGACCACAGACTGTTCGCACGATTCGGCGTGAGACAATGCGAAGAGTCATATTTGCGGCTTTTCGGGAAACATTGGACCGTTATGAGGAGGGCTGCTGGGCTGCGGTGAAGGTCATTAGGGACTTTATAGTTAGGCATGCATTACACTATACTAGTGGAGGACCAATCAGCGACGCTGGTGTGGCTCCACCGGTAATTATACCAGACGATCAATCTGAGCGGGATGTGTCGGACGGTGTAAGCTTGCGGTCGGTCAGAATCGAACGGGTACCGACCACATCAATGCCAGAATCAGTCACTCCAGCTGTGAAAGATCTCAACTGGGTTAGATTGAATTCTGAACTCTTCCGACTCGCAGCTATGCACGGCCATCCTTTCAATCTCCCACCACTTTGTGACGTTGAAGACCCGCAAACAACCCTCACGCAAGGTTCGGACTTATCGGTCCGTTGCCACCGCCCGGAGACCCTTGCGGCCTGCCTCGATGCAGCACGTATTTACGGTTGCCTATGGACAACAGTAGAAAAGGGAATACAAGCTGCTCAGGCAAGCGATCGTGTGGGGCGTCGTGTGCCAATGGACGTTATCCTAGTGCTACTTGACGCAGCTTTCAACGATCCTCTTGGCCCATGGGCATATTGCTTAAGCATGCGCACCTGGGGGTTTGAAGGATGGACCAGAGGGGCTGGTAACGGCGCGCATGCGGAGGACAAGGTGGGAGCAGCTGCAAGAGATTTGTTAGTGAAGGCCGAGGAATGCGCCAAGCTATACGGCATTGCATGGCATCGGCTGTCTGTCAAGGGGGAGTTTGCGGTGGTGCCCGTGCATGAGGTGGCAAGAGAGGTCAGAAGTCGAGTGAAAATCATGATGTAGAGGTGCTTAACGTAGCTGAGGGGTCTCATTATATGCACGTAATCATTACTCCTATGCTGACCCAAATTCGTCCCCCCACTGTCTATAGCGCTCCCCAAGCGCTTGATTTGCAGATGGCCGAGTAGACGTCACAGCAGCTTCAACGTCAGCTTGTCGTACTGGTTCACGTTGTATTGATGCTACCAAAGCCGTTTTAGGAACCCTTTTTTTGAAGTTGTACCAAGGATGCTCAAGCTCACCGTTTAAAGTGAAATTGTCCAAATTCTCGGTATGAGCGTCAAACATATCAAAGAACTTGCGGATTGGCCGCATAGCAGCTTCCTTGCACACGAGTTTAATATCGGATCCAGAATAGCCTGTAGAATTGCAGTACATATAAGCTATCAGAATCTTGACAACAGCACAGGGCCCTGTCACAACCTTCCGTCATTAGAGCCAGCTTTTCGTAATCCAACTCGCCGACCGGCAAGGTATCAGGGTCCGAGTTCTGAGGCAGATGTGCCTCAAAAATGGCTGTGCGTGCTGGTGTGTCTGGTAGATCAATCAGGATCTTGAAGCCGCCAAAGACTGACCATCAGCATTCGACCACCGTTGGAAGAGTATTCGTACAGAAGAAATCTTACACGTTTCTCTAGCCGTCTGAGCATTGCCATATCAAGATCCCATGGAAGATTTGAGGCTGCGAGCAGGAATACATGGTCCGAAGTTTTCGATAGGCCGTCCATCTGAGGTCGACATGAAGGGAATCACCAAGATGTTACTCGGGTCTTGAACGCAGCTAACTTACCTGAATCAGAAGCTCAGTCTTCATCCGTCTACTTGCTTCATGTTCTGCACCATCGGACGTTCGATGTGACATAATGGACTGTAAATAATTATTAACAACGCGAGCGACATCGCGACATGTGAGTGTCAAAAAAATAAGGCGCACCTCGAGTTCATCCAGAAAAATGGTACTCGGTGCGTGGTAGCGTGCCAGCTCAAACAGCACTCGTACCAGTTTTTCCGAGTCACCTGTACCAGTCCCAATTGAGCCTGAAGGACAGCTGGAATAAAACTCCTTATAGGATTCAAAGTTTACCTCGCCATTTGCTCACAATACTCGACGCAGAAATATTGAAAAACGTTGTGTTGCATTCGGTTGCCACGGCTTTTGCGATCATGGTTTTGCCAGTTCCGGGCGGTCCATAGAGTAGTAAGCCTTTCCATGGCATGAGGATGCCTTTAAAGAAGCTAGAATAATTCTTTCAGGCTGTGTGGTACTCGATCAATCAACACGAAAGCTCACCTACTCTGGAAATTTGAGGGGATAAACAACTGCTTCCTTGACGAGCCGTTTTGACCTGGCTAATCCGGCAATGTCTGACCAGCGTACATTGGGATTCGTCACAAAGATGTCACTGGTAAATAGTATTTTAGCAACCGAACAATCGAAGTATGCCTGTACCTCGCGGGTACTAACCGACTGATAATGGCAGCAAGCTCCCGGAACTCAATATTTCCATAATCTGGCAAAGGTTTGAGCAACCGTGCGTCATAGAGTGTTTCGGCGGAATCTCGCTCCTAAAATTGATTTTCAATATGCTTCATATCCAACGGCCTACGTACTGCAGCCCACCATGTCCTTACCGGCGATGAAGATGGGCCAAGGTTTGGTGCTGAATTCTGCTTCAGGCACATCTGAGGTGGGAAGGACATATTAACCGGGCGTGTTATCGCGGTGTCACAGCGCACTAGCGCCTATTCGATAGCGTACATTCATCCCAACAATACCCTCGTCCCCCAAGCCAGTTCCGCTCTCCTTCCCACACGAGGAAGTGGGTCTTCCCTTGGGCTTCTTGCCTGGGTTTTGTGGGTCAGGATCTACAGGCTTTGTGGTAGATCTTCTGAGACACATAGAGCGCCAGATCGTAAATCTTAAGTAAGTTGTGATATACTTGGCGATCCATTGCTCCTCATCACACCTTGCACCTTGGAGGTCTTGGAATTCCTGCCATCTTTAATGTGGCTGGGTTTGCATGGTTGTCGATTCGGCCATCGGCTTGTTTTACTGATGGAGGTTCTGTCGGCACACTTCCTCGTGAGCGTCGGTTGGATGGAGTGCTGGACGTATTCTCATCTATGACGTTTGCCGGAAGCATTATGAGGATACTAGAGCAGTCGATTGGTGGACAAAGTTGACCCGATCATCTTACCCCCGGTACCGGTTTTTCGCGTCAATTTGGGAGCTTTTCCAAACTTTATAGAATAGTAACTCTCAAACTCCTGACACACTAATAGTCAACTTCCGTCGACACATGGCGATTGCAAACGCTGGTACCACACCTGTAGTATCGTCATCAAATCCATATTATCTGCAGCTCGAATTTTGCGTAAAGATACGTTGGATTCCGCCTGCAGTTTTTCAAGAGATTCCAAGTATCTTCACATTTGGTGGGTGAGCCAAAGGCTCAGCAATCAGCCTGTTCGGGAGTCTAGAAAATCTACTAACCCGTGCGATTCCAAATGAGACAAAATAAGGACCATGGCGTTCTTCTGGCGCTGCTGCACCCTTGCTTCTTCCTACAAGTGACATACTACATGAAAACCTGCTTACTTAGAATACCGAATGCTCTGATTACCGCCAGCCGCGCCTCGCTTGCCACTTTCATACGTGCCAAATTGACTTCCGAACCCTGCATCATTATTGACAGTGCAGTTGGAGCTGAGATGCTTCTGGCTACTGATGCGCAGCAAGTGAGGCGATTACGTGCTCGTACGCTTTCATAATCCGACGCGAGTCGCAGCTGGTGACTGTCGGCAGTTATGCCATTTTTCTGGCATCACAACCGCACGTCATGCACTGGTATATATAGGGCGGTCTTGATGACCAGAACGAGAATTAACAGACATTAACATTATATGTAATCCTATGTTTATATTCCCTCAGTCTCTCTCTGGGTCAGATTTACAACGCCAATACCACCACAAGACCCATACCAACCAAAGCTGCGGCAGTGGTGAGCGCCATATTCTTATCCACATCCACTGTCCGACCTCCAGCATTTGCCAGCATCCCTGAACTAGCGGTGGGACCGGCAGGAATGCCTTTGCGTGTTGTAGTCTGACTACCGTTTGGTTCGACAACGGAAAATATGGCACTAAATGCCCCAATCTCCTGAGTTTGGTTTCCCGTTTGCACCAACCCATACACGCGGACAACATAATCATGACCGAGAAGCCAGTCGCTCGGGACCACCAAGCCATAGTTCGTGGCATTAGCAGGTAAACTACTTGTAGTCAGCCCTTTGTACAGCTTGTACACCACTGCAAAAAATAAATCGTGTGAGCGATGAGAAAAAGTGCGATTATCTTTGTAAAAGACATACATACCACTATCTCTGAACAAGTCAATATTCCACCCACTGACGTTCAGCAGGTCAGACTTATAATTCCACGAGATAGAGACGTTTTTAGTTTGTGGCCATTGCGCAGGTGCATTGACCGAGAGCGCTAATAAAACAAATCATTCATTACCCCGGGCGGTTAAAAATGGAGACCAGTCACCAGCACCACAAAGGAACTCACTATATGCTGACGCAGTAGCCTGATCTGTAACGTATATAAGGGCGCTGGTTCCACTGACGGGATCGACGTTGTCAGACGCCTGTTGAGTAGTTCCCCATCCCCACAAGCGTAGGAAATAGATTCCGCTAGGTAGATCCTGAGGAACCACATAGCTAAATTGGCCGCCATATCCTTGGTTGGGTAATATCCCAAGACAAACACCCAGGGACCGTCCAGTGCCTAAAGCGGTGTTGTATAGCTCAATATTCCACTGGCCAACGTTCGCAAGCGGAGATGGTTGAAATGCCCACGTAATAACAACGGTACTATTGGTGACCCACTTCGTAGGAGCCTTGCATCAACTGATTAGTAAATAGACTGTAATAGGATAAAGCAAAATGTCTGTACATTGATGGTCATAGCCGGATGCATGACGGCGGTGTGCGGGAAAATGGCAAATTCGGGGGAACTGAGCATGGCACCGTTATCATCAACTGGAGCATTAACGGCATTCTTCTTCACCAAAGTAGCAGCCGAGGCAGTGATGCGCAGATGATAGAACTGGGATAAGCGCAAAGAGGCTGGAATATGCCAGACCAACGTGTATGTATCAGCATGGCCGGAGGCTGGTATGCCGTCAGCAATGGTATATATGTCTTTCCACTCGGCTGAAAGTAGATCGATCCGAATGCTATAGAAATTCTCTCAATTAGCCAATAATCCGTGTAATCCACGAAATGCTGGGCAATCACCTCTTGACACCATCAAAGGCGGAGCCCAAAGTATAGTTGAGCGTCGCTTGGCGCCCTGTAAAGAATTGGGTACCGCCCTTCAACGAGAGTCCAGGATTGTTCCATTCCCCTATTGGTTCACGTCAGTGCTAATTAGGTTCACTGAATTCATCATTGCAGCATATACCAGCGGAAGGGTCAATGATGGCGAAATGATCGCTGTTGGGAACTTCATATGTGCCATTTCCGTCTTTTCGCGGTCCCCATACTTTCAGAACAAAACTGGATCCTGTTCTCATATTGTCTCCAATTTTGATAGGAATACTGCCTATACCCGCCGCGGGGGCGGTGACGTTTGTAGCCAGATAAGTCACATAGGTTGTCTCACCCTGTGCATGAGAGGCTTCAGTGTTGAATTAAAAACCAACTTAGGCTTACAGTACCATCAAAACGACGCACCTGGACCACATACAGGTCGATATTCACATACGCAAGCTCAACGCCGCACTGAAATTGGATATCATATGTTCCCCCACGGGCAAGTTGTTCTGCCAATGCCGGAAAGATAACCCGGTCGGTCGAAGGGAGCGGTGCACGCACTGCTCGCTGTCTGAGAATACTGGTATCTGGGGAAAGATACAAATATGCTACAATCCCGACCAGCAGGAGGACAGTAGAGCGAAACGTGTTTAGTCCCAGCATGTCGAGACCGGCACTCGCGGTTATTGCGTTGTCAATGTGTCTATCAACCACGGAAGGCTTTATGTATATGCGCGTAGTCTACGCATTCAGTTCACAATATATGCACTGGTACCAAAGTCAATCGGAGTCCACGATCACGTAATCAGGCATTCCGTCCCCAAAAACCAGCCGATCAACCATACCTTGGAAATTGGTTTCGAAGATAGCGGCGCAGTCCACTTTGACTTTGATCACCCCACTGTGTTCTCGGCACTGTTGCAGTGAGGTAGATACATGAGTCTGCCTTGCGATGACGTATGACCTTCGTTTGCACGAATTATAGAGTGGAAAACGGCTCAGTAATCAAGAATGGCCAATCTTGTCACCGGTCCAAGACAAACTAGAAACCTTGCATTTGAGCAAGTAGTTGCGCTAGACAGAAGTGATAAGATTGAGACTAAATAACTGAACATTTTGGTCGACGCAGATGGGCCGCACTTAGCAACAACAATCGCTTCCAGATGGACAAGGCGGGCGAACTTGTTTTAACTTACTCTACTGCAATAGACAGTGGTCGGGCTTTTGAGAAATTCTTCAACAGCTGAGGGAGATCTGCTACAGAATGTTTCAACAGTGCAAGACATCTTGATCTTCCCAGATGAAAACGTCCGCGAATGAGCCCGTACAATCACCGTTCCTCTCAGAGAGGCTCGTCCGGAAAATGCTATGTGGCCTTTTGCTATCAAATGATACAAGGATCTTTGCTGGTCTCAGATAGTCAGTCTTTGCACGATGCAACCCTTTAAGCGTAGCGATGAAGTCAAACTGATCGGGGAGTTCCAGATGTCCTTTTAGGGAGCGGTATCCCACCATGTGGAGAGCAAACTTCGCCTCTAGGCCCCAAACCAGCAATGGCCAATGGATCACCGCCAGACCATGAAGAAGATATTTTTAAATAGTTGAATGTCGAACATCTCCGTCTCTATCTACAACAAAATCACGCCGATGGTGCATCTCTTGGGATCCCTAACTTTTCCTCCAGAGTCCCCAACTCATGTGGTGGTTCGTAAATGTGCCATTTATGTTTCAATGCGGTCCGAATCTGACCATTCTTCTCGACCTCCGTCCCTCGCCATGTCAGTCGTCCGTACACCTTCCCATGCGCCATGTCCTGACATTGACCTCCATAAGTCAACAGAAAACTCAAAATGCGACAAGGAGTAACATCTTACATTTTTCAACTTCGTCTCTGTCACCGTCCAGTAGCAGTCATGCCATCCCTTGGCGTACCAAATTGTCGGCACAACTCGTAACCCAGCCCCGCCTTCAGGTCGATGTGCAATAAGCTCTAAAAGGTTTCTCTTCGAGGGTGCCTTTAGAAAACTTGGGTGCGCACCCCAAAGCTCCCGCACTATCGTGGCCATTATGATGTGGTGTAAATGCGCAACTGGACTTCAGGAAACTTTATTCACCATGTTGCGGTGGTGAACATAACCTCACGTGTACGATCATTGACTGTGCCACTGGAAGTCATCTAGCCATTGCCAGGCAACAGCCTATGACCAAAGTTCAGGCAAGCTCTTCCTACTCATTTACAGTTGAACCTCCAATGGCTCTGTTGATCAACGGGCTTCGGTGCCGGCCACTGTACCGGAGGCGAGGCTTGAGGAGCTTGCTGACACATGCACCATCTAAGCACGTATGTCCCACAAGAACTCGCTGTCCGCTAAATGTCCCACTGACAGTAGAGTTTACAGGCCCTCAATCCAGCAAAAGACCACATCACAAAAGCCTTGGAAGAAGCCCAGCCCCCTCCAAATTTGTTATCTTACCCCAAGCGATGGTTTGCCAAAACTTTTACGGAGCCCACTATGGTCCTATTATCGGGTTTAGGACTGCTATACAACGGAAGTATGCAGTCGCTGCAGCTTTGGGTTGACTATCACCAGAAGGGGAAGCCTGTAAGAACGCGAAGCGAAATACGCCATGTACAGAGGAATAAGCGAGATCTAGCAAGAGTCTTCCCTGCGACCATTTTTCTGGCCTTGCCATTTGCCATCCCTATGTTACCTTTCGTATTCCGCAAAGCGCCATCGTTCCTCCCCAGTGTCTTTATAACAGACGAGATTCTGGTATGCCATTGAGCGAATTCTAGGATTCGGCAATTGCGTGCTCACCTTGAAAGATGTTTAGGCCAAGAAGATGCATGTGACTCAAACTAAACGTGCGGAACTCGCACCAATCCTGTTGGCCTCATTAGGTCAGGCATTGGAGGCGCGAGCAAGCCGAGGGAACGCAAAGAATTCATCAGTAACGCAAGCGTTGGAACGAAGATGGAAAAACATGGTATTTACTTTTCACACAGTCTCTAATTCTAATAACTACTGACTTGTAGTCACTTTATTCAGTTCAACAACAATAGTCGCCCATCGGAAGGAGATCTAATTGCGTTGCAACCTGTGATACGTGACAACGTGAATATTCTCGATCTGTCCAGCAGCCAGCTTCGCGTAATGGGACAGTTTGTGGGCCTCGCATTACCGTGGATAGCATCGCAGTCGAGGCTATATGGTTGGGTGGATTGGATTCTGAAGGACGATGAGGTGCGGGCGGACATAAATTGTGTCAGGGACAACCGTAATCCTAAAAAAGACCCCTTTCTCGCTACCTATAGCTGTTGCGCCAACAAGGAGTTCAAGCTCTGACTGAATACGAGTTGTTGGAAGCCCTGGAGGAACGAGGTATTCTTGGCTGCTAAGGTCAATAATTTTGAAGTCCGCCGATGATATAACCATCCATGCAAAAAAGGGTTTATTAACATCAGCGGCCAGAAAACCGGGCGACTAAGGACGATGTTGGCAGAGCACTTGAGATTTACCAAAACCGCTAGCGACGTGATCTCTAGACGAAGCCGTGCTGCGTCGTCGCGAAACGAGCCTCAATTAACCACCACTGGTCTCCCCTTGGAGGAGATCGCATCGATGACTACTCTGATTCTGACGGCTCGGGCCTTGGGTGTGCATGAACGGTCGTAAGAAAAATTGGCAACTTATTTATAGATGGGCAATATTCATTGTGTTTATATATTATTGTGTGCAAATAAACGATCGCACAAGTCTGAAAATTCATTGAGACAATAACGACAATAACAATGGATGAACGCTTCTATGTATATATGCAAACGAAATTAATGTACAGCAATGGCTCACTAACGGCTATCTCTCAAGCTACGCTACTGGCGACAGTACGACGGTAAATTACTATGTAGAAAATTGGGCCGTCCTTCATCCAACCCCTTAACGCTCTGCCTCCCATCTTCAAATTGGTGTCTACACACGAACAGTAACACCCAAATCGATCGTATCCCCTATGCCTCCTTCCAGGAAGTCCTCCGGGTCGTATATGACTCGTATGATAAGCGAGCAGCTCGGACACCGTGCAATTTCTTCACCGTCCTGCAACTCGTCCTGCGGCAAGCAGATAGTTGAGCACACTGACGTGGCAGAAAGTTCCCAATATAAAAGGTACATGGCGCATACCTCTGTTATCTGAAATTTGTCCCCACACGGACATGGATAGTAGTACGTTTTAGTCTCCGCATCATAGTCCATGTCTTCGATCTCCACTTCGTCATAGAAGGAGGTCATATCCGTCTCTTGAAGTATTTCACAGCGGAAAAGGTTGGGCTAGTTTCGGCAAGGATATCGGGTCTTTCGGTGACCCTGATAGAAGTCCGGCGGGTTGAAAACGTTTAGCTGTCTGCGATCTCTGGAAGCGCAAAGCGGAGCTCGAAAAAGTGTTAAGCGACTGCTCCGGAAATAAATTTACGTTTAGCACTCAGGTCTATAAATATATAGCTGATTATACAAGCAATCGTCCTTCTTCAACACAGTAGGATTTTTCCTAGCATGTCCAATACAAAATAGATTCATTAATGATTTGAGCGAGTTTCGAAGAGTGCGGGTCAGCAAAATCCCTCCCCCGGCTGCCGCCGTTGGAGCATGGCTATAGAATAGCTGCAGTATGTATGCTATGGGTCATGACGATAGGCCGCAATCAGTCAAGAAAGGTGTTGAAGTTTGATCAGGAATGAAGCAAGGGTTTCCATTGGACAAGATGCCCTGGCGGTCGTGCTGATTGTAGAGCTGGTCGTTTCCATTTGTTGCGGGTCTGCTGCCATCATTGGCTGTAGTTGGTCGCAAGAGGGACTGAACAATTGTCATATAACCAACAACGCAGGCCACCCCCTAAAGATTTAGCATTCCCGCCACTTTCAAGAAAGCATATGTCGTTGTTGTCGATGAAGGTTCACCTACCTTTATTACGTGGGTCGCAGGATGCGAAACGATATGGCTACAATCAACAGTCACAAGCTCAGGTGCAACCAGTGCTGATCGCAAAGCAGCTACTCACATTGCCACCGAGTATCGCAATACATACGGCTATGATGGGGAGCTTACAGATGCTGAGATGGGCTTATCGGAAAGAAACTGCGACATCTCGTTTAGTTGGTTAAATAGAACCAATTGCTGCTACATCTTTGCTCAGTGCGCTTAAACATAGTGAACGCCCGAAACCAACAATTTCTGATTCTTGTGTCCTAAATAAGTATCTTCAAAATCAGTTATCATTGTGTTCAACATCCATGTAGGCAGGTTTGGGTTCGTGAGCAGCAGAAATCGTGTTTGTGGGGTTGAGACTTCATGTGGTCCACTCCGAGCGACGAGCCACACTTACATTTGAAACCCATTGGAATCTTTCACCCTTTATTTCTTGCCTCGAACATGCATTGACTCCAATCACATTCCAATTGCACTGCAGCCCGAACCGGATGAAGCGCCCCTGCCTTCGCCCCCTCATCAATCGCGATTGTAATGGTAGTAATTCCCATAGCAGCCCACAACGACCATTTCCTTCCTTCTTCCCGAGAGTCATTACAGAAATAGGACGCACGAGAGAGCAACAGTACCTTCCTCGTCCCGCCGCTCCCCCCTCCACGAAGTGTACAGTTTCTAGAAGGTGGCGTGAGACGGAGCAACTGTCAGCGGACGGGTTATCACGTTACAAAGTATATTTAGACAAGGAGCGCTGGGCCGCAGTTGGCTACTAGAACCTCACGTATGTGGTTATGTGGGTTCCGTTCTCATACACGGACTCTCGTCCAAGGTTTTCTTGAGTATGTTGAAATTCGGTTGACCGACAATTGTTTCGACAGGATTCTTGTCAACATCGAACTGTCTTAGACTCTGCCCCCCTTTCACCCGCATTGCCGCTATCAGAAAAGTGACTTCCAACTCCGCTGGCTTGGGGACATCCTCCTTGCCCGTCAGCTCTCACCACCGTCGAAATGGCGACGAGAAGCCGCAAACGGAGATTCAATGATGAGGACATGCACTATCCGCCGGCGGAGCTTGCACCTATCTCTGCACAGAAGAAGCCCATTGAAGTTATAGTGGTCCATTCTCAATCACCGCCGCCATACGCGTCTACGTCCTATCAACAGCCTGCTCGTTATAACAACCATGTTTCAGTTGCTGCTGCTGTACCTGGAGAACGGTTCGCTTATGGGCTCCCCACTTGCTATACCACAGGTGAGTCAGTTGAGTACTGTTCGACATTGCAAGTGATGGAAGATGTCCCTATCAGCTTTGTGCTCGACTCTTTTGACCTTTAAGCTGAACGATTCATGTTTCAGATATGTCCACGGCCATGCACCCACCGGCCTTTACCACAGAGTTTATACCAACGTATCCGCAATTACCTATACCAACCGCCGCATATCTACCGCCTGTCACTGCCTTTCCACCACCCGCAAATCACATCAACAGCGCGTATTACCACTCATCCTCACCCGCGGATAGCTCGCGAAGTTATCCGACTACAGAAGCATCCTCAAGACCCAACAGCGCCGGCCGCCGCCTGCCTCCTACAAACTCCTACACCCAACGCGTCACCCGACAGCATCCCCCAGTAGCTACCGATTACATCGACCTAACCAATTCCCCACCAGGATCAATAGGAGTCTCCGCGCCAAAAAGACGAAAGAAAGACAACTACTATGAACCTCAGCAGCAGCAGCAACCTCAACCCCAACAACCCATTATATCGTATCCCCCGCAACAGTTCTTGCCACCACCCCCAAGGGTTTCTCCAGTCCGGTACAATGACGGGCCATATTACCGTGAGGTTAGTACTCAATGAACCGTTCATCCCGTATGTGTCCTCAGTATGGTTATTGATTGTTGTCCCGTCAACACGATAGCAAGATCTACCTTCATGTGCAGACAAAGAAGGCCACTTCATTGTAACAGTGAACAGTGATCTTACATCACGATGTACGTGCACAGCTTCTCTTTCTGCCGTGGTCAGAGTTACTTACCGTTCTGATTTGTGTTAGATAAAATCATGCGGCTTCTGGGGCAGGGGACCTTCGGCAAAGTAGTTGAAGCTTATGACCGACAGACCAGGCAACGCGTGGCCATCAAAGTTATCCGGGCAGTCCAGAAGTATCGGGATGCATCGAAGGTCGAGATACGAGTCTTGAATGCGCTGAAAACGCATGACCCGGAGAATCGAAAGTATGTTTCCTTTCTTTAGTACACAATGGCAGTTTCTTGACGTCTATTTCGAACAGGCGATGCATCCATCTGCAAGAGACTTTTGACTACCGAAATCATATATGCATGGTCTTCGAACTACTGAGTCAAAGCGTGTTTGATTTCTTGAAAGAAAACGCCTTCGCTCCTTTTCCACCATGGCAGATCAAAGCGTTTGCTACACAAATATTGGAGGCGGTGGCTTTCTTACACGATTTGGGTTTAGTGCACACTGATTTGAAGCCTGGTATGAAGCCTTCGTTTGTACGATATTGGTTAGGGTGCTAAACCATGGGTGTTTAGAAAACCTAATGCTCGTGGATAATCAGACTCGGGTAGTGGGAGGGTCAAGGGTAAGCCTTTTCTTCGGATTGATAACTTGACCAAAGGTGCTGACGCTTAACTCATGGTAGCGATCTGCGAAAGCCCGTAAAGAACTACTATGTACGAGTATACGGCTTATCGATTTCGGGAGCGCTATTTTTGAAGAGGATTATCACAGCTCCGTCGTTAGCACCCGTCATTATCGCGCCCCGGAGATAATCCTTTGTACTGGATGGTCCTTCCCGTGCGATATGGTAAGTTACTCATTATCATCGTGCTCTGGTAAGTTGTCTCGGATTGCTGACATCACTGGGACAGTGGTCGGTCGGGTGTATTTTGGTTGAGTTTTGCACTGGAGATGCTTTGTTCCAGACGCATGACAAGTACGTGTCAGTTTCACGTGTGCAGTTCTTCTGTGTGGATGGTCACTAATTTCTTTTGACATGAAACCTTAGCCTTGAACATCTCGCCATGATGGAGGCTGTACTTGGAAAGTTTCCTGAGAAGATTATTCGTAGCGTAGGGTAAGTGGCATTATTAGTTTTGGTAAATATCGAAACGTGAAATGTATCTGATGGTCATATGGGATCAAACATACAGAAAAGCCTCTCAAAAATATTTCCGAAACAACCGTCTCGACTGGCCAAATTCAGAAACGCAAAAGCAGAGTAAGCGTTTTGTAAAGAACATGAAGCCTTTGCGGGTACGTTGTGCATTGCCTGGAGAGAGCGGAGCATTTCTGGATGTTAAGTATATTCTCTTCACACCCCAAAAGGACATCATTCGACCACAAGACGACATCATGGAATCGTTTTTGGACCTTGTGCAGCAGATGCTTGTCTATGATCCCAGAGAACGGATAACCGCACGGCAAGCACTACAACATCAGTTTTTCCGGATGGACATACCTGGGGCGTCATGAACTCGTGAATATACGAGAGTCCCGTCAGTATTTGTGTTTTGGTGGGACGAGTCTCTTTTGGGGCCGTCTTGTGGCGTTCTGGCCGCACCTCCTCTCACTGCTCGTTTCAACTAATCCAACTCAAGAAGTAGAGCAAAGAGGAAGAGAAAAGTTGTAGCATAGCATCCATACATTTGCATATGTTTCTCGTTTGTCTACATTTCTGTTTGTCGTATTAATATCGCAAGTCCTGTAGCATCTTCGTGAAGTACACTGACTTGATCTGACCCTGCCGCAACCGCCTTATGCTCAGTGTCTGATTGCATGGTGACAAGATGCTGCAGGGTAGGCCATGAAAGCCGGTGTTTCTTGATAATCAGCGTGTGACATTGGATGTCTTATTTTATTGTAGAAATACGAACATTTCAGATGGAATTTTCAATTTTCTGCACTATATAATCGCGTGTGAGCCATCCTAACTGTGGAATGCAGCTGCTGGCGGGGAAAGAAAATACTAAACGGAGTGGAATGGAGATGAAGGACATGACCCGCCCGTGGGAATGATGGATACCAGAACAACGGCCCCAATTCGGTTACCAACAAGAATCCCAGGTACAAGCGAAGATGATTGCATTCATCAATGTGTAGCTAATTGCTAGATGTGAAAAGGGAATTAAGAAAAGCTTATTCTTGTATCCTGATTAGCTAGCTCATTGTATGGCAAGATTGGCCGCTCAAATTTCCTCTTCTAATCTGGGAGGGACAGAGTTCATAGATAAATTATGGATTCAGCGTTTAATGTGCAACAAGTTTGATTCAGATCTTTGCCTTGGTAGATATTGACATATGGTTTTTGTCGACGAAAAATCCCAAATATCCGTTCACACACTGACAGGAATTCTCCTCTCAGAACGATCCACCTCAGCGTTGCAGAACATAAAGCTCGAAAAAAAAATACTCTTTCAGACGGCTGAACGACATATACAAATGTAGGACTTGGGCATCGAATAACGGATTTTCGATAGTGATAGTCGTTGGCAGATGTGAACTTCATCCTTCCGATAATGCCCGTTCACCTCTATCTCACGTGACAATAATTGCAGTTCACGCAGTTGCTGTGCCACTTTGAAATCGCCAGCGGAAGAATCCACACCATGGCAGCAAACGGAATGCTTCCCACTCGGAGCAACTGACCACAGGGCGACGACGTCCACATCCCCCTACGCATCCCCCAGTTTCATTGCCTCTTGATATCCGTCCGCACTTGCTGGAACCATGTTTCGCTTCGCTGCAAAGTCAAGGAATGCCTTGGTGAGTGTAGCTGGATTAGATTTTCGACTTTCATCATCGTCAGAAAACGGGATTGGGATTGGCTAGCGGTTTAACTTTTGATTCATAACTAAACATGTTATTCTTGCTACCTATGTCTGATAGAGCCGTGGTTCTCTGTCCAGTCGAGGATTTCATAGCTCATCCGTTGCACAACGACTTGCTTCTAACCAGCCGCTACGAGCAACAGCTGCCGAGGTGAATGCGTTGTGATCTCTCGGCGTGTACTGAGGAGTTCCCACTCTCAACGCGCTTCTTAATACTTTCTGTTTAGACTCCATTGTCAAGTGCATACCCAATTATTGACCACACTTACGATGCTATCGTCGTTGGTGCTGGCGGTGCGGGTCTTCGGGCCGCGTTCGGTCTCGCAAAAGAAGGGTTCAACACCGCATGTATCACCAAACTTTTCCCTACTCGTTCACACACCGTCGCTGCTCAGGGTGGTATCAACGCTGCTCTTGGAAATATGTCGGAGGACGACTGGAGGTGGCATATGTATGACACCGTGAAGGGTTCTGACTGGTTGGGTATGTTCCTTGCCGCGACCCACGATAAGGAGGTCATATATCTTACGTCCGTCAATGTCTTGACCAATATCAGGTGATCAGGATGCGATTCACTACATGTGTCGTGAAGCGCCACAGACTGTGATCGAGCTCGAGCATTATGGTGTACCATTCTCGCGTACTGAGGAGGGTAAAATTTACCAGAGGGCTTTCGGTGGGCAAAGTTTGAAGTTTGGAAAGGGTGGGCAAGCTCATCGTTGTGCTGCTGTGGCCGACCGTACTGGACACGCCATTTTGCACACTTTGTACGGTCAATCGCTGCGGTACAACACCACCTACTTCATTGAATATTTCGCCCTGGACTTGATTATGGAAGATGGTAAGACTTTATCAGAGATCCATCTGAAGAAATGATTTCTATGGTTAACGCGATACATCTAGGTGAGTGCCGTGGTGTCATTGCTTTGAGTATGGAGGACGGTACCCTTCATCGATTCCGCGCCCACAAAACCGTTCTGGCCACGGGTGGATACGGTCGTGCGTACTTCTCTTGCACTTCCGCTCATACTTGCACTGGTGACGGTAACGCCATGGTCACGCGTGCGGGTCTGCCTCTTCAGGACCTGGAGTTCGTCCAGTTCCACCCCACTGGTATCTACGGTGCAGGGTGTCTTATTACGGAGGGCTCGCGTGGTGAGGGAGGATACTTGCTGAACTCTGAAGGAGAACGTTTTATGGAACGTTACGCCCCCACTGCAAAAGATCTTGCTTCCCGTGACGTTGTGTCCCGTTCGATGACCATTGAGATCCGTGAGGGACGTGGTGTAGGACCAGAGAAGGACCACATCTACCTCCAACTCAGCCACCTTCCAAAGGAGGTGTTGAAAGAGCGCCTGCCAGGTATCTCTGAAACTGCCGCCATTTTCGCCGGCGTCGATGTTACCAAAGAGCCTATCCCCGTCCTCCCCACTGTGCACTACAACATGGGTGGTATCCCGACCAACTACCACGGACAGGTGATTTCCCACAAAGACGGAAAAGACCAGGTGGTGCCTGGTCTTTACGCCGCCGGTGAGGCCGCCTGTGTGTCTGTCCACGGCGCGAACCGCCTCGGTGCCAATTCCCTTCTCGACATCGTCGTCTTCGGCCGTGCTTGCGCCTTCACATTAAAGGACACGCTGAAACCGGATACTCCCCACAAACCTCTCCCTAAGGATGCCGGTGCCGAAACCATTGCCAACCTCGATAAAATGCGTTACGCTAATGGCGCAAACCCCACCGCTCAGGTCCGTTTGGAAATGCAAAAGGTTATGCAGAGCGACGCGGCTGTGTTCAGGACCCAATCATCATTGGAGGAGGGAGTACAAAAGATTGATAAGGTTGCAAAGAAGCTCAATGACTTGAAGACAACCGATCGAGGTTTGATCTGGTAGGTGGCGGACACTTGGAAGTGACATTACTAGTAAGACTAATTTTCCACTTTGTAGGAACACGGATCTGGTGGAGACCCTTGAATTGCAAAACTTGATGGCAAATGCTGTGCAAACTATGTACTCTGCTGAAGCCCGTAAGGAATCCCGAGGAGCCCACGCCCGTGAGGACTTCAAGGATCGTGAGGACAAGACCTGGATGAAGCACACCCTATCATACTGGGACCCTAAGACGCAAGCCACGAAATTGGAATACCGCCCAGTCATCCACGAGACCCTAGACCAGAACGAGTGCCAGACTGTACCTCCTGTGAAGCGTGTATACTAGACCTGGCAGTCAGGGGTGTGGGTTTAGACTGGATCATTTGAGGAGAGATGCTTCTAATATGTATGAATTTTAAAAAATCGGTTTGAAACATTTCTGTAAGCGGGCTGTCGACGTCCACGTGATTATTCTGTGCAATAAGACCATTTTAGGCTGAATTGCTTGGTAGGATTGCTGAGTCAGACCGGTACTGATCGCGGGTTTGTCTCGACGAGTTGTAGCAAGTAATGGGTTCAGCGTGTGAGCAACCAGAGCATAGTTGACTACGGTTATTATCGCCTATTACTTGTCAGTCGTAAAAAACCAGAAACTTGGATAGAATGCCAACCCATCTCCAAGCACATCTGCACGCTCACTCTCTTCGTGAACCAACAGCATTCTGGTCAGCCGCCGCCAATGCCATAACTTGGTACCGCAAGCCGGACCAAATCTTCCAAAAAACGGCGGAAAAATGCACGCCTGAACGCGGAGTGAATTGGCAGTGGTTTGCAGGGAGCGAGGTAGTAATATGGTTTTTCCTAGCATGTGTCAAATATACGCAGAACTTGACGCACGTAAAAGTTGAATACATGTTACAATGCACTTGACCGCCATATAGAAAGCGGCCATGGCTCACGACCAGCTTTAATTTACGATTCGGCCGTGACTGGTACAAAGAAAACATATACGTATGGAGACTTGTTGGACGAAGTCGAAGTGTTTGCTGCCGTTTTGGAAGGGGCTGGAGTTGGAAAGGGAACGGTCGTATTGATTTATATGCCCATGGTGCCTCAAGCTGTCATTGGCATGTTGGCTTGTGCAAGGTTGGGCGCAGTGCATTCCGTTGTCTTTGGCGGATTTGCAGCTGGAGAACTGTAAGTGTTACAAGTATGTTGATGCGAAATATCAAGTCCGCGATTGATAAGCGTCGGTTCTTATGCTGTGTTTAGAGCGAAACGCATAACAGATTGCCAACCGGAAGTCATCCTTACTGCATCCTGTGGTATAGAACCAGCAAGGATCGTTGCTTACCAGTGAGTGGTTCCTGCAGTTGTCCTCTGTTTTCAGTACGCTGTACTCTAATACCGAGAAGACCGCTACTTCAAGAAGCGCTCACGCTCACATCATATAAGCCGTCTGCAACGATCCTTCTCCAGCGACCCGAGTATCGCGCGGAGCTGGCGGGGATGTTGGATTGGGATGAGGAGGTTTGCAAGGCGCGGAGGGAGGGACGGAGAGCTGGATGGAAAGTCCTAAAAGGGGATGATCCTTTGTATGTCATTTATACGTCAGGGAGTACTGGTGTACCAAAGGTACGATTTCTGTCTCATGCTCATGGCTCGGGTTTGCGTCTGACATCAACTTACCGCAGGGAGTAGTACGAGACAACGCGGGTCATGTTCGTACGATTGCTAGTGTTGTAAGCGATCACACCCAATGACTAATACTACTCGATAGGCCGTGGCTTTAACCTGGTCCATGCAAAACGTCTTTGGAGTTTCACCTGGAGATGTCTTCTTTGCCGCCAGTGACATAGGGTATGCCGTACCGTTGCCTCACTACTTTTAATCTGCAATTGATAAAATGTTGGCAGATGGGTTGTTGGCCATAGCTATATTGTCTATGGTCCATTACTGCATGGATGCACTACTATCCTTTACGAAGGAAAGCCGGTTGGAACACCTGACGCGGGTGCCTTTTGGCGAATCGTGAATGAATGGAAGGTGAATGTACTGTTCACTGCGCCAACTGCCGTTAGGGCTATTAAGGTGGGCATATTTTTGAACGTAGGAATTGCAGCTGCGTGATTTGATGTTTATGATGCGATGACAGAGAGAAGATCCGACTGGAGCATTGTTGAAGCGACATGATATTTCCTCTCTCCGGAGCTTGTTCTTGGCAGGCGAACGATCAGATCCAGAGACGGTGCGCCACTTTGAAAAAGTCCTTGGCGTCCCAATTCGGTTAGTGCTATCTCTTTCGGCTCATTTGGCATCCCTTGATTAATTACAGACAGTCTCGTACAGCGATAATTACTGGCAAACCGAAACTGGATGGCCGCTTGCAGCTGCGTGCTGTCTCCCCGGAAAGCCAACCCCAACACGGGCAGGGTCAGCAGGCCCAGCCATACCCGGTTACGACGTCCGTGTCCTTGATGCCTCGACCAAACAAGAGGTTACTCGCAACACCCTGGGGGCGGTAGTTGTCAAACTACCTCTTCCACCGGGCTGCTTTTCATCACTGTGGAAGAACCCTGCCGGGTTTTGGAAATATCTGGACAAGTTTGACGGGTATTTCGATTTGACAGATGCCGGGTTCATTGATGACGATGGGTACATATCCATCATGTCCCGCACAGACGATGTCATTAACGTAGCTGGACACCGTCTCAGCACTGGGAGCATGGAAGAAGTGCTGGCGGCACATCCAGACGTTGCGGAATGTGCTGTTGTAGGGGTGAAGGACGACATGAAGGGGCAGGTTCCTGTCGGGGTAAGTACAAAGTGAGTTAATGCCTTTAGATGTCCTTTGTTGATATTTACCTCGTTTCTGAATATCCAGTTCGTCGTTCAAATTGCAAACTCACATTCGCTGCATGAGTCTCTACCAAAAGTACTCCAAACCCGTATCAGAACCTCCCTAGGTCCTATCGCCTCATTAAAAGAAATTTATATCGTCCCAAAACTGCCAAAAACACGGTCGGGTAAAATATTGAGAAGATCTTTGAGGGACATTGTTGAGGGAAGGAAAGTGGTGGTTCCCGCCACCATCGAAGATGAGGGGGTGTTAGATGTCGTGCAAAGACTTGTTAGGCCTAGACTGTGAAAAGCGATTTTGGGTGTAGGGAATAGTTTTTTTTTGTTTCATCTAGGATTTCTATCCTGTGTCTAAATGTGCCTAAAGCTATCTCGCACAGCCCCAATGTATCATATTTCCTGCTCCGTATAGATTCAAACACCATCTATCAATCTCTATATTTTCTTCGCGGCATCATTCCGCCAATGCAAAGCTCTCCATTGTACTCTTTCTATGCCACTCAATCAATCACCAACACCTCGGTAGACGTCGATGTCGGTCGCCCACTTCCATTGTATCGCTCCCTTCCGCTATGTTCTCTAGCTCGTCCTCGGGAAGGGTCCCTAGTCAAATTCTGCTGCAACACTTGCAAGGCAACGGTAGCAAGAGGAGTATCATCTCCTGCTAATTGGTCCCCGTGTCGACGTCTATTTCGTTGTGGCGCTATTGACTGAGATCGGGACGCTGCCTTCTTGCCTGTCCCTGTCCTTCTCCTTGATGGATCAACACTGGAGGATCGGCACTGAGACTCGGATTCATATAATGATCTGTGGCGGTTTACAGAACGCTGTATGGGTAATTTCGAATCGCTACCCTCCGAATCACTGGACTGTCCATGAACACGTGGGCGACCTGCACGAGACGAGGAACGGTTCCGTGTACGCGAACGGGAAGTGCCTCTGCGTCTTGAGCGATCCGCTTCATTTTCTTCCATTGCAGATTCTTCTCGTGGGTTGCTGTGTCCACGCGCACCTTTACGCATGCTGCGTTGCCTTTGTCTTGAGCGATCTGCTTCATATTCGTCAGTAGTACTGTCGTCTCGAGCGTCGCGAGCAACCCGGTCACCTCGATATGTAGTACGAGATCGAGATGACGATCTGGCTCGAGAGGACCGTTCATGGCGCTCTTCTCGTCCTGCTGATCGGCTCCTCACGAGGTCCTCCCCATCAAAAGTGCGTTCCCGACCTGTCGAGTGAGCGGCTGGTGGGAGGATGAGGTCGTTGCGTCCATCGGTTCCGCTTGAAGAAAGATATCCTTCTCCATTAGGTGGAGATCCCCGCAGGGATATGTCGTTACCGCCTCGTCGTCGCGAGGATGCGCGCTTTGTATCTTTCCGAGAAATATTCGACTTGCTCGTGTTAGAGCGAGTCAAGCCATCCGCACCTGTACGAGCCGATCTCATAGTTGCTGAAACTTCGATCTTCTCTTCCTCGATTGCGACGACGGATGCAGTAGGCAAATCAACAAATCCGGATCCAAGTCCCAAATCACCACGGCCGCTCGCCTTCATCATAGACAAAATATCCTCATCGGGCTCCAGGGTCTCGGTAGAATCTCTAAAATTTGTAGTGGCCGCCACAAGCGCTATGTCCCTGTCAGACATACCATGGGAGGAAGCAGCAGTCCTCTGGCGCTGCAAGTAAGCCGGGGAGGTCACTTCCCCACCTTGAGGTGCCCCTTTCCGCGAAGCTGCCCTTTCCAGACTCCGTCTACGTCGCGATCTTCCGCGCGATAGAGAGTCCGAGGGCTTTGCAGGACCAGTTTCAGAATGCACCTCACCATTCGCCTTCCCCAACTTTGCACTTCCAATCCGGATCTGGCTCTTCCCGTGTGAAGACTCGCCACGGCCGCCATCAACTGGATCGCCGCCTAGTATGGTTCCAGCACGGAAGGGACTGCTGGGGGATGGTTTGACAGCACGGCTCCATCTTTTTTTCCAGTTGCCACTTTCTCGAAATCGGCTCAACCCAATCTCCGGGTCCACCCTGTCGCCGCGATATCGTCTCCAAAGAAGATAGCCAAAGCCGCTCACGAGAGCAGCAAGAATAATGGCTATGATGATAACTAGCCAAACGGGTAGGACACCAATAGGACCTGCAGGAGGAATGTTTTCAAATGTAAGCCACCGGCGAGACACTTCTACCCTATTATAGGGTCGCAAAACTGTATACCTAGGTTGACCTCGGACGCATCACTTTCAGCTTGCACAGGTTTGAGTGTGAAAGCAGCCCACCATGTGAAGACCACTATGAGGGTATACAAAGGAGAATGCAATCTCACAGGCATAGCGAATCTATTGAGGTCGTGAAGCATTTCATTGCCAAGAACTGTCTTTTAAGCTTTCTACAACGTTGGCAGGTTTAACAACGAGGCTTTGGGAAAATCTTCCCCGAACGCCCATTCATTTGCACAAATATGGTTACATGAAATTGCTGCGCATCGCGCTTGCTGACGCTATTGCGCTTCCGCTCCACGCGGACCCAAATCATCTGGATATTCTTCCCTCAACTCCTTGTTTGGAACAAATACCATTCTTTCATTATCCCACCTTTCAAACCACTTTCCAATTTCTTCATGGGCCAGGAACATTGCAGGATCACCATTTCCCGGAATGATATTTTGCTCTGCAACATAACGATACGTTCGAGCTCCGTCGGGTCCAAGGGCAAAAACATTGTAAAACGGCTGCCGTCTTCCGTGCTCCAGCCTACAATACGATGAGATTTGAAGACATTTGAGAGCAAGATCAGGGGGACACAAGAGAGGCGCAATCTACGCACCTGTCAACTCCCATGCGTAATATCCATTCCTCGTCCGCTGAGCAAACCAAGTCCCAACCATAGCTAACAGCGACGTCAGGAAATGAGGCGGTGAGACAATCAAAAAAAAAAAATAAACCACGATTGGCATACATACATCACCCCACTATAATGATAGCGCGAATGACTAAAGGTCTCGCCCACATGAAACCGCGGAATCCTCTTCGAAGAACCCGATCCTCGACCCATGTCTGGATCCCGCCGTTTAACGTTTTGAGGGGCACTAGCGCCATCCACGGTCCAAATTTCTGCCACCTCATTCTCTAAAGCTGCAATCTCCAAGGTTGCCTGCGTCCCGCGCATTCCAGAGTCACCAGTAGTTTGTCTGGCTCTCAGCATAGCCAAATCAGCCTCGGCAAACCATACATCTTCGGGTACATCAGCGCGTAGAATGCCATACAAAATCCGCCGATGTGGATGGCGAGTGCTGATTTGGGTATGGTCTCCGGAAAGTAACAGAAGAACAATCATTGCTCCGTAAGCGTGAATATGTATGTCTGTAGATTGTTCAAGATCCGGCGCGTGATGAACCGCTGCAACAATGTTGGACGCCATCTGGGCAGGAGCATGCGAACGGCTTATTAGCTCAAATCTAGCAGAGCAACGAACACAGGATTTGACCAGGGTCCCTGAAGGTTTGACCACCCAGATTTCAGAACCTTACCCGTGTATAAAAATCCTGATCTGTTGTAGGAGACAGGTATTCCTCTCGGGTCACCAGTCGCATATCCGAGAGCAAGTCTATACACTCTTCTCTCGTACGAAATCCCCCGTTGCGTCCCTGTTGAAAACAGTCCACAAACCATTGGCTTCCATCCTCTGTTACAATACGCGCCAGAAAATGTTGAGGAAACCCAATCATGTCAATCTGGAGTCCCAAACGACGTCCCACCGCATGGTACAATAAGGCCAAAGTGATCGGTATTCCTTTTCGCCGGGATAGCACCTGTAAGCCGTTATAAGCGTCATCAGCATGGCCGCTTCAGCTATTCTAGTTACCTTGTCAATTAAGGAGTTCTCCACATTATAGTAATCCTGAACGGCACCGGTAAACCCTTTTACAACGAAGAGAAAATCGTAGAGTTGTCTTGCCCGCGTTTCAATACCAGAGCCCGTCGAACCAGGATCTATAACATGCAGTCTGGCTTCATCTGCTAGTGCGTCAAGTTGTCCCATGACATCTGCTACATCCAATGTGTAGCTATGGAATTTAGACAGGAGGAAGGCACCATATTCGAGCGGAAAGGGTGGGGCATATGTGGTAGGTCGTACACCCGCAATGGAACAAGCAGTTGAGTGACGAGTTTGGATGTGCTGCGCATGGAACGAACCCAACATTGGCATAAGTAAGCGCCACTGCGAGACCACCCATTGTCTGCTGAGCAATCGTAATATTTTGCGAGCGTAATATGTTCGCGTAAGATGGTCCTGAGCGATAGCAATCGGAAAGTCTAAGCGCTGCTGATTTTATGACCTAATACCAGCCCTAGTTTACCTTCTTTTTCTCATCAATCGTCCCAATAAGTACATCCACGGCATCTGATCCATGTTGTGCAATTTTCAGCATATTGGCGATTCTTCCACGCGGACTGTCCAATACGTTTTGCAAATGTTCAAGTACAACACGATCCGTTACGGTCCTATGCATATAGATCTTTTTCCATGACGGTGGGTCGATAGGGGGGCTATTCCACCACTTCCAACTGTGTTGGGAATATTTATACTCTGTCAGCACCAGCCTGGTAAAAGGACTGGGCATCCACTTACCCATGGGCGATGACGTTTTTCTTCCACAACCTATTATCATTACATAGCTTTTCCCATACTTTTGATACGGAGCAGAACCCCGCAATATCCTTTGGTTCGACAAACTATTGCAAGAACTGGTTGATGCCAACTATTCGCCAGGAGTCAGAATCCGACAATGCATGACCCACGTGCAGTATTTCCTCTACAAGATCTTCTGGCAATGCTCCTAGAGAATTCTTGGCTCTAGTTCCTTTCTGCAAGGTCATGTCGTACCTCGTCAACGGTCACAATCAGAGGGCAATTCGTAGATCTTGGAGTGGGGTGAAGTGGCATATCGTGCCTGACTCATCGATTATCGATTATGTAATATCAAACTGACAGTGTTCTTTCTGTTCGATATACCCACCATATGGCCATTAAGCAAGGGGAGGTGGGATGTCAAATTCCAGGCTCTCCGTTCATGTGCTTACAAACCATTGAAAGGCTTCCTAAACACCTTTGGGCGTTCGCGAATATCGCCGTCATCGTTCTCCCTTGCCCTTGATCCCCTGGCGTGCAACGGTGCAGCAACAGGCAAAGGGCATCCATCCCCCAAAGTTGGGAATCTTCTCCGCTGCGGAATTTACCATGGAGATACTGAACAACAACCTCCTTTCACCGCGGCACGTTGAACAACGACAAGCACGGGGTGATCCCTGATCATATTCCATGGAGGAAACTCCGCTCAAGGCCCCTTGGACGAAGACACCCTAGCCCGCAAAGTGCATAAAAGGGCGACCGACGCTCCATTTCCTCCAGCTCAATATCCGTCTACTGCGCTCTGAAAGGTCGGACAGGGAAGGTGCACAAACCAGTTGTGAAAACCAAAAAGTCATGGCGGCAACTGCTTTGGACCTTTCCTGTTCGACCTTGCATAAGCGCTGTCTGGCCATACAAAAGAAAGATCCAGTGATTGTAGGATGGGACGCAGTCTATGGGCCGTCGGTCTCTGCATTTTGAAAACAGTGCAGCAAAAAATGACTATTTACAAGTGCAAATCATAGCAATTCATGAAATTTTAGAGGAAACATTCTGAACTACACTCATCGTCCAAGCCCTCCTTCATGCTCTTGTTCTTGTCTTCGATCCCCCTCCCTAACAGCTCCCACAGGCGGAGCTTGCTCTGCCACCCTCCTCAACACACCCTGTCGCCACAGGACCAATCCAGCTGCAACAGCACAGAGTACCAATATTCCTATCGTTTCCGCTACATCCCCTTCCGTGGGGGGCACATGCTCAAACTCCCAAAATTCATTGTTATCTTCATCTCTCATGAGTCCCAGTGGAGCCTCTGCCTGTCTCCAAGATTCTTTATCCCGCTTTTCCGATTTTTCTGCTGCCAATGTCTCATCAGGACGAGATGATGACGAGTCACTGGAGGTGCGTCTCCTCAATAGTTCATCCCAGAGTATTTTGATTCGAAGCTTGACCAAAGCAAGGTTCACTGGGAGATACGCCTCTGGGTTTGTATCAAGGCACATATCGTAATTACGTTTCGCCAGGTGATAATCCTGCATGCTCAAGAGTTTAAGCTTAACGAAATGACCCAAACAGTAAATGGCAATTGTACCTTCTGGACTCCAATTCCGGTCTCATGCATCCACCCCAGATTCCACATTGCAATACTACTCCATTCCTTATCTGCTGCAACTTGGTAATATATTGCCGCCCGCTCCGGATCTCCTTTTCCTCTGAGCCCAGTTCCAAGTAATCGCGATAGTAGAGACGTCTCTTCTTGGCTCCCCTTTGGGGCCTCTGACTCCTCATTTGCGGGATCTGGTGTCGTACCTAATCCGTAATAGTAGTAATCCCCCATTTTCACCCTCGCATTGACATTTCCTTGATTTGCTGCCCGGTTCCATAGGTACAAGGCTGTCTTGTACGGATCTTGCTTCTCCCGGTAGATACGAGAGTGTGAAGGAGAATACATTCCTGTTGAAAATAGATCTTCAGCAAGGACATCTGATTGATATTGGCACTACTTTATTCGCACCTCGATCCAGCATCCACGCGGCATTGGTCTGTGCAATCTCGTACCCTCTCTCGGCAGCGAACAGATACCGTAAGAATGCTCCTTCCATATCTCCTGCATTCAAATCTGCCTGAGCCTGATGTACAATTGGGTCGTGCCAATCGCCCTTTTCGGCAACGCTCTTATACAGCTGGACAACGACACATTAGCAAGAACAATCCAAGGTCACTCAGTGCCCGCTCCCAAGACTTACCCGGACCCCAACGTCACAGTTAGGCAGTGCAACACCCAATCCTTCAGTGTACATATTCGCAAGGTTGTATAACGCAACGATGTGCCCGCGGGAAGAAGCCTGTTGAAGCCACTTCAGAGCATTTTGATACTCCTTCTTTCCATAGCCTATGCGAACCCATTTAGATGACATCTCCATGCAACGTAAAAAATCGTTCCTGTGACATACCGAGATACAGCTCACCCAGGTAGGCTTGGGCATCCGGATTCTCCTTATGTGCCGCTTGTTGGATAAATTTAAATCCTTTACTAGGGTCCTACGGACATGTGGCAAAGGCGTCAAGGTCTAAACTAAGCATCTTCAATGATAACAGCCGTACGGGCTCACCTTGGGACCCGCAATCCCCTCCATGTTCATAACGCCAAGGGCATGCAGACACGCGGCGTTGTCATCAATTGCACCACGCTCAAACCACTGACGAGCGGTTGCATTATCCTGTTCTACGCCTTCACCACGCCAATACATCTGCCCCAACAATCCCATCGCCTGCGCGGAAGCAGAGGCAGCTTGTTTTATACCTTCCGTGGCATCAGGCGCTCGAACCGCCTCCAATCCTGGATGCTTAGAGGCAGCAGCTAGAAAGTACTCCATCGCTTTTCGAAAATTCTGCTTCACGTTGTTGGTCCCCAAGTAAAACAGCTTTCCTATCAAAAGCTATATAATACATCAATACATCGCCATCAATATGTCGACTTTCACATATTGTAACAGACCTGTGCGAGTGGATCGCCAGCGTCAGCCTGCAGTCGGTAATACTGCAGAATATCTTCCGTTGTCAAAGCACCATTCTGACCACCCTGTCCACGTGTAGGCACATTCGGATCGCCAGGTCCGCTGGCTCCATAACCATAGACACCACCCTCCTGATCTGGGAGACGGAGCTTTGGGAGGGGCATTGCCAAACCGAGTGGTGGACCGGATCTGAACTTTTCAACGGCTTTTTCAGCAACCCGCTTGAAATAAAACGAGGCATCGTCGCAGCTCTTCGTGGTAGCGATACCAGCCCAATGCCAATACCCAAGTGCCTGTTCTGCAATGGTGTCATCTGCTAATGCAGCAAAACTTAAATAGAGCAAAGCCTGGGGAATTTCCTCACGTTAACTTCCCATTCAGCAATGTATCATATCTGCGGTATTTACCTTTGCATAATCTCTATCGACGCCTACTCCCGTAGCGTACATAAGTCCTACTGTTCGTTGACCAATTGCGCTGCCATGTTTTCGAGCCAGAGTATGATAGTGCTTGAATGCCTCGGTCGTATTTCGGGGATGGGAATATTTACCGTACTAGATAACCCAACACACAAGTCGGAAAGGTGCCCATTTATGGATCATAACATCGCCATACATACCAGGAACATGTCACCCAGTGTAGCTAAGGAATCCTGATGCCCTTCGTCATATCCCAACTTGCGTAAAATTTGGGTTGCCTTTATCCTTTTAACTGCAGGTTCATCTCCCTCCTCTATCACCGGTATACTATCCAATTCCTGTTCACTTTCTATCGGCAAGGCCCCCAGATCTTCTTCCGCTGGTCCATGTCGCCGACGCAGATTTTCTAGTCGATCACTAAGTGGTCTTGGCAGAATGCTTCGCGTGATCAATCGGGTCAGAATATAAAGGAGGTCCCGGGTTTCCGCATTCGAGGAACGCAGGCCACGCTTTCGTGCTATTGCTGACAGATGTCGGATCGTATCTTGGTAAAGCTTGTCGCTGCGCTCGTCTGAACGTGGCCGGAAACATAAGTACAGCGTGTTATTTTGATCTAGCCCTGAAAAAGGGAGATTAACACTACCTTCAGCTGGCGGGGGCGATACATCAAGTGGGTCTTCCGACTTCCCACCAGGAAGGTGTTGCTCCTCCGCGGGCGGTTCAGGAACATTCTTGAACAAGATTTTCAAGTTAATTCCTCGGTGCAAATCTTGCCTGCCGGCACGCCCAGGAAGTTTCTGTACAGTTTCTCAATGCACCTTACCATTAGGTCATTAGAGGGTGCATTTTTGGGTGTTCCCGCCACAAAATGCAGACAGAAAATTAACAGAATAAAAATAGAAGCTACTGGATTACTGTTAGTTAAAAGAAAATACCCAAGGTGGAGATGCATGATCATACCAGTGGAACGCCATCTCAAGAGAGGCCCTTTTCGACATGACACTCGTGATCTTGGCTGAGACATAGTGAAAACAATGGCGGTAGAGTGTCGAAGGTAATACTCCGAAGGTACGGACCAAGTCCTGCTCTTGACTTCCCCCTTCGACTATATTAGGAATGTCCTTCCCTCTCTGTCGTCCGGGTCGCGCAAAAGGAAGGTCTGTGAGGTCAGATTTCACTCCACGGTGGCAGTTGCGGTCCCAGGTCGCTTTCATGATATAGCCACGTGACCGGGTAATGAATGTTTCAAGCGCTTCAACTTCAACAGATTGCTGTCGATGAAAAAACACACACAACTCTTGACAGTAATTTACAGTATTCTTTACTAGAAGGAACAATTCGAAACCAATGATCTACATTACACAAAAATAACTACGAACTCGTCCGCTGACAATCTATCACGTTCTATCTGACGGATCTTTTCTTCGTGACAGTATCAATGAGGGTAAATATGATCATTCGTCCTCTCCAGCACATCTTCCGGAACATTCCCAAGCCCATCGCATACAATACCCTTCTCCGCGTCCAACCCCTTCATCGTCCGCAAACCGGAGCCGAGATTCTACAACGTTGGTTATAATCTGCAGTCCCTCAGCTGGACTTGTGGGATCGATCCACATGTGCGCGCGGACAGAGGACATGTAACGACCCAGGATGCGGGTGAGAGTACGGTATTTGTCAAAATTGATTAATGTCGGATCAGACGAGGCTCGGTCATCATCATTGCCATCTTCTTGCAATGACGATTGGGATGCATCGGTGGGGTGAAGTGTGGTAGGAGCTATGAATTCTGGATTTCCTTCGACCACAAAGGTGGCATCCTTCATAACGACAGGTAAAAAAGGAACAACGCCTCCTTCTGCTTCTTCCTCCACAGCTCGTCGAAGTTCGCGCATGTTACCGCTGAGGTCCATCAACCGTTCCAAAGATCGCATTTTCTCAAGCGTAGAACTTGAGAGGCCATCCCAAGTCTTCTTGAGGCGCTGCACAGCAGGCGAATGAAGACCGGACAGGATGAAAAGGGAGGTGTGGAAATTGCGCTGGGTACGACAATACCAGGCGATAGCAATGAACTTCTCCAGAAGCTTGCGGCGAGGTTTGCGGGGAAAGAGTGTGCATAGTTCCAGCGCAACCCAATTTCGAATCTGTTCGGAACCACGCAACGACACAGAAATCCCATAAGTAAAATAGACCAACTTCGATAATATACAGCCAAGGAAAGACGATATTACCATATTAGCGCGTCCCGCAAACCAGTCAATCCTTCCACTGGAACTCGACCCTCGTCTCAATTTTCCAACAAAATCGCACATAGTGATACTTTTAAACGCTCGTGCATCGGCCAATGTTAAATATCGTGCCACGTCCTTCGCTTCAAACATTAACAGAGGAGACGACTCAGCGAGCGGTTGAGAGATGTGAGTCGGGAAAGGATTTGAACTGGATTGTTCAATGCGAACGTGCGCCGAGAACGGGGCTTGTTTTGTCCGCGCACATATCGACATAGCCTAACATTGGGGCTTGCTCAGTTACATACAGCATCTTCCAACTAAGCAGAATAAAAAGTACCTGAACGGCCGCGACACGACGAATTCTTTCCACTTCAGTCTGGAAGCTGTCTCCTCCTGATTCGATTTCCGCCAAAAAATCCTCAAATCCTTCCCGAAGCTTGCCATCCCCTTCGAAATCTTCAAATCTCAGCTTAACCCATCGAGCGAGAACAGATAATACTCTATCATCAGATTGAAAATGTCAGTTTACCAACCGCATCTTCTCCATGACAATGACGTTTGCAACGTACTTGGTGCGTATAGGTCTTTGCCACTTGGCAAAGTACTCGAGCTCTTCAGCACTGGTATCCTCGGAAACCTCGCAATAATACCTCATGATGAGGTTGCTCAAGAGATCCCGAGATGACAGATAGAAGGGATGTGTCTGGATAAACATGTCAACAAAGTCCATATCTGGTAGCAGTGGGTCAGCATTATGGGTGTTTTCATGTATCATCACCATCTTTGGTGAAAGTGGAAAAACAATCACCTTGTCCATTCTCATCTGCTAATCTCAGCACCAATTTTTCCACCGTTCCGGCCACAATCTGTAATTTACCATTCACCATCTCCATCACGAGGACATCTCGATCATCTTCGCTAAGATGAAGAAGGTTTCCTCGCACGGAAATGAACTCGGTCGCATTGGCGTCCCCTGCTTCATCTATATATCACAATTATCAGTTTCCGATAACGACTAGGAGGGTCATGAGAAATCCTACCTGTGCCAGAAAGGAACCGACCATGGTCCAGTATGCCAATCCGATTGCCCTGTGAAGACGACGTTACTATTTCCCGCTGCTGGATGGATGCGAAAACTGAAAACTGGCACCGTCACGCACGCACCTGGCTGTCATACGTAGGAATCCGTTGTGCAGCTTTGAAACCAAGTTTTTTCAAACTAAAAAAAAACCCAAATGACGTTATCTTCTGGGCACTGCCGTCTATGTTGTCTGTTGTGCTGACCAACCTCTCAAAGCGGTTGTTTCCATCGGCTCCATCGTCGATCTTCTCGACATCTACTGCCAGCCCTGGCTTCTTCTCCATCCCATCTTTCCATTCCTGTCGGCCATTTTCCCCCGTTTCTCCCTCGGCCACCCCAACCACACTCTCCATCATTCTAGACCATCGATCTGAATGCCCTCCTTCGTAACTCTGTCCAGCATCGGTAGGTAGTCTGACTTTCCAGTCTTCGGCTTGGAGGAGTTGCACTCTTGTCGAAGGAAGGGACGATGATGAATGTGTTCGGCTATGAGTGGGCCGCTTAGCAGGTGTTGTAAGGGGGGGAATGATGGGTGCAGATGCAGAAAGAGATCGAGAATGGTGGTGGTGCGGAAAGTGATGCTGGTGGGGAACTGTCGGGGGTGCACGTTCTTCCGATGTTTGGATTTCGTGATTAGGACGTGTCTCAGGCTCGTGTTCCGGAGACGATATGCGGCATCCAGCACTCTGAAGAAATATGTCAGTAAAAGACTACAACTTGATAACAGAAACATATTGACCAACCTCCTCCTCATCGTTTCTTAAAACTTCATTCAGCCACTCAGTAGCCTTTGCCGTTCCGAAGGAGATCTCTGGCAGCACTGGCACATCCAAGGAAGACGAGTGACGAGCGGATATCGACCTTTTCAGAGTCGATGGCGCAGGCTCCAATTTATTGCGCGACATATCGCCACTGGATCTCGATCGAAGTTTTGGCCTCAATGCGTCCAGGCTCGACCTACCCACAGGATACTGTGTGCCACGGGTCCGCGGTTGACGAGGTATATCCACACTCTTACCCCGACGGGGTACGTCCAAGCTGGTTGGTCGCGTAGATGGTGGTTTGAGGCCAGAGTCATCCGTCGCTTCCGACGGACGGCTAAATCTAGTTGTTGGATGTGATGATTCTGAAGTATCATCAGATGTATCGCTAGACATGGATGACGGACGTGCGTGCTCCGTCAATTGAGCAAGTCGGCGTTTCAAACGTGCTCCAACTACGAATACATATGAATATCATTGCAGGGGGAAAACGTCTTACAGTACATCCTTACATGATAGTCGCTTGGATATTCTGTCTGCAAGGGGCGACCCAAGCACGCGAGGCGGTGGGACATCTTCAGTTGCTCTATCTGCCGGCGATACATCGTTTGGAGAGAGGAAGGAAATCGCGCTGTCGGTCCGCAAAGCTACAGGAAATGAGACAACGAGTTACAAAATGCACACCATTGGGCAGGGAAGTATTTGCTGGAATACACACGCCATCGTCGAGAGTCACTTCCAAGAATCTTCCAAGCAAAATCGACAAATGCATTCAAAGCCCGACTAAACTGCATCGATGTTGAGATAAGTCGGCCGTACAGCGCCTGTATGCAACCAATGTCAGTATACATGGTTGACACAGAGGAATCCGCTATTCAATCAACCTTCGCCTTTTCCAAACTATCTCTGCCGAGATCTCCCTCCTTCAAGCTTTTGACATCGCGCAAGATGCCTGATGCTGTCTCCCAAACCTGTTCCGAAATCCTCTGATAGTCCTCTAGCTCGCCTTGATCATTCAACTCAGCTAATATTCGATCATTATGTGTTGAGACAACGGCTTCGATAAGGGCCGCTAATGCAGATGATGCAGATAACACTTGTGCAAGCGCAGATCTGTGGTCTATTCTATCGTGGGATGGTGAACGGTGGTGATGAGGCTCGTAGGAGGTTTGCCCGTATTGAGTATATGCTGGTGAAGATGTGACAGAGGTTGCAGGAAGGGGACGGAGGATGATAGCAGGGGCATGCAACAAAATGGTGAGAAGTTGGGATTCAATGAGTGCAAACGGCTGATCCGATCGTGCACGTTCATTAGATTGGTAGCTCTGGCGATTATGCCTTGACGTCAATGCAGCGGTCACCTCCAATCCCGCAAAGAGCATGGTGGCCTCTTTCTTATGCAAGATACTGAAATTCTCCACAAACGGTCGTAGTTCATCCGGAATTCGCATCGATATTTGTCCGTCCTTTTCAGCTTTCGCGGGAGGTGTCCGCGAGCGAGTCCGAATACTTTGCCCACCACGGCCTCTGTGGGCTTGCTCAAGCACGCCTGAAATCCGTCCCCAAGCTTCATCGATGGTCTTGCCGTCATGCTGTGCGGGCGACTGTGCGGCTGCTTTTCTCGTAAGAAGCTCAATTAGGTCCAACTGGGAAGGTACAGGAAATGTGTCAAAGAGCGCCAGAATGTCGGGAACCGAAGGGGAGTGATCCGGCCCCTTCATGTTGAATATGAATCAAAAAAGGAAACGTCCTTTCGGACAAAAGTGATTGAAAGGTAACTTGGAAGAGGTTGTGTTATATGTGTTGTTTTGTTTCAGTTATAAGAATGAATGAGGTCCTGAGCTGAGGAGCGTAGTCTTGCGCTGCCGCACTTCAAGCAAGTGTTCGTTCCGCTATCACCGTTTGTCTGCTTCAGGGAAGCGGTGGAACGCTCTGCAATGAAGAGAAGGCAGACGCAACTAGCACCGGGATTTGACACCGCAACCAAAATCACCGACAGCCTGTGTATTTCTCGTTCGTCCTCGTGGTCGTATGCCGTCACTACCAGCAGACAGGCGCCGAAGGGGTGGTGCACTTGGTGTGACCCATTTGGCAGTGCGTCGTCGCTGTGTGCAGAGTTTGTTGCTATGGTCGGTTGCTATGAGAGGGCACGTCCTTTGCCTCGTGTCGCTCCTACAGCTTGTGCAGGCAGATAAAGATCGAGCATCACGTGAGTCATGTGATGTTCAAAGGATGTGAGGCGCCGAATTGAATGGATGGACCACCACATGACTCACGTGATGCTCTATCTTTATCTGCACATGCTGTACATAGTGTGGAGGCGATTGAAAATGGCACTAGGACCCATTATTATCCGGATTAATCCGGTTAATCATATCGCATAATCAGCACCCCCCGCTCAAAAACGGTGTGGCATGCATGTAATGTTTTTTTTAAAACTGCGGTGAGGCGCATGCCAAAGGTCTATAAAAAGGGGGCCTTTGCTCTCTCTTCCCTCTTTCCTCTTTACCCATCCTCGACTCTCAAATCATCTGCATTCTCATGATTGGACCGAGTCGCGATGAGAGTTCTGCAGATGGTGGTGCCGAGGACCTCGCCCACCCGATTACAACCAACTGGAACCAGCGCAGCCTCGGAACCAACAAAGCTGTTATGCTGCCACATTAGTTGAGCTTGGTTGGTATGTATCGATGGCATTTCTTGCATTTCTTGTCATCGGGTCATCTTCTGACATGCAGTTTTTGTAGTCTCCAAGCCTTGTCACTGAACATCCTCTGGCTTGTGACGCTGCCCAGTCGATTTGCTCCTGGATGCAAGAGTCTGGCTTCAATGCCATCAAGAGTTCCAGATCAAGGCCTAGTAGGGACCGCGTGTGGTGGTGGGCAATTATCCGGTTAGAACCAACCGTTACGTATTGCGTGTATACGGCCTGGTAGTAGTTAGCTTTTCTGAACCGGTTGTCGCCGGTTTATTCCCTGGTGTAGTAGCTAGTGCCAGTTTCTGTCACCTCTACACTACAGTACAACTGGGGTCTTGCTGTCTCACAGCACGCTGCTTGATTTCAAACCGAATGCGAGCAGCGCTGCGATACACACGAGATACTCCATGATTCTCATTTTAAGCTAACATGGATATGCTTATATGCACCCAACAATAAATAATACATACGTCTTACTCGTGGTGTATTTATCGTTTGAACCTGCTGATATCAGTGCGTGAGTCATGAGTCCTGATCGCTTAGTAATCACGATCAAATGCAATCAGTTGAGTTGAATGCGGCATGTGCGGCTTAGGACACTGACCAGAGCTATTTTTAGGGACAGCCGTTGATCTTCCAATCTGCATTTTGCGGCCCGTTGTTCTTACTCCGGTTTCGTCGTCTGAAACGGCGACGCTTGCAAGTGCGCACGCGGAACACTTTCCACTTCTCTTGTATCCAGGCGGGAGAAATATAGCGACGTTGAGGAGCTATATACGGGGCGAGGGGATCCCAACATCTCCTTTTACCTAATAAGATAATCCATGTCTGCAACATCACCGACACTACCATCGCACCACCATTCAACACCAATGACCACGGAAGTCCGTCATTGTACGCCGTCTTTCAAAGGGCTTGTGGCCCTGATTTTGGGTAGTCAAGTGTTATTGCAAAAAAAGAACGAGGAAAGGGCTTTGAAGTATTTCAAATTGGCGGACGAGGAGAACTGCCTTATGGGTAAAACAGCCGTGGCATTCTTCAGTGAATTCAGAATGGGTGAAGGACCTCAACCCGTTTCGACGATCCCAAAGGAAAACTACACGCTTGCTGAGAGGTGAGTGTTGGGGTAGCTGTGGTGAATTTTTCTCGCCCAGTCAATAACTCATCGCCGCATGCTTCAGGCTTTATACTATGGCTGCTTCTCGAGGATGTGGTTTGGCAAAGGCTCGACTGGCATTTCTAAAGACCCACGGCAGACCTGGAATCAAGATCAACCATGCAGAAGCAGAACGATGGAGGAAGGAATGCGCCGAACAAGGGAAAGATGCCATTCGCTGGTTGGAAGAAGCAGCAGAAGCAGGAATAGCTGCAGCGCAGTTTTGTCTGGCATTATGCTACTATAACGGCATCGCTGTCCCAGAAGATGATGCAGTTGCTTTTCTGTGGTGTGAAAAGGCAGCCAATCAGGGCCATTCAGGAGCACAAAACGTTTTGGGAAATCTATATATCGAAGGATCTGGCTGTACACGGAATCCTACTCTTGGACTGCGATGGTACATCAAAGCCGCGGAACAACGAGAGGCAGCTGCGATTTACAACATTGGAACACTATTCGAACGCGGAATAGCAGTCGAAGAAGATTTGTCGCAAGCGCTGGGCTGGTACCAACGGGCAGCAAAGTTTGGGTCCATCAACGCACAGAACGTTCTCGGCATCTTCTATGAACAAGGCCTTGGGATGAGTGGGCCCAACGAAATCCGAGCTGTCGAACATTACCTTTTGGCGGCAAAGGACGGACACCCGCATGCGCAATACAATCTCGGTCGATGCTATCATGATGGAATTGGAGTGCGAACGGACAATGCGCTGGCTGCTGGGTGGTTCCAGCACGCCGCAGCACAGAATCACGCCTTGTCACAACTGTCACTGGGAATCTGCTACGAGTATGGTATGGGAGTCCCTCAGAACAATGTCATGTCGCTTCAAAACTATACTCTGGCTGCGTCGAATGGATGTGAAGAGGCAAACAAAAGAATTCGTCCCGTAGTGGCTGTCAAAATGCTTGCCCCGGCTCGCGTGCTGCTGAGCAATAAGTTATCTCCTGCTTCTTCCCCCTCGTCCCGCCCTACCACAATCCACTCGCTACCGCTGGAGATCCTGGAGCATATCATTGGCTACCTGGATGACCGTCGCCTCCTATCGCCACGAGAACACCGTGTGATATTTAAAATCGCCGCAGATAAACGGACCATGACTGGCAGCATGTCCTCAAAGCTTGCATACCTGGACCTGCTGGGATTGAAGGAATTGGCTCTTGGACAGCTTCCACTTCCTAAATGCACTTGCTTCGGAGGAACTTGCAAGGAAATCAAACATATCGTGGATGCGATCGAAAATTTCCAGCCCGCCATGAAATCGTGGGACGATCTGCTGGAGGTAGGCTCTGGACAGCTGGATGTGGCGCCCGCTGCGGAGGGACCATCGTTTTACCACAAGTCATTGGTTGTCGCACCTCCCGTCCTGACACTCCAACCTGGCGCCCCGACGGTATGGACCGAGCCATCAACTGGTAAGGAGAGATAGTGCACTTAGTGCGGACAATTTTGATATCGTGCTAGGCTGCAATACCTTTCTTCCTGTTGCGATCCTATATATAATTGTAGTATAGTGCAGCATACTTCTGTAGCATAACATTGTTTTATATAGCATATCAACGAGATGATGTATACATGGCGTGTCTGTTTTTGTAAATACACTATTTAGTACCTCATATATATTTTGTTGTTCATCATTTGACTTTATGACTGATCAATACTTGGGACGCACGAGCAAAATACTGTATGATGCAGACACATCATTGGATGACTCAGCCGACTCACGTTCCACGAAGCCAAAAGCTCTGTTGCCACGGCAACTAAACCCGATCATCACCGTCCATCGTCCCCCCTCCACTTGACAGTGATCACACTGTTTTTTTCCACCTTCAGGTCGTGATAGAACACAAGTGCTTGTCAACAATGCTCACAGCGACTCGTGCCCTTCGGCTAGCGGCGTCCTCGACGCGGGTGGGCAGTGTGTCCCAAGTGATCGGAGCCCGCTTCGGCTCTGTGTGGGCTCATGTTCAACAAGGTGGGAACATGAGAATCAGAGCTCTTTGTAGAAGGGAGAGTAGAAGCAAATGTATGCTATCAGACGCTGACCTTATCTTTCCGGTCTACTAGGTCCTCCTGACCCAATTTTGGGTGTCACTGAAGCCTTTAAGGCGGACAAGAACCCTCAGAAAATGAACCTTGGCGTTGGAGCGTACCGTGACGATGCGGGTCTTCCGTACGTTTTGAACTCTGTCCGAAAGGTATGAATGTGCACAGCTGAGGCGGTGTAGTGACCATCAACTGAGATCTTATGTGCAGGCAGAGCGAAGCATCCACGACTTGTCGCTTGACAAGGAGTACATTCCCATCACTGGCGTGCCCGAATTCAACAAATTGGCTGCGGAGCTGGCATATGGAGCGGAATCTGCACCTTTGAAGGCTGGAGCGGTATGATGCATGTTTTCGATTTGGGGGTTGACTGCGGTATTGACGGAGATGGATTCGAATAGGTTGCTACCGCCCAATCACTCTCTGGAACTGGTGCTCTGCGTATTGGTGGAGCATTCTTGAGTAGGTGGTATAAGGGTGCTGGTGGCAAGAAGATCTACTTGCCTACTCCCAGGTGGGTATCCTAGATCTGGATAAAGTGCGATGAGGAGGCCGATATTGATTCCATTATGACACAGTTGGGGAAACCACACACCCATCTTCAAGGACTCTGGTTTGGAGGTTGCACAATACCGGTACTTTGACAAAAAGACCAACGGGCTGGACTTTCAGGGTATGGTTCAGGATTTGAAGGTACGGATCATAATAAAGTTTCCAGTTGAGATGACAAATACTAATGTGATGTTTATCGGCTTTTTAGAGCATTCCTAGCGGATCTGCCGTCCTTCTTCACGCCTGTGCCCACAACCCTACTGGAGTCGACCCGACACCTGAGCAATGGAAGGAGCTTTCCGACGTTATCAAGCAAAAGGAACACTTTCCCTTCTTTGACATGGCCTACCAAGGCTTTGCCTCTGGTGACACCACCCGTGACGCCTTTGCCATCCGGTACTTTGTCGAACAAGGTCACCAGATGATGCTTGCCCAGAGTTTTGCCAAGAATATGGGCATGTATGGCGAACGTGTTGGCATGTTCTCCATGGTTACCTCTTCCGCAGAGGAAGCCAAACGCGTGGACAGCCAGGTCAAAATCCTGATTCGCCCAATGTACTCTAGCCCCCCACTCAGCGGCCCCCGTATCGTAAAGGAGGTCCTCAAAAACCCTGCCCTCAAATCCGAGTGGCTAGACGAGGTCAAATTCATGGCCAACAGAATCATTTCCATGCGTGAAGGTTTGAGAGGACACTTGGAGAACACGTACGGGTCCAGCAGGCCGTGGGATCACATTACAAGCCAAATCGGTATGTTCTGCTACTCGGGATTGACACCGGAGCAAGTGGATCGGTTGCGGAGTGAGTTTTCAGTGTATTTGACCAAGGATGGACGGATTTCTATTGCTGGGATTACAAGCAAGAATGTAGAGTACCTCGCAAAGGCTATTCACGAGGTGACGAAATAGATGTTTGAGACTGGGGAGGGGGGGAAATGGACCATTTTTAAAGAGACTTTTATTCATAATGGACCTTGTGTCTTTTTTTTTTGGTTTGTCTGCATGTAATACATGAGATACACCATGTGCAGCGAGTGTGACATCTGTTTAAAATGGCCATGCATGAAAGGGGACTGTTTCATAACCTCGCTTCCAATCCTTTCAATGCTTCACACCCCGCGCATCCCTCCGCCAACTTTGATACCCCCTTATCCACAACGTCCCTCACAAACATGTTGTATTTTTTCTCTCTCCCCACTGTCGTTGCGGGTCCATGGCCAGGAATCACCTTGACATCATCTGGAAGTGTGTAGAGTTTTGAAAGAACTGATTCCTGCAAGGTTGTAAAGGATGCTTTCCAGAGATCGGTTCTACCGATCGAGTCCCTGTTGGATGTGACATTAAGACATGCGTATAGTTTTTTGCATTTAATGTTAGGACGAACCTGAATAGTGTATCCCCCGTGCACACTATACCCAGTTCAGGAAAGTAATAAGAAGATGATCCGGGACTGTGTCCAGGTGTATGCAAGACTGTGCCGATTTGGGTTGTACCGAGAGTAATGGGTTCTTGACCAACTTTTGGGTGATGTGAGTATTTATATTTATATATGAGCTCTTTTTTTTGTGTGGGTGTGGACTTACGTAGGAGGGTGTCGGGTGGAGATGGGATTTGATCAGATGAGAGAATGAGACCTATGAGGCGACACTGGTCTTCGAGTCTTTCCCAAAGAAACTGTAAGGTAGTGGAGTGAGAATCTGTTTTTGTAATCTCTTGGGAGAGTGGTTTTACCTGGTCTTGTTGGTGGAGGTGGGTTGTTGCACCCGTTGCGCTTTGGAGTTGGGCGGTAGCGAGAAAGTGATCGAAATGGGCGTGGGTATGGTAGATTTTCTTAATCTGTCAAGTGCAGTTATTAGTTTTTGGCCAGTTTTTTGTAATACTGTTTGTAATGACATTACTTGAACATTCATCCTCTCTGCCTCGTCCAAAATCAATTGCACATCTCCCCCAGGATCAACAACAACCGCCTCACCCGTCTGCTTATTTCCCACAATAACGCAGTTACAATCCAGGGGACCGACAACATTTACACTGACATTGTAATCCGCCATCTTTTTAATGACCAGAGCCTTCAGCACCTTTTCGCAGCTCGTTTAAAAGGATCTCGAGTTTTTCGCGGAGTTTTGTAACGAGGGTATCTTCGTCTTTTGAAGGGGGTGGAAGTTGGTCGAGAAGGTATTCTGCTTCGTCAATTGTGAGGACAATGGGGCCGCGATTCATGGTTTGGGAAAGTGATGGCAGAATGCAAACTTTGACTGTGAGAGACTTGTCATCATGATCGGTCACGTGGGTTTTGTCAGCAGCAATTACAACTCGTAGCAACTGGACAAGCACAGTAGTGGTCTGCTTTGAATTATGCATATTCGGCTAGTACTTTATATGCCACCTATTGACACATGTAAAGGCTAATCGCTTGTCCAGTGCATACAGCGATACGGGTTGTACTGAGTTTAAGCTGTAATAGGGGACATATGATAAAACGTCCAAATCGACATGCAAAAAGAAGCCATTAATTGTGAGATTGTTTGAAATACCCTTCCTTGTTTATACCAGCAGACTTCTACGCATTGTTGATCGTCTTTGGCCATTATTCAAACCCAGAATATCATGATACAAAAGTTATCTCCAAAGTTTGAGTTCGATTTTATCACGTGAGCGCAGTAGTCCCAAAAAGGCAATATGTGTCCCCAACATGCACAGACCTCAAAAAACACAAAAGCGAGAAAAACGGGCAACCATTTCCCTCCTCGTTCCTTGCAATTCCATCTTTTGTTTTGACAACTTACGCTCATCATGACCGTCACCGTCCAAGCAACGACCTTTATCCTCCCCGTTGTGAACCTCGCGCCTTTTCTAGCAGACCCAACCTCCGAGGAAGCACTCGCAGAATGCGAAAAGGTACACCAACAACAAAAACCCCATTTTCTTTGAAAACAATAAAATATACTGAATATGAACATACACATGTAGGCAGCAACAGCCCTCAAAACCCACTCAGCCCTCGCAATCCACGACCCCCGCGTAAACCAATCCCACAATGACACATTCCTAAATGTCATGGAAGATTATTTTGCGCAGGATGAGGAAGCAAAGTTACGGGATGTGAGGCCGGAGGTTGGGTATCAAGTTGGTGCTACTCCAGAGAATACGGAGCGGCCGAGGTGTGCGAGGGATGAAGGGTGTGAGGAGATTGTCAAGACCGTAAGTTGGTAGTTGATTATACAAAAGAGTTTGTTTTTTAAAATGTGGTTTTCTTTTTGGGTTTTTTTGTAGATGGCTGAGGAGAATAAACCTTTGCCTTACGATGGTACGGATCCTAAATGGCGTTTCGTAAGTTTTGTTTGATGAAACGTACGTTTGCATTCCCGTAACCAACACAGTTTTTATAAAGTTTTGGCGTATCGGTGACCAACCCCCGGAAACCCAATTCAATGCCCTAAACGCCGACCCGGTCGTTCCAGCAGGTAAAAAGAAAACCACGCACAAAAACTTGCACTACAAACCTCCATTATACAACATTATACTAAACAAAACCCACTAGCATTCCCAACCTGGTCTAAAACAATGAACACATGGGGAACACTCATGCACACCTCTGTCGAAACCCTCACAGAAATGCTCGCAATTGGACTCGGACTCCCTCGGGAGACGTTTGTAGAGTTTGGACGGTACGGACCGCACTTGTTGGCGCCTACCGGAAGTGATTTGGAAAAGTATGGTAAAGTTGGAACGGTTTTGGCTGGGTTTCATACGTACGTATCCTGCAATTATCATCATACACCATGCTTTTCAAAAATGTTTATGTTAATGAACACGACACATTGTAGGGATCTCAATTTATTGACGATCCACGGTCCATCTCGATTCCCAGGTCTCCACATCTGGACACCCACGTACCAAAAACTCCTCGCCAAACTCCCTCCACAAACACTTTTGGTCCAAGCCGGTAAACAACTCGAGATCCTAACCGGGGGTGTCATTCGCGCCGGGTTTCACGAGGTGTGTGTTGTGGAGGATACCATCGCTGCCATGACGAGGCAAAAAGAAAAGAACCGTCCTTTATGGAGGATTTCGTCAACCTTGTTTTATCATGTTGCTAGTGATAGGGTTTTGAGGCCTCTTGGAGGGTTGGGTGGACAAGAGGGGCGGGAAAAGTATCCAGAGATTTTGGCGGGGAGGCAGGTGCAAGCTGAGTTGGGGTTCATTAGTTTGATGGATCAGTAAAAAGAAAATGGTGGGATCCGCCTTGCTTGGAGTATTGAGTTCGTGGATATACAATATGTACTGCAGGTTGTAAAAAGACCAAACGCCATTGTATAATGAAATAAAGATTATATTGTTCCCGCTATCATTGTTATGAATAATACCACAATATACAATTTGTGTTTACAACCTCAAAAATTCTGCTCTCTCCACTTTTCTTTCCCCAATTTTTCCCCCCTTTTCCACACCCCTCGCCTTGGCCCCTTTATCGACTTTACCAACTACAGTCACATTCTTTTGTCCCATCAATTTCTTCAACGCCGACTCCTTTTCTTTGCGCTCTGCGAAGGCTGTACGGGGTTTAGCAGCCACAATAGCCTGAAGACGATCTTGTTTCTCTTTGCGGGCTTTTCCAGCTTGTTTCCTCGTTTTGTCTCGAAGACGTTTCTTGGTGCCGGATGAGAGTTCCTTGTCGCCTTTGAGGTCCTTGGGGGGTGCGAATACCTCCGAGGGTGCTACGAGTGCAGAATCGGCTACATGAGAAGGCGTGATATCCTCCATTTGCAAAGCAGGAGCGTTGGGGAGGGGTGTGACTTGCAGTTCGACGGTAGTGGGTTTGGGCTGGAAATGCCAGTTGGAAAGGGCATCAAGATTCTGACAAAGGGATTTGAAGAGGGTATCGATTTCAGCGTGTTGGGCGGCGAGGGCGGCGTCTTTTTCTGTTGTGGTTGTTTGTCCTGTTTTTCGCATATAGTCTTCCTCGTAGACCTCTGCAAGCCCCTTGCTGCTCTTTTCTTCTATAATCTCGATACGTCTATTGGGATCAAAATCTCTATCCCGAGGTGGCGCCTTGCGAACTACATCATCAAACACAGCATCCTTGATCCGCTGCTTGATCAAATCCTCCAACGACGATGTTTTTTCTTCTGTTATGACGGGAACGGGTTTGGCGGCGTGCTCGTATTCTAAATCTTCTTCGAGGAGGGAATTGACTGGACGGGATTTGCTAAAGGCTTCTCCATTGAGGGTCCATGGTTTGGGGGCGATGGCTTCAGACTCGAGCTGGGTGATTTGGGCCGCAAGTTTTTTTTGCTCTCTTTCAAAGGTGGAGATGGTCGTATCCGGCTGGGTGTCTTCATCAAACAGGTTGGCGGTTCGGGAAGGGTGTACTGTCGGGTTTTCTTCCCCTTGGTCCTCATCCTCCTGGTCTTGTTCCTCCTGATTCTCATCCTCCCTTTGGAATTCCTTGACTTGGTTCTGATCCGAGAACCGTACACGTGCATCAGGCCGCTCATGATGCTGTTCACGCGGTCCAAAGAAATCCTCATACCGAATCTCTGCAAATAATAACAGAAAATGTCACCCACCCCGTTGATATACACTCTAAATATTTTTTCATACCATTCGCATTCTCATCCTCCTCATTCAACTCATCCTCCAATGCAAACTCATCATCATCTTCTTCTAGATCCTCTTGGTTCCGCCGTGCACGTTTCATATCACGCGCCTCACCAAAGTCGGCGAATCGCTCCATGTCTTCAAGGGAAAAGAATTCGTCATCAATGATGCTTTTGCGTTTCCGTGGTGAGTCGGAGGGGTTGGAAGCGTTTGAGACCTGGTCGTCATCGAGTGGGTCTGAACCGCTCAACATGTCCTCGTTATCGTTTTCCTCCAATTCCTCATCTTGTTCCTCGCCTTCCTCTTCTTCCTCATCCTCGTTATCCACATCCTCGTCCTCATCATGCTCACTCACATCCTCCTCTTCATCCTCCTCCAATTCCTCCACATGCACATCACTCTCCTCCGCATCCCCCTCCGCATTCTCCAAAATCTCCTGAACTTTATCCCCAAAATACTCCCCAAAAGGCCCAACAAGCATCCAAATCTGCTCCCAAATCTGCTCCGCATCAAACCCATCCACCCAAACCTTGTCCAAATGCGTCATTTGGATAGGTTGGGATTGATGGGCAAGGGAGTAGAGTGCGCATGTTGTTTTTAGAAGGGAGGTGCTGAGGGTTTGTGAGGGGGCTAGGAACTTGTGCGGGGAGAGGGATGTTGGGTTTATTGGGAGGGTTGGGGGTGTCATAACGCAAGGATGCAAAAAGTGGAATTCAGTGGAGGAATAGAGTATCATTGTGAGCAAGATCCGTCAAGTTTGGTCAAAAATAAAAATTTCCTTTTATGGGTTAATGAGACTCTCATCCAATAAACGCATGTTGTGTATGTAAGCTTGTTAAACTGGAAATCTCCGATAGCCTACCAAGATACTTGGGGTTTTGATGAACGGCCAATGTTTCGTTGAACATGCAAGAAACCTCTCACTTATCACGTCCAAAAAACACGATGAGATAGACGGAATGATATTGCAATAAACACATCTACCTAGATTTTCTTAACCGTAAAGTTGCATATATATCAATGGTGTCGAATCAATGCTCGTTGTCCAAAACCAACTCGTAGTTAAAAACATAGATTCCCTTTACAATAATGGTTTCCAATCCCCACTCGACGAGACATACAAGTATCCATCATATCAAAAGTTTTGACCGTAAAAAAGCAAGAGCCTGTTGCATTGCTCGTAATTACGTAACTAGCAGAGCAGGAAACAACTGAGCCGTGGGGATATTGGGGTGATGAGGGTGTGGTATATGGCCCGAGGTGGGCCAAGAATTTCAAAAAGCACAACTGGGTTTTTCCAATCTTGTTGCAACTTGTGCAGACAATACACATTACAAAAAAAAAAGGACACATAAAATGTCACCGCTCCCACCCGAACTCTTATCGTGTATCCTCCTCCACACCAAAACCCCAACAACACACCACAACCCAACCCTCTACGCCTGCCTCCAAGTCTCAAAAGCATTTTATCTCACAACCCGCCAAATCCTCTGGTCAGCCCCCCGACTCGGCACACGTATCCAAAACCGAGCCTGGAGAGGATTCGTTAACGCCGTTTTGGGTCCCTACAAGGATTTTGTTCACGTTATTGAGGATGTTTGGTTGGTTGTTGGTGGAGAAAGATGATGATGATGGGAGGAGGGATTCCGGTATCGACATGTTCAAACCGTATTCGTTGCAATATGTTTTATATCATATGGTTGAAATGTGTGAGAATGTCCATACGGTGCGATTACATCTTCATTGTGATGTACCGTATGCATTGCCTTGGAAGCTTCGTATAGGGACATTAAGAGAGTTGGAAGTGTACATGAGGGTTGATGATGAGTTTTTAGAGAGGGTTTTTGAAGCTGCGGGAAACAAATTAGAAGGATTGGTGTTGCATTCGACAGGGATATCAACAAGAGGGTTCGAAAGGATACGATACGCTGCCCCGGGGTTAAAAAAGTTGATCTTATCACAGGCTCCACGGTCAAGACATTCCGTGTACCGCCCTACAATGGATTCATATGCCATTGCACCATTTCTGGAATCTCATCCTCAGTTAACGGAATTTCATGTAACGCCCCTTCCAAGACTACGACCAAGCGATCTCCAATCCCTTTCACACACCCTCCAATCTCTAACATTAACACTATCAACTGAAACGCACTTGACTGTCAGATCCATCACAACCGTCATCCTACCCCCATTGACCCGGCTTCAATCGCTTAAACTAGTGGGAAACACGGACCCAGCTGCTGTGTACATGTCCGACGGCGTCGTTTCTGAACAAGAGGTTCTAGAGATACCCACAGGAACGTCAGGGGCATTTCGGAGGCTTGTATTATCTCAATTGGATTTATACCGTGAAGAAGGGTACAAGGAGTTTTATGGGAGAGGGATGCCATGGGCTGTAGATGCCTTTATGGGACGCTGGAAAACAAGGTGGAAAGTAGAGTTGGTTATTGAGGGATGAGGACATGGCATTAAGGGCTATGTCGTGGGAGGTGTTTTATGGGAGAGGGACTGTAGATGCCTTGATTTGATGGAAATCGAGATGGAAGGGCGTAGAGTTGGTTATTGAGGGGATAAACACAATGTCAACAAAATAGCATAAATCAAGTTGATTAAAATATGGGTTATACATGTGGTATCTACAAAGCAATTTGACCACTCCATCAACAGATTTTCGATCCATGTTGTGAATGCTTTGGCGGTTTTTGGTTTCATAACCGATAAACCCAAAACTTTTTCTTAAACCCTCTTTCCAAATACCCTCCCAACAGAAACTTTGGCAACCTTTTTAACAACCCTAAACGTCACACTAACTCTCGTACCCCTCTCAATCCTCCCCCCCTCCTTACCAAAATCTCGAACAGGATTCACAACCCCTTCAAGAACATCAACCCTCTGCTCAGGAATCCCATGCAAAAACCCCCTATAAACCTCCCCATCCAACACCAACAAGCTCCCCGGTTCCAAAAACAGGGTATGAGAGGCTTTGGTTTGACCGTGTGGGTATAATTGGAGGAGACAGGTACTTGAGAGGGAGAGGGTTGCTATTGTTGGGTGGAAGGCTGGGCCGTCTTCGTGGGGGAGGATACCTTGCCCTGGTAAATACCTAATTCAAAATATGGGTGAATATATGTAACAAGTGTGCGACGGGGGGAATACGTTACTCGTTGATAAGACAATTGTTGGCGTGGGAATGTTGATGCCATATACCCAATGCTGCGATTCGGTTTTCGATGGCGGTTAACCAAGGGGGTAGTGGGTCTGAAAGGGGACAATGCCCTGCAAGGACACCCCAGTTCTGTAAGCGGCGGTTACGAAGGGAAACCCATTTTGGTTTGGGGGTTTTGTAGATTTTTTCGAGGAGGGTTGTGGATTCTTGGGGGGTTAGGAAGGACGGGATGTAGTACACTGTTGGTGGGGCGTTTGGGAGAATGTACTGTTCGAGGGGGTTTGAGGTGAGCATGGTCGGAATGGCCAGTTGGTTGAGAGGCGAGAGAGATTTGGACGCGTCAAAAACCAAGGACGCGCTTGGTAGTTTTACGTGAACTGCAAATGCCAAAACTCTGTTTTCAAAACTTTTCTCTATTTTCAACTTTACAATGAAAAACCCACAAGAAACAAAAAATGGACATGTCATCTTACAATCCCTCTCCCTTCTTCTATGTACCTACCCTATCTACAAAAAACTGTTGATTCAAAATAGGTCTATATATACTTTCTCGAAAAAACTTGTATGCAGCTATCTATGTGGCTGGACTAGTGGAACCGACGGGTCATTCGGTTACGGTTGGCATTGCCTGCATTGCCATTGTTGCCACGGTTGTTCCTGTTGTCCACTTGCTTCTTGTCAGCTTGCTTGTTGTCCGCTTGCTTGTTGTTCGCCTGCTTATTGTCAGCTTGCTTATTGTCGCCCTGCTTGTTATCGGCTTGCTTATTATCAGCTTGCTTGTTATCCGCTTGCTTGTTATCCGCTTGCTTGTTGTCAGCTTGCTTGTTATCCGCTTGCTTGTTATCCGCCTGCTTATTGTCAGCTTGCTTGTTATCCGCCTGCTTATTGTCAGCTTGCTTATTGTCAGCTTCCTTGTTATCCGCTTGCTTGTTGTCAGCTTGCTTGTTGTCAGCTTGCTTGTTGCCCGCTTGCTTATTATCAGCTTGCTTGTTATCCGCCTGCTTGTTGTCGGCTTGCTTGTTGCCCGCTTGCTTATTATCAGCTTGCTTGTTATCCGCCTGCTTGTTGTCAGCTTGCTTGTTGCCCGCTTGCTTATTATCAGCTTGCTTGTTATCCGCCTGCTTATTGTCAGCTTGCTTATTGTCAGCTTGCTTGTTATCCGCCTGCTTGTTGTCGGCTTGCTTATTGTCAGCTTGCTTGTTACCAGCCTGCTTATTCCCTTGCGCAACAACATTGACCCGAATACAATCATCCTGGGCTCCACGCTGAGCAACGGGCATCACAAGCGGCTGATGCGAAAACGATCCCGACATGGAACAAATACGGTAGACCCCGGGTCCAGAGGTTGTGAATGACGTTCCAGGGACGGTTGTCTCCATATTGCCAGATCCATCGGCGGGATCATTGAGACCTTTGAAGAACTGGAAGATTTGGGCGTCGGGGGCCGCGAGGTTGTCGTTGGCGTTGGCTGCGATGCGTTGGATGGTAATGTGTTGATGGCCTTGGATGATACCCTGGGCGTTGAGTTGTTGGGGGAGGGCGTAGTAGAGGGTTTGGGGGTCAGAAAAGAAGCCGGTTTGGAGATTAGCTACATTGATCTGGACTTTAAAGTCTTGACCGATGGGGATTGTGGCCTCGTTTTCAGGTTGGACAATGACGGTCGAGACCATTTGTTGGCAGAGGGGATGGCACCTTGGGCGGTCTGGGAGCAGAAGCCGGTGCGAATTTGGGTGCCGTCACCGATGGGGAGGTTGCCAAAGTTTGGCAGAATTTGGCCGCACCGGGGGAGACGTTCTTGTTGTCTCCTCCCTTGGCGGCTCCGCCCGTTATTACCGCCATTGTTCTTGTTGTCTTTTGCGGCTCCGCCGTTGTCCTTGGCAGCACCGCCATTGTTACCGCCATTGTTTTTGTTGTCCTTGGCAGCACCACCGTTGTTCTTGTTGTCCTTGGCAGCACCGCCATTGTTACCGCCGTTGTTCTTGTTGTCTTTCGCGGCCCCACCGTTGTTGTTGTTGTCCTTGGCAGCTCCTCCGTTGTTCTTGTTGTCCTTGGCAGCTCCTCCATTGTTACCGCCGTTGTTCTTGTTGTCCTTGGCAGCTCCTCCATTGTTACCGCCGTTGTTCTTGTTGTCCTTGGCAGCTCCTCCATTGTTACCGCCATTGTTCTTGTTGTCCTTGGCAGCTCCTCCGTTGTTACCGCCATTGTTCTTGTTGTCCTTGGCAGCTCCTCCGTTGTTGCCGCCGTTGTTCTTGTTGTCCTTGGCAGCTCCTCCGTTGTTACCGCCGTTGTTCTTGTTGTCTTTGGCAGCCCCACCGTTGTTCTTGTTGTCCTTGGCAGCTCCGCCGTTGTTCTTGTTGTCCTTGGCAGCACCACCGTCGTTTTTGTTGTCACCGGGTTGAAGTCCTTTTCCGGGGGTAGGTGTCGGCGTGGGTGCAGCGGTCGTTTTTTGACCAGATTGGAACCCTTTTCAGAGGTACGTGTTGGAGTGGGCGTTGGGGTGGGGGTGTTTCTACTTTCGTTCTTGTTTCCATTGTTTCCGTTGTTACCGTTATTGCCCTTGTTACCGTTGTTATTGTTGTAACCACCGTTATTGCCATTGTTGCCGTTGTTATTGTTGTAACCACCGTTATTGCCATTGTTGCCGTTGTTATTGTTGTAACCACCGTTATTTCCGCCATTGTTTCCACCTGGCGTGGGCGTGGGCGTGGGTAAAGTCGTCGTGCACGCCGCAGAATCCGATCGAGTGACGACAACAGTTTCGAGGACAGTGGTGGTGGATTGAGAACCGCCATTGTTGTTGTTTCCGCCATTGTTGATGGTGGTGGTTGTGCATGCGGCGGAATCGGTGATGGTTTGAATGACAGTTTCGAGGACGGTGGTGGTGACAATGTTGTTGTTTCCGTTGTTTCCGCCATTACCGTTATTCTCGTGTGGCATGTTGTTGTTGTTTCCGTTGTTTCCGCCATTACCGTTATTCTCGTGTGGCATGTTGTTGTTGTTTCCGTTGTTTCCGCCATTACCGTTATTCTCGTGTGGCATGTTGTTGTTGTTTCCGTTGTTTCCGCCATTACCGTTATTCCCGTGTGGCATGTTGTTGTTGTTTCCGTTATTCCCGCGATTACCGTTGTTCTCGTGGGGCATGTTGTTATTCCCGCGATTACCGTTGTTCTCGTGGGGCATGTTGTTATTCCCGCGGTTACCATTGTTTTCGTTTGGCATGCCGGTAGGGAAGGGAATGGTCGAGATCTGGACAGGCATCTCTTCTTCTCGCTCTCTGGGAGTCTCTGTGGGTATTCCATTGTCTCTGGGCATGCCCGTCTCTACGGGCTTTGAGGGCTCAATGACGGGCATCGGGATGGGGACACCCGTCTGAATGATTTGGATGGGCAAACGCGTCTCATCGGAGCGATCGGGTGTGATAATCGGGTTTGGATCGGTAGGGTTACCCTGATGTGCACCCTGAGGCATACCCTGAGGAGTACCCTGTGGTTCATTAATGAAATTGTTTCCCGTGGGTGTAGCTACACTAATCTCGATGCTGGATGTCGTAGTAGGTGTTGGCACTTGCGAGTGCTTGTTCTTTTTTCTACGACACTTTTTTGGCTTTTGAGAAGCGACAGGAGATGATGATTGTGGAGTCGACAAGACCTCAATGCCGCTCGCACCGCCAGTCGGTGTCCCCTCTATTCATTAAAAAAACGACGCGTGTTACAGATTTGATCGACAATGTAATCATTCCAAATCCTAACGGTTTACCTGGAGCGAGGGATGTTTCTACCATGGGGGCGGCATGACCAAAGTCCTGCGTCGTCGTCAAGAGCAAGATGGGAATCAATGACAAGATGCGCATCTTGCTCGTTGATACTCAAAATGTCAAATGTATATAGCAAAATCTAGAGATGGATATCTATAAATCGTTCGGTCGTTTGTCCCCTGTAAGTGCGTGGGAACGTAAAAACGAGAGGGGAAATTCCCCCAATCCCTCTCTTTATATTCTCCATCATCCTCTTTTGCATAAAGAATAAAAAAGATGGTGGTTGAAACAGCACACATAATCCCACTGGATGGAGAGCGGCTTACAAGTCAAATCTTTACCGTTGCTTATGTGTGTACTACACGTGAATACGCCTCATTCCTATTATAGATATAATATATACATATATAGATAAATGAGAAGAAAAGAACCGTTCATATAATACATGATGGGAGTGCAAAAGAAGAGAAAGAAAGAAAAAACAAGGGTTCAATAAATGTTTTAGAAAGCGGGAGAGTGAGTGTACAAAAGACAGAGAGAGAGAGAGAGAGAGAGAGAGTGTGTGTGTGTGTGTGGGAATAAAGGCGTGTGACACATTCCCTTCTAAAGCCAGAGACAGAGAGAATAACGCGTATGGAATAAAAAGAGAAAGAGACATTTCCAACAGCAATGGGAATAATTAAAGAGAGAGAATAGAAAGAGAATAACATGCGTATGGAATAATGATAATAATAATAATAAGAGAGATGAAAACAAGAGGAAATTCACACTCTAATTAGAGAGAGTAATATTCATTCTCTCTCTCTCTCTCTCTTACTACTAGTACATTTATACATCAAGTGAACAGCCCCTCCCGTGCCTTCTCTCTTTTACGCGTCATTCTTTTTTTTTATTATTTTATTCCCACACACACACACACATACACATACACATACACATACACACACACATACACATACACATACATTCATTCATTTCATGCAACTCTTGTAAACAGTAGGTTTACTCGTATTTTGCATTCTTTTTACGTTTAGATTAACAGAGATTTGCTTTCCCACCTACTAGTCTGCTACCCGCCTCTACCCGCCCAAAAGTCAAAATACGCCACACACACGCACTCACACTCAACACACGCAAACGGACAAGGTGATTTTAGAATTTTGACACTAGTCGTGTTCTTTTGTTCTTGTCTTTTGTTGAGGGGTGTCCATGTAGAGAGATTGGGCATTGGGGTATTTTTGGACAGACAACTAGGAACGAGCAAGCGACAAACGACAAACGAGAGAGCACACACGGACTCCCCCCCTTTTTTGCTGTAAACACACTGCATCCGTCGTCGTAACCTTTGGTGCGCCAAAAGCGACTTTATTGTTCGCCTCATTCTGGGCAAACAACACCACCATACACACAAATGCACGTCGTTACAGAACCCTACTACGCTCCGCATCTCTCGTCTCAAACCTCCTCAGTCTATTCCCCTCCAGAACGCTCGGAAAAGTATTTTCCTTTGGATCGCTATTCATTGTCTTCTTCTTCTTCTTCTACTACTGGTACTACTACTATTGCTGCTCCTACTGTTGCTAGTTCGAGTGCTGCTGCTCTTGTTGCAGGTGGAGGTGCGGGTGCTCTAGCGGGTGCTCAGCCAAGGGCAAGAGTCTTTCACGTTGGTGTGGGTGGTGCTCCGTTTTCGGGATCGGCCCTGTCATCATCATCGTTGGTGGGTCATTCCGCCACGTCACTGGCGTCCTTGGCGCAACAAGGATCCTCTCTGATCCCTCCGTCGCTCTATTCTCACCACCACCACCAACAACAACAACAGCAACAAGCATCGTCCTTTTCGTCCCAGTCGTCCCAGTCGTCCTTGGCATTGTCACTCGGTGTGCCGTCACTCGGTGGTTCCTCGTACGGCGCTTCCTCTTTGAATCACCACCACCACCACCACCACCACCATACGGCAGGTTACGCTCAAGCCACTACCTCATTACCCGTCGCTCCACAGCCGCATTACCCGCATCAACGCTCTTTGCGATTCTCTGCTCCCGCTGCTCCTCCGCGCATACCGCCCATTCCTTCCGTTGCAGACTTTGAAATGGCGTCCATTCCGTCGGCCGTCCAACGACGCGATGGCCGTGGAGATCCCCGCGGAGGTACTTCCGGCGGACCATCGGGCGGGCATCGCGGCTACGCTCCTGCTGCTGGGGCTCCTGCTACTGCTACTGCTGCTGCTGTTGGATCATCTACCTCTTTTGCACAAAATCATGCAGCAGTGAAAATAGCGTCTGGAGCAGGACGCACGGCGGGATCCCATACCGCAGCAGGCTACGATGCATACCCGTCCCACATTGCCAGTGTCAACACTACTAATAAAACCTCGGGACTAGAGCGTAAAAGTCCCTCTGGGCGGCCCAGAGGGAAATCCAACATGGACCTGATGGCAGACTCGCTTGCCTCTATGAATATGCTGGATACGCCCCCGTCAACATTAAATTCCATGGCAAACACACCAACGAGCCTACTCTATAGCAATACGAGCCATCATACAGGCCATTATACCAATCATGTTGGCGGTGGTGCCGGGGGTCCCGGAGGTGCCGGAGCTGCAGGTCCATACAAGCAAAAACAACAACAGCAGCAACAGCAACAGCAGCAGCAGCAGCAACAGCAACAGCAACAACATCTCGACTCTCCACTCCAATCGAGCACCAGCACGTCCTCGGGTGGCTCACCCGGCTCGGTCCGTAAAGTCATGAACCGGTCCCTCTTGCCCGTTCCAAAGTCTCCCATCTCGCCCTCTGGAAAATATGCTAGTGAATCCCATCATCGGGGAGATGGGCGACGCTCTACGGGCTCGCTGTCTAAAACAAACATGGAGCATCCTTCCAAGCAGCATGTCCGGTCTCGAATCGAGTCACAGTCGCCATACACGTCCTCTTCGTACGCCATACCTGAGGGTGGTTTCGCAGATCATGCATCATCTCGAACAAGGCCACCCGTTGCTGCAACTCTTGCTACTACCTCTAGTACTGCCCAGGCTGCTATACCTGTAAAGGTTGATGTGAAACCAAAATACCATAATGAACCTCCATCCAAACCGCGCGTTCCATCCAAAGACGCAGCCTACCGCAACCCCGACGCGCGTCGCAGCCAACAACCACAGCAAAAGCAGCAACAGCAGCAGCAGCAGCAACAACAACAACCATCGCAACCACGACCACAACTAGCACCACCGTCACCACAACAGCAACAGCAACAGCAGCAGCAGCAGCAGCAACGGCCCATTAGCGCGCGCATCCCCACTTCTACCCTCCGAGACCTCAAACTCCCGCTCTCCCCCGAAGCCACCATTATATACTATAATGATCTACTCACCCCCTATGAGCAGCGAGAAATCTACGAGTTTAAAGAAATTTATTTTGCGGGTGCTGCGAGTATATTGAAAATTGGAGGAACGAAACGCAAGACGGGTGCTGATTTGGCAGAGACGTGTAATGCAGCTGGAACGGCAAAGGATGATGACAAGAGTGTTTACAATAGTGGTAAGAATACGTTTTTGCAAATGTGTACTTTGGTGTAGGGGTATTCAACATTTGATTAAACAAACTCGATTCTTTTGGTTAGGCTATGACGACTCTCGCGGCGACTATTACCTTACCAAACACGATCACGTTGGGTACCGCTACGAGATCCTGTCACTCCTTGGCAAAGGTTCATTCGGCCAAGTCGTCAAATGCTACGACCACAAGACCAAATCCAACGTTGCCTTGAAAATCATCCGCAACAAAAAACGCTTTGAAAAGCAAGGAGCCGTCGAAGTCAAAGTTCTTGAACGCCTTAAAATGGAAGACGCAGACGATAGCCACTCGATCGTCCACATGGTTGACAGTTTTCTCTTTCGTGGCCACTTGTGTATCACGTTTGAGTTGTTGGGAATGAACCTTTACGAATGGCTGAAAGCAGGTGGATTCCGTGGCGTCCATTTGGGTGTGATTAAATCCTTTACGGTCCAGATGCTCCATTGTTTGGATCTTTTATCGAGATCGAGGATTGTGCATTGTGATTTGAAACCAGAGAATATCTTGTTGCAGGATCCGAGTGTGACGCATCCGTCGCGGGTGGATGGGAATGCGCCGAATGCTGTGAATAATGCTATGAGTGGGGATACAGTCGGGTATCGCATCAAAGTAATTGATTTTGGGAGTAGTTGTTTTGAGGATGAGAAAATCTATACCTATGTTCAGAGTCGGTTTTATCGGAGTCCTGAAGTGATTTTGGGTGAGTTTTGTCTTTTTTTTCTCGCCATTGTGTACCGCGCTGTCATAACACACTCCAACACACTCAGGCATATCCTACAACGCCTCCATCGACATGTGGTCCCTGGGCTGCATCCTAACCGAACTCTACACCGGCTACCCCCTCTTCCCCGGCGAAAACGAAACCGAACAACTCGCCTGCATCATGGAACTCAAGGGCCTCCCACCGGTAACCCTCCTAGACCGCTCCACCCGCCGCAAAAACTTTTTTGATGGCCCCCACCCTCGCATCGTACCCAACTCCAAAGGCAAAAAACGACGCCCAGATTCCAAATCCCTGAGTTCCGTCTTGAGAGCTGACCCCCTTTTTGTGGATTTTGTCAACAAGTGTTTGGAATGGGATCCTGTTAAACGGATGCGTCCTTCTGATGCCCTTTTACATGAGTGGATTACTGGGCGCCGATCGGAACGGTCTGAATTATGGTCTGAACGATGGGGATATGACAAACCCACTACTACTACCACCACCACTACAACTACCACTACAACGACACTCTCATCCGTCCCCCATCTCTCCTCGCATCACCAACAACAACAGCAGCAGAGAGGTTTACCCCCTATTGACCGCTACGCCAAACCGTTTCGTCCTATCCCTGCTCAGACTTTTAGTACGTATACGCATCCGAATGGGGCTGGACGTGGGAATGGACGTAAGAGAGGGACGAGTGGGAGTGTTCAGGTGGGTTAAACTATTGGTTTGTGAGTTTTGGTGATGCGGTTTTTGATGTGTATTGTTTTTTTTTTTTTTGTTTGTGTAGAAGTGGAAGGGGTGATGCTGATGCAAGTGGTTATTGTATATGTAGGCTTTTTTTTTTTTCGGGTGGTTATTTTTTGGGGGTGTTTGGGATAATATAATGGTTGTGTTTTGCGTCTTTTGAATTGTTTTTTTTTTTTTTTTTTTGGTGAGAGTTTTTGTTTTTTGGTGAATTGTGAACATTCGAGGTTCATTCACGTACATTTGGACATTGCATATATGCATGTACAATTCAGCAAATCGTTCATGTGTATTCCGTCAACTAATAAAGTTTTGAGATACGAGTATTATCCATCACACAAACACGAAATATATATATACTATTGATTAAAATAAAAAAAGGAGGATAGAAAGAACGAAGAAGACGGTGGTTTTTTAGCAAGTATACCCCGGAAAACAACTCGCAAACTCTTTTCCAGGGTGTTTATTCAAAACATGTTCTTCAAGCGCCTAAACAAAAACCCCATCAATAACACATTCCAAAAAAACGAAACGTTATTTCTAACCTTTTGTCGAATGGTCATTAAGAATGTTTGTCGACATGTTTGGCATTGATGGGTTTTCGCTGCTTCATTCTGCAACACCCCAATCAACAGAATGTACAGTGAGAGAATGATTTGTTTCTACTTGCGATTTTGAGTTGGGATTTAGATCCCCCTGATTTTTCCTTGGCGAGTTTGTCTCGTCGCATTTGAGCTTTTTGGCCCTAATCCGAATCTCGTTAGTCATTTTGTTGTGTTTTTGGTATTTGTTGGGGGTTACGTACGTTGCCCATTGTTGTTTGTATCTCCTTTGTGTGTTATGTGCGTGCGTGTGTACGTGCGTGTGTGAGTGCGTGTGTACGTGTGTGTGTGAGTGCGTGTGTACGTGCGTGTGTGAGTGCGTGTGTGAGTGCCGTTCCAAATGCCTGTACGCAATGGTGGGGGAGAAGGAATCTCAAAAAGAGAAACCAGCTTTAGAATGCGAAAGGTGAAATGACACTGAACGGAGTTACACGTGTGTGGCGGGTGTGGCGGTGCAGCACAGTACTGTCTACTGTCAAGGGGGTCAAGAATGGGCAGCAGGTATCAAGTTGGTAGGTGTATAAAAGTTGTTGGGTTTTGGAGGGTGTGTATTGGGGGTTTGTTGGGGGTTTTTTTTTTAAAATGGTGTTGGGAGGGGGTTTTTTGGAAGGGCGTTTATCGTTTACTGTTATATCGTATCCTAAAAGATGTTATAAGGTAGAGAACATGAGTTTATTGGCTATTTCTGGATAATCATGTTACTAAGCATAGATGCGGCTTCTGGGGGCCGAACGAAAGCGCGCTTGACCTCACTTGTTCCGTTTGCACTTTTTATATTGCGTTTCACCAACATCACACTGTCCATTACAATGAAATCCAAATACGTATCACGACCGACATCCCTCCGTCTCTCCGTCTCACCCGCCTCCCTCTACAACACACCATCATCAACACCCATGAATTCCCCAACAATGGATACCAAACCACCACCACCATCATCCTCCACAAGCGATAAATTGAGACAAGTCCTCTCTGGGCGGGTTTCCAAAAAAGAGCGACGAAAACGGGAGGGGGATGTGAATTCACGGGATGATAAAGGACGGTCTGCCTTGCATTTTGCGTGTGCGGGTGGACATGCTGATTTAGTAACCCTATTATTGGATCGGGGTGCGGATGTGGATTCGCGGGATGTGAATGGGAATACACCGTTGCATTTGGCGGTTTGTTCGAGTCAAGTTGATGTTGTTTTGGTGCTGTTGCGTGCGAGTATGTTATTTTTTTTTTTTTTGTTGTTGTTGTTTTTTTGTCGGTGTTTAACGTGTATGAATTTCTTTTGCAGATGCAAATGTGGATGCTACAGACCATTTTCAACGCACACCCCTCCAACTCGTTCAATCCCGTCTCAACATGCTGCGAGTCACGGAATGTACAGAAACACTGTTAAATGATCTTCGCAAGGTAAACCTATCCCCCATCCCAACTTCCATCACACTATTCTAACCTTTTTCATTTTTAGTTGATTGAAATCCTATCACTTTGCACAACACACCACCCCAATCATTCCACAACACTCGATCCTGCCCTCCTTACTGAACGTTTGGAACGTATTACGACGACGGATGAAGCTGTTCGGGTTGTGGATGAGTTGAAGGAGTTGTTGGAGAGGTTAAAGGTGGATGATACCTAGTTTTTTTTTGGTGTAGTGGTAGATAGTTTGTTTATAATCTTTTTTTTTTTTGGAAAAACCATTTTGGCATTTTTTTTTGGGGGGGGGGGGGGGGGGAGGAATTGTATTCGTTTGTTTATGTGGGGTAAATATGATCGATCACTGTCACTGTCACCTAGAATGCATCACGAACGACAGGATGATCTTTTGGAGAAAACAGTACAGTATATTCACAGCATCATGTTATGCGTGCATCACAAGTCGCTGTTCACATTTTTGTAACTGTGGTTTGCTTTCCTTGATGAATGCTTTTGAGCGCATTACGACGGAAATAACGTACTTTTGGTAGAACATTGCAGCGTTTTATAGTTTTTTGTTTACTTTGTTACCCAAAAACATGTTTGACACAGTCGCAGTCACAGTTTTATATGAGTATAGTGTTTGTGTAGTAGCAGCAGTATAAAAAAGAGGATTCTATCGCCCATCATCTATCACCCTATCCCCTCCCAAACCCCCCAAAAAATGTATCTACTCTTTTGCTTTTGCTTATAATACAAAATGATGTCCCCCATACCAAAAAAAAAAAAAATTTGACACACAAAAAGGTTATCACTGTTCCCGTCGACGATCCCGAATCTTGTGCAACCACACAACAAACAAGAACACACCGACAAATCCAAGGGGGAGAACAAGGTAGTATACCCACGCCGACGCCTTGGAGGTATTCAGAAAGGAATAAACCCACCATCCATCAGGACTATACACCAATATAAACAAAATCAATAAAAATATCCCAAATCAACATTTCATACGACAGTAAACTTACTAGTCAGCTTTATCGTACCCTTGATACACACCATGCTGAAAGAATGCGTACCCCAAATAAGCTAACCCGGAACCAATGACAGGAGGCCATTGCGAATAATACATGGGTACACGGTTCAAATAAAATTCCACCATGATAAAGACGAAATCTAGTGCGTGGACATTGACGTTTGTCCACCACTATTCAAAATCATAAAGGTCAGAATTGTGATTTTCTCTTGTTGGATTATTTTTTTTTTTTTGGTGGACTTACGTCGATGGCTTTACCGGTCCGTAAGAGACTTCCTGATAATAGCGCCCAATACACAATCTACCAAAAACACTATAAGTTTCATGTAAACGCAAGGAAAGAGGGATAAAAAGACGACTCAACTGGGACAATCCAATGAAAGGTTGCAGGCAACACATAGAGATTCCAAGTAATCCACTGCGTAAACTTGCATTGCTTTAAAAAAGCGTTCATGGATCCATCTCTTTTGAATCTCCACGTCTGGAACGCCGAAACCTATCCAAATAATGTCAACACACAACAAAAAACTCGAACAACATTCCGACTCATCACTTACCAAAAACCATACACCCAACCCCACCCACGTCAAATGCGTAAAATAAAACAAATAAGTCTGAGCCTCCCCTCTCGCCAAACTCCACGGTATAATAAACACCGTCCAAAACGCCGCCCCAAGCCTCCACCACAATAACGTCCTCGTCGATACCACCCGCGACGTTGTCAACACACTGGGATCCCTGCAGAGTGCATCAAGGTGCGTTGCGTACGTTTTGGAGAGTTTGGTTGGAAGGGGTTTACTTCGTGCTGGGGTGTTGTCCAGCGACGAGAGCGAGGAGGTGGGTGTTGAAGTACTTGTGAGAGGGTATTCGTCGACGGCGAGATGAATGTCGGGCATCTTACTAGGGTCTTTTTTTGAGGTCATGGTTTTAGAGTGTGAGGGTGCCTTGTCAAGGGTCTGTTTTTTCAACTCTATGTCCTTGTTGTTGTTGTTGTTGTTGTTGTTCGTTTTTTGGTTGTTTATCGTTCACCCTTTACTCATGCCATCGAACTCTTTCAAGCCCATTAGGGTTCTTAAGATGATTCCTGCAAAGACTCAACAATATCCCAACATCACTTTAAAAAAAAAGCTAAAAATAACTTTAGAGTTTTCCTTATTATTGACGGTGTGGGAATTTTTGGGGGGGTGGGAAAACCCAAATGTGACATTTTCTGCGGCAAAGATCGCGGCCGCTGATTACGAGTTATGACTACAACTGCTTACATCTACACTTTGGACATGTGAGCTTAGTTGCCGCGCATGTTAACAGAGAAGGCTCATGTAAAAAAATAAAATGTGTGAATATTTTTATACTAGTGACAGAATAAATGATTAGTGCGGAGCCGATGGGTATTGGCACTAGCACCCGCACCAGGGATTGAACCGCGCGACAACCGGCTCGGAAAACCTAATCTAACCAATCTAAGCTACGGCTGGAACACTCCTGCTGAACACTTCTGGTCTACAGTGCCCATCCAACATTGATTGCACAATCATCAGCATGTTGCAGGTGCTCAGCGTGTCCCTGTTCCAGTAGCGCATCGTCCAGGATTGCTGTAAACAGTTAGGGTTGGTACAACCCAGCAATCCGTGGACTTTTTCAATCTTGCCTTCGCGACGGCGCCAAGGTCTTGAATGAGGTCGTGTTTTGAAGCCTTTTTCAACGCCAGAGGAACAGTGAGGGCAGACAGATGAGGTCTTGTACTCGTCGAGAAGGAAGCAGTTGATCCTGTTCCGCTTAAAGAGGGTGCGCCAGCCTTTTGTCTTTGATGAGGTCTGAAATCTCGCAGTTCGACCAGCGTCGCTCCAATCACCCATCACAACGGTAAAGTTCCCAAACTTGTTGCGCATGTTGGATATGAGGTCTGATTCGCTTCACTGCCGATTGATGAAGGAGTGCCATTTCCATCGCGTGTGGGCAGGGTGGGAGTAGAATTCCTTGCGACGATCCCAATCAGCGCACCGAACAAGGAGATAGCGCATGAAGTCCATGAGGTTCATTGTCTTGTGACTAGGGATACGTGATTCTATGAGGTCCATTCCCGCTTCCTTCTTCATCTGCTGCCGTTCTTTTGCAAATCGACGGCTTCCAGTCTCCACGGCTCGCTGGTTGGCGGTGTAGCAAAATGTCATACCACTGTTGTCTTGGCAGTAGAGAATGTCGCGCTTGTTTGGGTCGATAACAACAACATTCTCTGCTACTCGACAAGCAGGTAAGTTTTTCTCCACATATTGCGCTTTAACCTCTGCCTCCGTTGTGTTTGCTGACTTTTTCCCTCCGCCGCTGCACTTTCCATACTTGTCAGCTTCAGGATGTTTCAAGTAAACTGACACCAAGGTACCGTCTGTCGTGATCGAGCCTTCAAAACACATTCCACAACGAGATCTAAAAGCCTTGTTCCGCAGATTACAGATGCGCAACCATAAGTCGACCTTTCAACAGTTGTAACGACGAGGACGTCTTCGAGAGATCGCGAGTAAGCCCAAATCGGACGCGGGAAGCACGAATCGCGTGACCAACTCCACGATTGGGTTACCGCGACCGAAAAAACCGGTTCGGAGAATGGCAATTGGCGCATTAGATTTCAGCGTGCCTCGTACAACCTGTGGAGGCCCGAGCCAGTGCGGAAAAGGAAGAGATCGGTACCGCCACCAATAAATCAGTTGCGGTGCAGCGACACCCATTAGTTTAGTTTAGTTTAACAGTTTATCCAAGAATCTTGTATAAAAAGGATGTATTCAATAAAATAAGTCGGGGGCAGAAGCCGTAGCGACAAAAAAATCCCCATAACTCGCTTCTCAACTCCAATCTTAGGTTAACAGGAACCTAACAGAGCGCTTCAACGGCCTGATCACCCGTACCGAAGCCTCTAAATCCTGCTCGGTTCACAACTAACCGACTCTCCTTGCCTCTCGCCCTCAAGTCGCTACCGACGCCCAAAGAAAGGATTTGGAGACTACGATTCCTAGTACGGACACCCACACAACCTGCTAGGAGACCCAAGTTGTCTTTACCGTAGTCTACCAACAAAAAATCCGTTACATGGTGGAGAAGCGCGACGAACCGCCTTCCCCTCTCAAATTCAGAACTCATACATGTCATCCTAAACTATTTGTCAGCCTATTGCACCATTTGCAACCAATCAGATCTTGTACATGTCATCCTAAACTATTTGTCAGCCTATTGCACCATTTATAGCCAATCACAAGTGAGACAAGTCATCCTAAATACACTGTGCCACTTGATTGAAAGGGGCAGATGCCAGTGTGTCAGGATACTCATCTAATTTAGCCAGAAATGGCTAAATCTGCTTATTTATCTAATTCTGGTCAAATGAATGCTGACACCATCAGCAAAGTCATGTGACCACTAGTTTGGAACCACATCTAACCAGTATAACCATAGCACTGACAGAAGAATTCTGTCACATTCCCCCAGGACTTCCCCCTGAGAGATCAGTAGATCACAGAATTGAACTCAGTGACCCCAACCAGACCCCCTGGAGACCAACCTACCACCTCTCTTCTTTGGAGTTAGAAGAACTGAGGAAGCAGCTTTCAGAACTTCTGGAGGCAGGCCACATCAGACCATCCAAGAGCCCATTTGGAGCACCCATCCTCTTTGTCAAGAAGAAAGAAGGGTCTTTGAGGATGTGTGTGGACTACAGGGCTCTGAACAAGATCACCATCAAGAACAGATATCTGTAACGACGAGGACGTCTTCGAGAGATCGCGAGTAAGCCCAAATCGGACGCGGGAAGCACGAATCGCGTGACCAACTCCACCGATTGGGTTACCGCGACCGAAAAAACCGGTTCGGAGAATGGCAATTGGCGCATTAGATTTCAGCGTGCCTCGTACAACCTGTGGAGGCCCGAGCCAGTGCGGAAAAGGAAGAGATCGGTACCGCCACCAATAAATCAGTTGCGGTGCAGCGACACCCATTAGTTTAGTTTAGTTTAACAGTTTATCCAAGAATCTTGTATAAAAAGGATGTATTCAATAAAATAAGTCGGGGGCAGAAGCCGTAGCGACACAAAATCCCCATAACTCGCTTCTCAACTCCAATCTTAGGTTAACAGGAACCTAACAGAGCGCTTCAACGGCCTGATCACCCGTACCGAAGCCTCTAAATCCTGCTCGGTTCACAACTAACCGACTCTCCTTGCCTCTCGCCCCCAAGTCGCTACCGACGCCCAAAGAAAGGATTTGGAGACTACGATTCCTAGTACGGACACCCACACAACCTGCTAGGAGACCCAAGTTGTCTTTACTGTAGTCTACCAACAAAAAATCCGTTACATGGTGGAGAAGCGCGACGAACCGCCTTCCCCTCTCAAATTCAGCTGAAAACCTTATTCGGTCGTACCGAAACTCTTGCGCAAACCGAGATCCGCTCAGGTAGCTACTCGGAAACCTTTTCTCTCGTTTCGGAGACAGAACTTCACGAAACCGAGAATGATGCCGGTCGAACGCTCACCAACGCGAGGCCGCTCACCTGTGATCCAGACTCGTAGTCAGGGTCCTGCGGAGGACGTCGAAGTCCCTCCCGCAACACGCCCAAGGCGTTCAGGGACCACTTCCGTCGAACCGGAAGCCCCTAACTTGGCCACGATGGCCTCTGAAGTGGCAGCGTTAAAAGAAGACATTGCCCGCTCGACTGCTGCAACGCAGTTGGCAACTCAAAACCTTACGGAACAGCTTCATAGGCTTTCCGAACGTCAGACAGCGGCGGATGAGCGCCTCGCACGAGCCTTAGAAGCCCTAGCACATCGCCCGCTGCCTGAACAACCTCCCATAGCACGAGCTACAAGAGAACGGTCCGCAACCCCGTGGGAAACGGCGGACACACCAAGGGAGCGTACCGAACCAAGTTTTTCAGGTGCGGTGCCTCCAATCCAAGTGCCAGCGGCCCCGTGGGCCAGCGACACCAAGGTCGATTCCTTGAAAGCAAAGGACGTACCCGAGTTTACGGGCAGAAGAAACCAAGACGTTGAAGAATGGCTTAACAAAGTCCAACTTCTTCAAAACGTTAGCGCAACGTCGGATGCCAGGATGGTACAGCTCCTACCAGCCATGATAGCCGAGAAAACCCCTGCTGACGCTTGGTTTTACACTCTGGAAGCCCAGGAAACTCGCTCATGGACCTGGAAAAGGTGGAAAGAGGAACTGCTTCGAGAGTTCCGAGATCCCCTAACCGAGTCCAAGCGCAAAACCGAATATGTGCGCTGCCATGCGAACCCCAAAGAATTTCGCAGCTTTCTCGCGTTCATCGACCACAAAACTCATCTCCGGCGCCTCGCTTATGGCGACCGGGCAAACATAGAATGTCCCGCTGACCAGCATTTCGACCTAATAGTCGAACAATTGCCCAGCGACATCCAAATCATGGTCAAATCCTGTAACGTCACGAACCTGACCAAATTAAAAGACTTCCTGCGCCTTTATTTCGGCTCTGATGACACCAGAAAACGAGACCCTTGCTACAGCGGTGCTGCAGAAGCTCAGAAGAAGTCACAAAAGACCGGAACCGACAAAGGCCCTAAGCAGACGGCTCCGCATAAAACCGGAAACCCCGAAAAGGGTCGCGATGGTCCTCAGAAGATGGTTCCGGACCCCAACAAGGAACCACCGGCACCCTGCAAATTCTGTCAGAAAAAGCATTGGAATGTTTTCTGCTGGCAGAACCCGAACCGAAAAGATCCTGAAGATGGAAAGAAAGGACCATATGGAGCACCCATGCCCTCAGGTTGGAAACCCAAACAGGAATCGAAGAAGGCGTACATAGTGGAGCTGGACTCGACGTCCGCTACCACCGAGACTCTTTTTTCGGCTTCGGAACTGGAAAGAACGGAAGCCGCTAATCAAGGATTCCACACCATCGGGTTCTTTCATTCACCCAAGCACTCGGAATCAACAATTTTGATGACCGCACCTCTTTCCAAGGTCACGGTGACCAAGGAAGAGGACCCCCGCACGCCCACGCAGGGCTGGGACCGAGTCTGGGACAACATAGCCATCATCTGGGGCACCCCGCAAGTGGCTCTGATGATGGGCAACAACCCCCGCGCGCTCAGCTTCTTCGCCAAAGAACCGAAGCGAGGCGCCGGGCACCTCGGGAACGACCCCTACGCAGTCGCGTGGAGTTCCCACCACCTCTACATCGCTGCCGCAGCCGAAGCTGACAAGGATCGAATCCTGCGAAAGGTCCGAGAAGACGGTACCCCTCGTTTGATTCTCCTTGCCTGGATAAAGCTCGACGAGCGCGAGAAATTCTTGATGTGGAGCTCTGAAGATCCTGTTATCTTTGATGCGTACGCCAACCTGCAACTGGTGGCATTTCTCCTGACAGGCAATATCGTTCGCTCAGACTATTATTATCGTCGCGGAAACCCCAAATTTCGGCACGTTAAAGACCATCCACGTCTCCAAAGACACGAAGAGAGCGAACGGACGCGTATAGTCATGCTGGCTATCGAACAAGTTGCTCGCCAGAATAAAACAACAAAACCACAAAACGACAAAACTAGAGAACACTTTGAGAGTGTGATCAAGGCTACGGAAGCAACAATTAACGACATCGCGCCCCATTTCGAGATCGCGGTGCCTTCTATCAACGCCTTCTACTCAGTAGATTTAGGCGATGTACTCAAAAGCCAGACTAAGACCCAAACGCAGCCTTGCTGGACGCTAGCCGTCATCGCGCAGCTCTGGGCACCTGTGGTACTAGACACAGGGGCCTGCGAGTCTCTGATTTCCGACACGTACCAAGGCCTTCTGTTCTCCGAAACCGATTTGCAGGATGCGGAAACGATGGCTTTCAACGGCATTGGTGGACGTATCTCATCTACCAAGACAGTATGCCTCGAAACTTCCCTCAGAGGCCGCGGCGGAGAATACCTGACTTTCCGCGCCTACTTTCGGGTCATCGCGTACGGGAAACCTCTCATCATCCTAGCCAACGACGTTTTGGGACATTTGAAACTCCAAACCTTGGTTCAGGAACCCCCGTTACCCAGTTTCGCGGTGACGCTCA